AGTTTTGGTTCAAATGGGCTGTTTCAGTGTCTGTTTAATTTAAAATCCCACTGAGCTTCCTGTAGCCACAAAAATGATGTTCCTAAACAACAAAACTGCATTCTCATGTACGCTTTAAAGGAAACAAACTTGTCCTAAAAGAGCCACAACATCCCCACAAGGAGACAGGAGAAGAGGTAAAAGCATCAAGTGAGCACCGGGGCTTTAAAGCAGGAGACCAGAGTTAATCTTAGATGTTTTGTTTTCACCTGTTGGTTACTTTCAGTTTTAACTTGATGTCCATTCAGGTTTAGGAACTAAAACTATGTGGGTTAGCTTTAGGAAAACATTACACTTCTGTTGACACTTTCACAATGATAAGCATATACAAGAAGCTTAGTTAGGTTTCAGAAGAACACTACAGTTTGAGTTAAAACGTTCACAGCATGTTTGTACGTTCTCCGTTTTCTTGCTTAGACCCACAGCATGTAATATATGAGTGGATGGATGAGAAGGAGCAACAGCAAAACATGAAAAAAATCTGGCAAAGTTCTGTTGATTTGAAACATATTTGTTGATACACCACAAACACAATCTGGCAGGAAGCAGAGATGAGAGTGCAGTTTGGTTGGATAGATGCAGAATCAGACACAAATGCAAAAACATTCATCATGACTCGATAATCTAAATGTAAAACCTTCTTTTATGTCGGATAACAAGGCTGTCGGATCGTCAAGACGGAGGTCGAGATACAAGGAGGGCTTGATGCTTGAAGGCTCGTTTGTTGTTAATTATTGTTTATAGTTATAATAACTAGTAGGGATGGTCCCAATAGCACTTTCTGGTCTCTGGATATTGAGGCCCAATTAATGATGAATGTTCGGTGCAGTCGAGGGACACTTCCACCCCAGGGGAGCGCTTCGATGGGGTGGAAGTGGCCGGAACGCAGAGGCAGTATTTGCCTGCCGATGCTAGTTTAGGATAGCGGTCACACTTCTGGTTCTACCATTGGTGGAGCTCCACTCCCCCGCCACCACCACCAGCCGTGTTTACTTCCATAAACACTGAGCACGCTCGCTGCGTGTGACGTCGTCGTGTCCTCTTCTGCACATGCGGGACACTTTTGGGTCGCATGAAGTTCACACAGCAGATCACATACAAGTCACATTTAACTGGAACTCGCAAAAAAATCTGATTTCACAAAAAAGTCTGAATTGAGCATTAAGTCCTGCAGTCTGAACGTAGCCAATCTGTGGGATTGTTCAGTCAGATAATACGCCGTTATCCGTATTTGTGACACAAAATGTCGGAGTCAGAATCCAAGGCTGTTGGTATGTTCAGACTATTTTTAATAGGTTCTGTTTGTTTTTCCTAAAAACCTGTCAGATAGCAAGGTTTTCGGATTGTTAAGGGTCGGATTATCGAGTCACGACTGTATTCTGTTGGTTACTTTTGTGTGGTTGGTAAAAGGAAGGTCTCACTCATTTCAGCCAATTTTTTCCTTCATCGTCCAGAGCCAGGCTTACACAAAACATTTGTTTTGTATAATCTGGGGTGTGATGTTTTTCCTCCCATCTGTTGTCATACCGTGGTAAAGTTCCCTGTTTTAGCCATTTGAGTCGGACTGGTTTCTTTAAAAAAGAAAAATCCCCAGCTTTGGGACTCAGCCTCACTTTTCCGTCTCATTCTTTCGTTTTCGGCACAATAATAATCTGCCAAAGCACCTTATCAAGAACAGTAGGTGTGGGCGTGTGAGAGCTCAAACAAAGAGTCGGTCATTCATCGTTGTGAATAGAACAAACCAGGAACTCAAAACTTCAAGCACGAGGAAGAGAAATCCCACTATTGCACAGTGTCGGTATTTCCTTCAATTTCACCGATTATACAACTTCACGCAGTCGTCTTAGTTTTATTCTTACCTGCCCTTTTTAACAGTGTTTTAGTTGGAATGGTTTAAAAAAAAAAAGTCCCTGTAGCAGTCTCGCTCTCTGATGGACTCTCAGATTCCTTTTGGCCATTCTACAGAAGTGAATTGTTTATGCTGTGGAGGCTGCGGTCACTCACTGGATGTGCAGTGGGCGTCTGGCCAACCCATAGCCCACAGAGACGGCCCGCTGCAGACCTCCCTGTCCTGTCAGCTGACTCCGTTTCCCAGGGCCCCCCAATCCAAAAGGCCATCTGAGTCAGTCTCTGCAAACACACAAGGAGGGGAAGCTGGAAAAATGTTTATTGAGCGGCCAAACATGAGCGGCTAAACAATAATATAATCAGTGTGACTTTAACCATTATTGTAGGCACATACAGGAGGCCATTTTTAAAACCTGTCCATCATCACTTAAGCTAACTTTAATTACTTTGCATCCCCGCCATGTGTGTCCAAACCCAGCGATGTTTTCCACGGCGAAGCCCCATCACACGGTGCCTCTCAGCAGAAGTTGACTCAGCTTGAGTAGGAGTCATTAAAAACAACCCAGCCCGCTGCAGCTTTTTGGAAAAGCCTCTCGTCATCTCTGAGAGGCGAAGCTTACCGAGGTCTGACACCTTGTGCTGCGAGAAATTCCTCCCCCTCCCTTTTACTTTTTTCTTTTTTCAAGAGCTTCTTTGATGTACGGGAGTGTAAGGAAGGAGGGGAGAGGGCAAGAAAGTGCTTCCCCCCGCGAGGGCTCGGTTAGTGATCGGTTTGAGCCGGAAGGAGCCATTAAAACAAGATAGCTGACAGTTTTAATGGGGTTCAAACAGAGAGGAGCAGTTTACCGCCCTCGTTAGAGTTCTTATTTTATGTGGAGCAGAGTGGAGTTCTGGTGAAGTGTCGGATGTTTTACGCATATGAGTGGTAGTTTTTGTTTTTAGAAAAGGGGGTTTTAATAATTAAAACTTAATTTCAGGTTGAGCAGTTTGGCCGGCTCAGTGCTGATTGGTGTTTGAATAGGAAGGCCGTTCATTTTAAGACTTTATATCAATAAATGCTCCGACTTTATAGCACCTATAGGCAGTTAATGTCAACTGAAATGTATAACTATTGACATTTTTCCCCAAAATAAGCAGAGAAGACTTAATGCTTAATTTAAATTGTAAATAGTCTGCGTTTAATAATAGAAAATGGTCTAATTAATACCTTAGCAGTTCTAAATTGCTTTACACTGTGTTCACCCATTCCCACACATGACAGATTCAAAGCTGCCGTACAAGACCCTGCCTGCCACTGAGAACAACTTTAAGTTCAGTGTTTTACTCAAGGACACTTTGGCATGTGGACAGGACACAACCAGGTGGGCAACCTGCTTCGCCACCTGAGCTGCAGAAGCCCCACTTTGAATGTGCTGACCCACTTTTTTTCCTTCAAGTTTCTCTGATTAAAACTCTAAAAACTCATCTCTAAGTTTCAAACTTCTACATTTAGAAGTTTTTGCCATGAAAATAGTTTCTTCCTACCTTAAAATGACTTAGATACAACTTTACACCGTTGCTTCCTCTAGAATGTGCAGAACTGTGAACTCTCCATCGATGGCTCGCTGCAGCTCGAGCACACCAGCTCACCAACAGCACTAATCTAAGACTGTAAAACTACTCTGCGGGAAGCATGAGCTACCTACCTGACCACATGCAGACCTTTTGTGCACCATTTTGTGTCTGTTTATTTAGTAAAGTGGGTAAAATTGTACTTATAAAGTTCGGTTTACTTGATTAAGACGAGAAGCCGGTTATAAGTTTGCAAAAGTAATCACCTGAGTTTCTTCCTTGTGGAGGCCATCTTGTTTTGGAACTTCAAGAGGGGACTCGCCTCCAAAGCAGCTCTGTTATTGGTTCCCTGCGTGGGTGGGTTCTCAAATATGATTGGATTATAGATGTGTCCGGATTGGCCGGTTTAAACTGGGAAGGCGATCCCCTGGGAGAGAAGTGAGGGAATGCTTTGTTTAGAAGGTATTTCTTTCAGATTTTCAAGCACAACTTGATGTTTGTCCTCCATATGACTCGCAAGGCTACCTACCAGCCTCCGGTACATTTATGAGTTGGAACTGATCCTGAAGAAGAATATGCAGGTTGACAGGATTGGTTCCTTGGGTTAAAAATTGTGTTTTTGAGACTTTCAAGGTGGAAATTATTTTTGCTTATTTTGTTCCAGAAGTTATTCCAGCATGTGAGAATGCAAAGACATTAACAAGGTGATAAAAAAAACCACTTGAGTGCATCTTTCATTAATTGTCGTCCACCTCACAAAAGTATAGAAATGATTTGAACATACCACTTCCACCAGTACCTGCCCCACCTTCCCCTTTAATGAAGTCTTTCCTCTTCGTCCCCCCCTTCTGTCTCCCCTCTCAGTAAAATGCTCACACACTGAGGCCCACTGTAGCAAGGGGCCTATTCATGAGGCCAAGAGACAGTGAAGGGAAACACAAAGAGCTCCCCACACAGCCGAGAGGGCTGTGAGCTCAGCGCTGACCCCTGAAGGATGTGTGTGGGCTGCACCCAGACTCGGTGGCCCCGCCGACTCCGACCCAGGCTCCTCCCTCCTCCGATCTTGACCTTTCGCTAAACTCCCAAAACAACGTCAAACAGACTCGCAACTGTCAATAGCAGCTGGACGAGAAGAGCGATGAGTGACTGACACGAGGTCTGAGAGCGTTTTGACTTGTTGCCAGGATGAAAACCTCTGTGAAGAGTCTCTCCCATGTAAAACGCTGGCATCCAGTTTACAGCTTGAGGAACAAAAGGGAAGCTAACAAACTTAAGAAGTGAAATTAGTGCTTTAAAAAAAACACAAAGGCCATGAGTTGAACAAGTTCTCTGCAATAAATTAAAGTATAATATTCTGAAAATGACTGTCTGGAAACTTCACAGGGTTTTTTTTTCTCCTCGTGGTTCTTCTTTCTCTTGATCATGGGAACTTTGTCAGTCCTGGTTTAAGGCCACTGCTTTAATACCCTGAAATATTTTTATTCCAAGAAATGTGTAATGAGATTTAAAGGAATTTTTATTTTGCTGTAAATCTCAGTCCCTCTTGTGCTCTGTGCTTCCAGTGCTGGACCAGCTCCTCATGGAGCTTCACCGCTTCCTGCTCATCCTGGACAAGGAGACGCTGAGCGGGAACGCCACCATCCAGAAGGGCCTGCTGTCCGATCTCCTCCACTCCTACAGAGCTTCAAACGGTAGGTTGTGGACAGAGTGTGGAAGGACAGTGGGTACATGTACAGTAGTGCACTTATGACTTGCTGAGTTTTCCAAAGTTTTGACAAACATCCACTGGATAAAGCTGACTTTCAATATCTGCATGTTCCAGAGCAGTCACAAACCTATGAGGTGTAACTAATCACAGCTGTCCACCTTAACCCTGTTCAGGACTTTTGGGGTCTTTTGGACTCCAAGGCCATTTGGTTTAGGCGACAGGTGTTGTTTTTATGCATTTGGAACCAAAAATACGTCAACTTATCAGAAAATATATTCAACACAGTATAAAAGTCTGTCATGAATACCAACAAATATTTTGCTCACATTCTTTCTTGGGGTCCAGTGGACCCTGAAAGACCTTCTACGGATGGCAACATGAAAGTCCTGAACAGGGTGAAAGGTTGTTAGTGTAGCTGTAGCAGGAAATACAAATCTGAAACCACCGGACCTCGTTCTCACTTCCGATTTATTCAGGAACCGATTGCGTGGATATTTTGGGGGAATTTGCAGCTATTTTTGGAGGAAGAAGTGAAAGTTTAGAATCAAGTCTTAAATGTTAAAATTAAACCCCAAATGATGTTGAATTTTTTGGGCCAATACCAACTTTAGAGAGTCAGGATATATATCAGACAATATTCTTTATATATTTACTTATTAGAGTTATATTAAAAAGGAAAAAAGATGAAGTCGTTGCTAATAACTTTCCAGAAATGTACATACAGGTATCTCACAAACTTGGAAGTTACTGTGAAGACTAAGCTTTACTCTGCACCACCATCTGCTCAGCTATAATACGCCCTCTACTACATGTGCTGCAGACAGTGCTGTAAACACAGGAGCTGATCTGCTGGACAAACTACTGTTTCCAAATGATCACAAGCATCTTATTTCTCTGTAAATGTACGTTGAACAACACATTCACACATACTGATATGTCTGCAGCAGTCCAGTATTGGATGATAACATCTGCCAACTAGCACAGCAGCTGGGCTCCAGAATACCACAAAACGTAACAGCTATCCCTGGAAAATGACATGAGAGGAAGAGAAACTTGTTCTGTCTGGTTTAGAAATGGGTGGAAGATATATTGGAAAGTTAAATAGACAGTGTAATGTAGCTGCGCTGCAAATGCAAACATTTAAGATTAACAACGAGCTTAGAAACAGTCTGTGAGTTTTTCCAGAGTGCTGATGAATCGCAGAGTCGACTACAAATCTGTAATTCCTCAGAGTGATAAAATGATGTCTGTTTTGTGTTATTAGATGACATTTCGCTCCCACCAAGGCTGCTGAGTGTCTCAGAGTCACTGCAGATGTCCACCTCTGACTACATCATGACTACATTTTTGCATATTTTGTTATGGCAGATCTTTTTATTAGTTGTCGGACAGTTTGCTTACATTTAAAACAACACAAGCAAGTAGGTTATAAGCTTCAGGTGCTTTATTAGAAGCATTAGAAACATTTCCTCCCTATAAATCTCTCCTCTTGTCATGTTTTTTTTTTTTAATGTTGTGGTTTTTTGCCATCACATGACAGCTACACGGGCTGAAGGTTAACCACAGATGTTTAGATTCATGCGAAAGCTGTTTAGACTAACTGGCAGTTGAATCGACCTTCATGCGAAGCACCTTATGCAACATGCGGTCGTGCCCCTGCGTTTCCCACACTTCATCGAGCTCACACTGTCGGCTGCAGTTTGGCCCTTAGAGGAGCTATCAAGCATCCTACTCTGGTATTATTTCACTATTTTAAAATCTCACCAACCACCATGTAATCATTATGCTCTTGCAGGCTTCTATTTACAATTACATTCGGGTTACTTTTTCCCCAATTTGTGGTAAGTAAAAAAAAATGTGGCTTGCAGAATTAAATATTTCTGGCTGCGTTGTTACCTCTCTTGCAAAAACGTATTGTTTTTATTTTGTTTGCAATGATTCATTTTACACTTATGTGCAAGCTAAGAGCAAATCTCGTCCTCGAGTGATTCATGGGCTGTTAAAGTATCTTGTCAAACAGCTAAAGACAAGTTTATTTTTCTTACTCACTGGGTTTGACACTCGACATGAAAACGGTGCAACTGTTGGTGGGCTGATGTGATTTATGGCGCCGCCTGGAAGTCAGTTAGTAGCTGTGTGAACCGGTGCCACGCTGGGCCTCACCCGGGCCTCGGCCTCTAGGTGGGCGCTTCATTTGGATGACTACTGAAATTAACCGAATGTCATCATGATATCAAATTCCAGTTGTAATTTTGTTTTATTTCACATACGCTGCCACTCTTGGATTGAAAAGACTCCTTCTCAGAGTTCGCCCGCACACAAATGTTCCCTAAAACACACAAGCAGTCGAGCTTTTCCATGTTCGGGTCCTGCACCCGTCTCTCCATACTTCCTCTTCTGGCTCCAAGCTGTATCATTTTTCCGAAGCTGCATTTATCCTCTGGGGGATGCTCACTTCCTTTGAGCAGCAGTTTATAAATAGCGTTTCAACTCCGTTCCCCCTCCGAAAATCTGTTTTCACTGTACAGGCAAAACATCATTTTATTCTGCTGCTGTTTGGTTTCACCTCATGATATCTATTTCAAAGCTTCTCCGGAGTATCACCCAAGGCTGGAGTTTTGTTTGATTTCCTCTCGGGGTAGAATCTTAGTCAGCTAAAATATTTAATTCGGTGAAACATCCTTTTTTTTTTTTTTTCCCCCTCAACACCGGAACAAACTCCCGTAACAGGTTACAGTAGGCGGCCAGAGCCAGAGTTTATTGTTCGAGACTCAGACTGTTTATGTGGCAGTGTGATGGCAAGCGTAATGACTCCGCCATGCTGAGACCAGTGACATTCATCCAAACACAGTCCCTTTCCCCTCAGCGAGCTGACTTCAGCATTGGTGTGTGTCAGGAGGTTTCATCATCTCCGCTTCTTGCCTAAACGATACCATTGTTCACGCTGACCTGCAAATATTTACATTTGAGTGCACCGAGAGGGAAAGTTCATCATCCCTGGGTTCTGTTCCCATGTCCTGTGTGTGAAAAAACACACTCTTGCGAGGATGTTTTTGTGTTTTCACTTAAATAATTACTACTATGTATTACTTTACAAGCACATAAAACCAAAACCGGCACTCCTAATTCCTGTATATTGAAATAAATTCATTTTCAATCCCGTGTTGAAGTATAAATCAAAACAAAAACCACAGTTTTGGTTCTTAATGTAAACTCTTTGGGAATGCAGACTGTTATGAGCAGACGGAGCAGGAGTTCAGCAGCTGTATTGTATATTTAGCTGTATGATCTCGAAAAGTTCAAAGACAGAAGTGACACAGTGCTCTATCTGTGAAGGCAAGGAGCTCTCTGACTAATGTCCGATGAATGCTCGCCACGGTGAGGGTGGGTGTGAATAATGGACCCATCTGTCTGCACAATGGGCTTCTTGTTTGGGCGAAGTTCCCCTTTAATCCTGGACTTTTGACAAGCATGATGAAAGTTTGTTTGGCACTAAGGTGGCATCAGATTTTTCCGTGTGTACTACGATGGTCACGGGAACAAAGGGAAGCAAAATATGCCTGCTCTTCTTGTTAATGTTGACAGCTGAGTCACACTGCGAATATGCTCCACTGACTGTATACCATATAGGGATGACGTGTCAGCGCTAGATAATGCATTGAATTAGGTTGAATGGTGTGCCATAACATTAAAACCTCTAACATTGTGTGGCTCCCATTTGGGCTGCCAGTACAACTCTAACCAGTCAGGCTATGGACTCTTGTGTCTGGCACTGGGATGTTGGCAGGGGATCCTTTGGGTCTCGTAGGTTGAGGGGTAGGGCCTCTGTAGACTTTTGGACACATAATCAGATTGGGATGTGGGGATTTTGAAAGTTGGGTCATCACCTTTTGGCTCTTTGTCATGTTCCTCAAGCCATTGTTGAGTAGTTTTGGTGCTGCCATGGGGCCCATAGGGCAGTGCAAACATGTTTAGGTGGTTGGTACTTCTTAAATTAACATCCACATAAATGTTGGAATACAAGGTTTCCCAGAAGAACATTGCATTGTAATAAGAAAACTAATGTTATTGCTTCACCTGGTTTAATCTTGTGGCTGATTGGTGAAGCCATACAGTGCATCTCCAGTCTTGATCATTCGGCAACTCCAAAACCAACAACTTGGAAGACTGGCACACCAGTTCCAGTCCAAGAATTTATTAATCTAAACATACAGTGTTGTTCTGCTGGACAGTTTTTCACAATAAAATCAAGGGTTGTGAGATTTCAGGAAAGTGACAACGACATGTTTTCTAGACAGTTCCAACATTAATCCGGGTCTTAAACTGCACAATCAAAGGTGTTCACTGAAACTTGGCAATTTAGTTTAAAACTATTCTGACTCTTAGATTAGAGAGTTAAATCATGAAGCTCTGTCCTGTACAGTAACAGTGGATTGGGTAAATTGGTGCAGCATCATTAGCAGCTTTTGACTTCACCATTTTGTTGTGAAGTTATTTAAAGCACTACTGCAAGCCTAACTATGTCTTATGTTTCTTCCGCATTTCTTTTTCTGGTAGTTACCCACAAAAACAAATGCTCTGTGTTGACTTTTACTGCTGTTAACCGTTAACCACCTTCTGCTGTTTGTGTCTGCAGGTGCCGATGAGGAGTATATCTACATGAACAAAGTCCTCGTGACTGGAAAAGAAAGAGATGACAGAGGTGTGAGTTTTAAACTGATCCGCCCTGAAGTGTGAAAACAAGTGTTTGTGGCACTAAATAGGCAAAGTTAACTACAACAATGAAATGATTGTATACCGGAGTTCAGCAGTCTGACTTTCGTGTTCACCGAAAAGCTTTGGCGACTTTTTTCCTTTTCACAGTAGTGGAAAAGTATTGTTACGTTGCTTAAATATTACGCAACTCTAAGTAAATCCCTTTTTCTTATTTAAATACTTAAGTAAAATCTTCTCAGAAACTACTCAGTATTAGTTACTTTGTGTTCGTTGATGTTTACCATCAATATCAGGCACTTAATTCTCATGTAGAAAATAACTTATAGAGATGAAGCATGCTTTTTGATCGTAGACAGACCACTTGAGATGTTGTTGAACCTATAAGCAGCCACCCAAGGTCCTTTAACTCATGTGCATGCTAGAATGTTTTGTAGTTTCTGAACATTTTTAAGTGAATTTTCCAAGTCAACAGACTCTGTTCAGCTTCATTCAGATGCACAATGATTGGTGGTAACATCTCAAAACTCATGTGTTTTCATCTGATTTTTATTGTTCTGTTTTGAAGCTTTATGCCCACAAAAGTGCAGATAAAAGGCTTCATTATAAATACAAATTGTTGGCTGATCCAATAGTGAATTATAAAAGTGTTAAAGTAGTTTCCTGTCTCTCTTTGACAGCAAATTAAGCATCAAATTAAAGGAAAAGGGGGGAAAAGTAACAATAATAATGTATAGAAAGTAACCAAATAGATTATACAATGCATACTCGAGTAAAATTACAGACTTGAAATATTACTCATATTCGTAGGTTTCCTGAAAACTATAAAGTGATAAAATGAGCCGTGTCAGCTTTACACCTGCTGAATAATGTTGCCCAAAACTCAGCTGCAGAGCCGCTGCCATAACTGTAGAATCCTACAATTGAACTTCAATTTTTCAATTTCAACTTGGCCCCAAAAACATGCAAACAAACCAGCATTACATAAAACACAAATAAACAGACAGCTCACCGACCGTCTCCCACCCACGGTCCCACATCTCGTCTTCGTACGAGAAACATTTTTGAAAGACCCACACGATGCGTTAATAAATCAGCACGAGGAGCAACTTCAGATTATTTCCAGCACAAATAAACTCAGCATTGAGCAATCCATGCAAATTAAAAGCACAAACAGGTTGTTTGTTGTTGAGAAGACTGTCGGTTTAGTCAGATTTTTGTTATTCAGTTTAGGAATGGGAGACGGTCACATTTCCTAATCAGACATTAACAAACAGAACCAAAACAAAAGTTAACAAAACAAGTTCTCTGAATAAGCTTTGAGTGTCTGATTAATCCTGTTGTGATAACTGCGATTTCACCATTTCACTCTTAGCTGGGTTCAACTTTGGAAAGCATCACCTTTGTAAAGGATGTTTGTTATGAAAAACTTTGACCCCCCAAAACGAGTTTTTTCCAAGTGGGTCAAACAGCGCTCGCTTGTTGTGTTGTTGCATCTCATGCTCAATTTGGCTTCGAGTGAACAGCAGACACGATAAGCTTCTGCGAGCAGCGTCCCCCTCCTCCTCCTCCTCCTCCTCCTCCGCCTCCTCCTCTCCCCACCATTTCCTGTCTGTTTCTTCGTAGCTCCTCACCATCTGAGACTGACCTGTTTTGTTTGGACGGTGATGAAGAATGTGGTTTGAGCGAGCAGCAGACTTAACACACACACATATTTTCAGCAGCGACGCTAGCAAAGCCGCAGGTTTTCTTTTACAGAAACTGATGGTGAGGTGGTGGTGGTGGTGGGGGGCGGGGGACAAGAAAGCTGAGATGTAACAATCGCTGCATCTAAATGGCCGACCACGTGGTTAGACGCGAACGCTCTCCTTCATTTGAATGTTTCAGACTTTAATGTGGCAGTAAAGCATTGTCTGTAAAACAGTTACAGTTGTCTGAGTCCTGTTGCGTCTGTGGGAAATTGTGTTTTCAGTTCTTACAAATAGACACCGACATACAGCACAAATGAAAACGTCGCTTTATGTCCTGAGCAGGTGCATTGTTTTTTCTTCTTTTTTTGCCCTCTCATTGTTGAGGATGTTCTGTAAAGTTCATGTTTGAGGCAGAGAAACATCAAAACAGTGAGAAATCTGATGAGATAATGACTGTTTGACATCTCTGCTCCTGTGTTTCTGTGTTAATCCAAAGACACAGCCCCAGAAGAATGATGCTATTCCATTTAAAATACATATATTTACATAAGAAGTATGCTTCAGTGAACAAATTTAGAGTGTAATCAGATCATTTTTGATTCCAATTTTCTTTTTATATCATTTTGATTAATATAAAGTCGTTCATAAGTTTCATTTCAGGTTTCAATGTTGCTCTTACTCTAAGTGCAACATCAGCTCTTAGTTCTCTCAAGGCCGTACTCTTACTGTTACACATGTGACTAAAAAAGTATGTCAATTTTTGCAAATGGCTAAGCCTCTATATGACTCATGTAAACAATAAAAAAAGCCTATGTATGTCAGTGGCTTATTTTTGCACTGCCAAAATGTCACGTCAGCAAACCTAAATACTGCTTCATTTGAAATTGCGACCCACTTAAACATCCTCAAGATGCAAGAATAGAACTGAAGTGAAAGTTCATTTGGTTGACTTTGTTCAGTTTTTTTTTTTTACTATTAAGCGGGCACAGTAGAGTGGATAGTTAAGTATTTTGTGAAATATGGCTCTTTGCATTCTTAGTAAGACTTGGATAAGAACATTGATGCACCCCAGAGGCAGCAAAGATGTTACTCTGCAGAAGTTTGATGTGTCTTGATGATAATGTTTGCTTGATATGTTCAAATGAGCATGATTACAAAGCTTTGGTTCAACGTTTTCATGAAATGTCATTTGCAAGAACAGATAACTCCATTTTTGTAGATTTTCAGAAAACTTATTTGTTTGTTGTTTGCTTGAGATGATATCAATCAAACTGAAGTTGATTTGACTCAGTAGAAATGACACAAATAGAGACAATTTAAGTTTGTTATTGTCTCAGGTAGATGATGGAAATGTGGGTTTTCTGAAGGTTTGTGAAGATGGAGTTCTGTTTTTGAAAATGAACTCTTCATACAAGTCGACATAATTAATCTCAAAGCACATAGTGAAGCTTTATAAGTCATCTACATTAATGCACATTTAGCTCTTGGCAAGAAAGCAAGTCATCATTTTACTAATTATTTCCCCAAACAGCTTTTTAACGAGGTCACCAACTTCCAATTTTGGGATCCACTGCTTGACGTAAACACTCCCCGTTGTTAAGGCTTCTTTCACCTCTTATGCAAAGTCCTTCCCAATTTTTCTTGAATGTGCGCTGTGGTCTTGTGTGTTTGGCACAACACGGTCGCTGCTGCCCTACAAATGCTTCCCCGTGATTTGGGTTATGTGGTCACTGTAATTTAACAATGAAGGTTCTGTGCTCACACTGACGGTTGGCGAAGCGCTAATATGAATAGGAGACAGCTGGACATCTGGGAGTCAGGCGCGATAAAAATAGACCGGAGCAGTTCTTTCACTTATTCCTCATTCCTGTGTGTCTATTTGATAGTATTCAATTAAAATGTTAAGATTCTCGTCACGCACTTGACCTTCCGATCTTTGCTTTTAGGCGACAGATCGGACGCCCTGGTGAACGGCAAAGGAGCTAAATACGTCCCCGTCCCGCAGAAGAGCCTTCCTGACCTGCCGCCCCCGAGAACAGTAAGTGATTCCCAGCTCCTTTCCATCAGAGCGGATTAGCATGCACAATGATTTGGCTTAGCGCTCCAGCTTTTGGAGCCTCTGCCACTGTGGTGGGAACGGTAATAGCATAATTGACCCCAGCAGGACCGCTGAATTCAATAAAGTGCACGGGACCGGTTCAGTGGAAATCATGATATCTGACTGTAGCTTTGAATGTAATTGACGATATTTTTGGTCTTTCAGCTTCGAAACTAACCTTCCGTGGGTTGATGTCACATATTGAAACAGAATTCCATTGGTTTTTAATATACTAAAACAATTGCAGTCTGCGGCCGGGCAAGCCAAAAAAATTTCCCACAGCCCCTCAGAGTCGCAACCCCGAAGCTACGCGAAATGTATTCTCCCACAGAAACAGGTATTTAACAGCTCAGGACCGGGAGACAGAGGGCTGTGGTGTGTTTTATGTCGACTGGTGGCTCCTGAATTGGCCCAGTGTGATTTCAGGAAAAACTCAGAGAATGAGCGGTCTCGAACATCCCGTCAGCGCCTTTGAACTTCGCTCACACTCGCGCACACACACATGCATCCACAGTGGCCTCCTCTAATATAAACTACAGTAGCAGCTGGTGCTAATCAGAGCAAATGCTTAGTGTCAGCACGTGTGCATGTGTGTGCGAGGGTGAGCGTGGAAGCAAATGAAATGTTTTTTCTCAGTATGTAAACTCCAGTTTTTTTTACAGCATCAGCATTTTTTTTTGTTTTGTTTTATTATAAGACTTATATTCTCGTTTAACCCTCTGAACCCCAAGCAGTTTATGGGTGTTTGTTCTTTACCCACTGTGGCCATGTTTTAAACTGCAATATAAAGTCATGCAGCTCTATGGAAACAGCACAACTAAAGCTAGAAATATGCAGAACACAGGAAATGTCTTTAGTGCTGCATTACAGTTATAATGCATCAATCATGCAAAAAGACAAAACAAACATTAAAAGTCCTTCATTATTTATTTTGCAAAAATGTTAAAAACTGGAACATTTTTCCAACAGGTGCTACCAATAATCAAAAAAATAGAGCCTCTACATGCTATAGACAAATTACTATTTACATTTATAATTTATTGTCTTCACTCTGCTCTGTGTAAAGCCGCTCACAGTTCATGTTAAAAGTCCCAGAATTTTCATAATATGAATGTTGGTCACAGCTGAGTCACACATAGCTTTTCAGTTTCACACAAAAATGCAGGATTTTTTGGCTTTTGCAGAATCTAGTTCGCGCAAATAATCTATTTTTGGTGATTTTTTAAGAGACATATAGAATACATTTATTTGTAATAAATATCATGATTTTAGGCTAAGTTTTCATTATTTTGCCAACCAAACATCAAGTCACACATTACTTCAAGCACTGCCAGAAAGCCTAAAATCTGAGTATTCTTTCTGTTTTTGCCCTTTCTTGCTTTGAAAACTTTTGTTATTTCAAAACTTTTGTAGTATTCAAACCCGCCAACAGGTTTTGAGGTTCAGAGGGTTAAAAACGAACATCACATTGTTTTACAGTTGTGCACTAATTTCACAGGGGCAGCATAGGGTCCACAAATCCCTCAAATGAGTCCGGCAAAGGCATGTATTCTTCCTTCTGATCTGCGTCCGGTTTTGGTATAACTGGTCCCGTCTTGGGAAGCCGGAGTAAACACGTCCACAGTGAACCACTCTTTGGGAATCCCTTCATCTGCCTGCGGGGCTTCCATGCGTCTCCAGTGATGGCGTATTCAAGAGTCAACATGTGTTTCACTGTGAACGCAGAGTCCGCCCTTACCATTGCAGTGAACAGCGCCCCCTTGCTGTTGATGTAGTGTCCGGGCATGGCCGTCCACTGGCCCGTCGTGATGTTATAGCAGTCCATTAGGCAGCGCAGGAAGTCATCACAGGGCCCGTTGCGCATCACATACAAGTTGTCCCTGTGGGCTACCATACAGTGGCCGTAGCTCTGAGGTCGGATCATTGTGGTGGCGAGCTTCCACTCATCTTTCGCTGGTATGTACTCATAGATGTCTGTGGTGTCTGGTGGCTTCCAGAAGCAAACAAACATCCGCCGCCGCGCAACAGCACAAGCTGCAGATGCTACAGGTCTTGGTGCATGTTTTATAAGAGTCCACTCTCCCTTTGAAACATCATAGCTCTCCGCTGCGGAAATCGTTCTCGTTTGGAACTCTCCGCCGATGGCGTAGAGTCGGCCCTCGTGTCCGAGCAAGGTGAAGTCATATCTCGGTTGCTGGGGACCCGGAAGAGTTGTCCAAACCCCCGACTCTGGGTCATAACAGAAGCTACTGTCTACTGTGTCTTTGCGGTAACCGTAAACTCCCCCTACGATATACAGGCGATTGTCCAGCACCGCTACACCAGCCATGGAGGTGCTACAAAGAGTTGGGAGGTTTGTCAGATGCTTCCACTCCTCCGCCTTTTCGTCAAGGTAGCAAACAATCCTAAAGGAGTCTTGCAGCAGCTCCATTGAGGGGGTATGGGTACCTAAAGCGATATAAGCAGAAGGAGACAGTGTTTGAGAATACTGCAGCAGCTCTTCAGGGATTGTAGTTTCTGCTGCTTCCTTAAGGTCCTCAAAAGCATCACAGAGAAAGAGAGCAGCACTGTGAAACAGCGTTTGCACCCCAAAGATGGCGGCTGCGTGGTAAAGCAGGAGGCAGTTGTCTGAATCTACAATATCACAAAGATGCTTCACCAAACAAGCAACCTGCAGGAAAGCAGCACATTCTACAGCTTCAACCAGCTCATCCGGGTCAGTGACGGCGGGAATCTCTCCCCTGCAGACGGCAAGGGCAATGAGGAAGCCCCTCGCACGCACTCCTCCTTTCAGGTGGAGCTCGTCCTGCTGGCTTTCTTTCATCCCAGAGTGAAAGAGAGCACGGAAATAGTCGCTGTGCCTCGCAAGAAAAGCTCGCTCCACGCTGAACCAGCTCTCCTCCACCCTCACCCTCACCCAGCCCGCCTGGCGCTCTCCGTCCCCCGGATCAGGGGTCGCATTCTCGGTGTGAATATCCTGGTTGATTCCCAGGCCTTCAGGCGCTTCCATGATCCCTTAAACCAGGATCTCTTTTCTTCCCAAAACAGGCCCTCGAGTGATTAGTCAGCGTGTGACTCGAGTGCAGATTAGCCATTTTTTCCCCAGAGCTGCACGGTAAATAAAGTTTTGTGCGACTTCCATTGCGTCCCGTCTGCATGGTCCGAAAAAAGCGCGGGACTATAGATAGCAGCTGTGCCACTCGCAAGCGTCAGGCAGGAAAAGGAAAACTGTTGACATGCACTGCGAGCGGTAACGCGGCCGCCGGCAACTGGTCATTATCATAACCGCAATACAATTGGCCAGCGTGCGTATTTGCTGAATTATTCATGATTATGTTGCCCCTTGAAAACCGGCTCGCTATTTACATTTTATATGTGCAGATTTTTCTTTATTTATAGTTATAAATTTTAAGTTAGTTACTTGTAAAAGTTTATTCAATCTTCAACTAAAAATACGAAGGGTTTCCAGGAGGTCAAAGTGTTCCCAAGAAGATAATGGGAAAATAAATACAGTATGTGCACAGTGTGTGTGTCATGTGAATTTCTCCTTCTACCTCCTGCCATGCAGCTGACATGTTCTGCCTTTTTTTTAAATTTCCATTTCCACACACGCTACTTTTAGTTTCCAAACAGAAAAAAAACTGCAATGTAAGAAGTCATAGAGATAGAAAAGAGCCAGAGATTTCTCCTGAATCTTGTTTTCCAAAGCGGAGCTGCACTGATAGCTTTTTATCACTACCTTCTCCTCTGCTCTGAGCTCCCTGCCGGCTTTCAGATACACTGTGTGCGAGTGTGTGTGTTTCTGCTTGCGCCGGATTCTTGGCATGGGAACTGGGGATTTTCCATGTTCCTCTGACTATTCGTTTTTTTTTTTTTTGGGTTCTTTTTCCCACTCTTTACTCAAAGCCCCTCCACCACACCCCTGTCCCCCCCCGCCTCTCTCTTCGCTTTGTTATTTATGCTCCGACTCCTCAATCCATTCCTTCTAGTTGATGTTTCTGTGGTGAGGATGTATGTGTGTGTGTGTGAAGTGAAAGGAAAGGAAAGGGCTAAAGCTATTAAAGAGCTGGAGGGGAGGATTGCAAAGTCCTCTGGGAGAAAAAATACACACACCTGGCTGGCAATGTCCTTTTCTTTCCCATCAGTGCAGCTCCTCACTGTACTGCTCTTTAGCCTTGACCCAAACAACAAGCAAGATTTAGTTTTTCTGGGAGATGAGTGAAATGGAAAGAGAAGAAAAAAAAAAACAGATAGAGATAAGAGTGGGTGGGCGGTCTGGGGGGTTGCTGCTGCTCTGGAATGTCTGGCGTTTTGTTTTAATTAATAGCAGATGCTTTAACTGCTCTCTCTTTTGCTATGGAGCAGTTTACAAAGAATCACTTTCTTCCGAGGAAGTTCCTGTAAAGAGTCTGTAAAGGTCTCTCTTACTTCTGCTGTCTTGTGTTCTGATACTAATACTTTTGTTTATCATTATTATTCATTTCTGTTGTGGTATAATTAAAAAAAAAAAAAATCAATAACATCTATATAAATAGACATTTATCAATCAAATCAAATCAGGTTTATTGTCATTTTGCTGCACATACACAGTAGTACAGGCAAGATGAGAGAGCGTTTCTTCAGAATTATTTAATCAGTAAGTTTTGGGGAATGAATGTCTGGGATAGGCAAGACACTATACGTTCATTCTTGCTGTCTCCTGAAGGGGGCCCTGCGTCCATACGCGCCACCATTCGTTGAACATGGCGAACCTCTTCAGGTCCTGGTAGGTCTTCAGGGACACAAAGACACACATGATGGTGTGACAATGGTGAAGCGAGCTAGCTGTCTGTCTGTCCACCCAGAATAATGTCGTCCCCTCCAGCTGTATGTCCGTCTGGGATGCTGTCATGGAGCCATGTTTCTGTTAAAGCAGACTCTCAGCAGTCCCTCCACTCTCTGAGGGTTTCTCTCAGCAAACGTAGCTCATCCAGCTTGTTGTGGAGGGAGCGGACATTGGAGAGTAGGAGTCCTGCTGGTCTGGAGGGGTTAGCCTTTAGCCTAGTATGGATCCGGGCTCTCTTCCTCCTCCTTTGTTTACATTCGTACTGTTTGGCTTCCTTCTCTCTCGGGTAACTGCTGGCGTCGTCTCCAATAGGACTCCGTGTTGGTGTAGTTTGTCCACATCACAACCGATCGCTGCAGTTCCAGCACCGTTCACTGTCCTGACGCCCAGCAAAGTCTCCCAGCTGCAAGTTTTGCAGAATGAACATCTGAGATAGACAAGACACTCATAACGTTCACTTTCATTGTCTCCTGAAGGGGGCGCTGCGTCTATGTGCGCCGCCATCACCATGGCAACCGATTACTCTACGAGCATTAAGTTAAAGTTAGTGACACATATTTTATTGTATCCATGAATGTATCTAGTAGATGCATTTAATCTCTGGTGTGAAAAGTGAAGCCAATGCAGAAGTGACTGAAACCTGTATTCTTGCTAACAGCCTCCAGGGGGCGACTCGTCTGGTTGCAGAAAGAAGTCCAATTGTATAGAAGTATATGTGAGAACTAGCCTGCTTCTCGTTTGATTTGGTACCTCAGTGAACATTTTCCTAATAAGTTTATGGTCCCACTTGAGTCTCCTTCAATACAAAATGATGCTCATTTGGTCTGTGATGGTCCCATTTACAGTAAAATAGACAATAAAGCAGAGCATGCTTTAAGGAGAGGCTGCCTTGTGCTTAACAAATTGTTACCATATGGGAGTGTGTCGATCTCTCAGTGAGATCCTCCCCTCACTTAACCACATCCGGTTCCAAAAGACCAACATGGCAAAGGTCAAGTTCGAACCCGGTTGTCGACAAACTAATCGGTGACGTCATGGTAGTCATGTCCATGGCTTAAATACAGTCTAGACTTGTCTTCGTCAATTCAAAGGTTGTTTATCTCAACCATTGTGTAACTGGATTATTTGTTTAATTTATGGTCCAGATTATTCTGTATCAAGATTTAGTCCAGAGACAAATCTTACAATACTTTGTGTTTTTACCTTCAATACGAATTACAACTGCCCTCACAAAGTACTGACTGCTGCATACAGTATGCGTACAATCGGGACACAGCTTTGTCTGTTGCATTCTGTATTCAAACGAGTTGTGTGCTCTTGGGGGGCTCAAGCTCTCGTAAGACACCGTATATGACGGAACTTTGCAAAAGATTGTGGGTCATAGTGGCCAGTAGAGCAAAGCTGGTTTGCATACTGCAAAACGCGACCAGGTGTAGTCGGACATCCTGGTATTTTTGACATTCTGCTTTTTGACAATCTAAGTATTGGGATGTGATAAATCGTTTTCTGGCATACTTTATAGTATGGTAGTATGACTATTGGAATACACGTTCTGTGGCTGAAAAAGACACAAAGTGTGCTGTTACTTAATTACAGTGATGTGAGGATTTAAGGTGTGCTTGGACTTAAACACTGTAGGTAAAAAAAGAGAACTTTTTCATGTCATACATGCCACAGATGTACAGTAACTCCTATGATTAACAAAGTGCCAGTGAGCCAGTGTAGCTGGAGCACCTAAATGTAAGGCAGTGTTATTAGTTACACTTGTGTTGGAGTCTGCTCTTACTGGCATAAGCTTAACTCACTTTGACTATTAACTTTCATTTATCAAACTGTGAACCTTTTACAATTTGCTTTGTTTTGTTTTTTTTTTTTTAAATCTGCTTGACACTGCATCATTTTGAAGAAAGAAAACTGTAACTGAGATCACATTTGTAACAGCTGTGTTTGCTGATGCTTGCATTACGAGAAATCTCCATAATGTACAGCGGATGGTTCCCTCCTTAAACTGCAGTGATAACATTTCTGTCCCACACATTTTTTTTTTTTTTGGATCCTTTCCTCCACGTTCTGGCATGCAGGCTAATCACACAAACAAGTCCTCGTCACAGTGACTGTGTGCAGACCGTGACATGACGCCAGTTATTATGACAGCTTACTGCGTCTGCTGCGCATTACTGGAAAAGTGTTAGATCACCAGCGTGATATGGTGGGAAAAGATTGCAAACAGGGAATTCCCTGTTTACTGGGAGTTATTGCGACTGTCTGTGACAGCCCACATCAAAAATAATGATTTTGTGACTTTTATAAAAACAGACAAACGTGACTTGGTTTTCATTCTGTGCCGGTCCATAAATCTAAGCTGAACCAGTGACTCCACTTGAACTCTGTTCCACGCTATCTGAAGACCAGCCACAGGTTTGCAACCACCAGACAGAATTTATTGCTGCTTGTCTTTCTAATTGAATTTTAGAACGAGTAAGCAAAAGCTGATTTCAGATTTATATCGCTTTTGTAGTATTGTTGTACTTTTAACTAACCTTCACCCTTAATCGGGCAAACTCTGCTTAAAGCTCATATTCCATATGTCTGTAATCTTGTAGATATTATGACAGCTTTTCAAAAAACTTCGTGAAAACGCAGAAACACAAACCTTGTGTTCAGATCGGTGGTGGGAGGAAACACGAGACGGATTACTTCTTGTCATTCAGCTCATACTGTAGGGTTTCATGGAGTTCACTTAAGAACTCTATGAGCTGCGTCCTCAGGAGACTTTTCCTCTGTGTTTTGCCTTTAACCAGAACACTTGAAATGTTTTTACATAGCGATGTGTTAGAAGAAAAAGTGTCATCTGTTTGACTTCTCTTCGTGGCCTCTGAGGAACCCTCCCTCTGTGGAAGTCTATCTTCGTCATCCATCACTTTGCCTCGCGATAAAAGAACGAATACGTAGATTTCATCTTCGCTGGCAGCTGCTGATGTTTTTGAGCTGATATGTCTTTTTTTTCTTCTCTAAAATATACCAAGACCCAGCTTGCATATCTCCCATCCCCTGCATGCCACCGTAGATAACCGATAGCGCGAGACTTGTGGTCACAGGTCGAGGGCGTTAGAAGTGTTGGAAGAAGTACGACGGAAATCCATCTGGTGGGAAGTTTTGGTTTCAGTATGAGTCAGAAAGTGAGACATCGAGACCACCTGATGAAATAATTCCAAGGTAACCTTTAAAGAAACCACATACTTGTAAGGTGACGGGTTTCACAAAGAAAGACGTGAATAGAAAATTGGTCACAGAATCGCCACTGTGCATAAGTGAGTCTTTACTAAGTCCCGCCCCCCTTGGTTACTGTTGCTATGCCACTGAATCTTTATCATTTTTAACAGAAATATTATGAAGTAAATAATAACACATTTCTGGAATAATACCTCTAAATATCACAGAGCAGTAAACAACAAAAAAAGTAGACTTGAAAGCTGTATTCAAAATATAATTTGCACCCTACATGCAGGACAAACACGATCAGGAACAACAATGTTCTTGCTCAGAAGTTTAAAGTGTGTTAGAACATAATACATAAATCACTTATTAATATTCAACCATCTTTGTGTAATAACAGCTGTGTGCTGCGTATTTAGTTAGTATATTTGTCGTGTTTTTGATGGTTTTATTCTTTATCTAACATCTCTCTTTTTTTTGTTTCTGGCTTTGAAAAAACAGAAAACACAGCATCTCCCTCTCTTAACATTAAGAATATCTGCTGTCAGACTTGCAGGTTCTACATTCACACTGCTTCTCTTGTCCTGAAGGCTTGACGGGTCTCGGCAGGCCGTGCAACAGCGGCCGTTCTCGTTTGAGGTGTCGGGCTTAGTGAAGGGTCTGTTTCAAAAGGGGCTTGTCACAGTTCCTCAGAAATAAAACCCAACAACAACTTCCAAATAACCTTGACTGTTGTTAAAAGAATTTCAACGCTGGATCAGCTTTCTCCAGAAGTTCTCCAGAATTTCTGGATAATGTCTTACGTATGACGTTCTGAAGAACACTGATGAGCTGAGGTTGTCCCCATCTGACCAGCATTAGTTTTCAATGCATCATTTCTCCTCTGACTTGCTCACAATATGTTTTGACATAAAAACTGCATCATTTGCCCAGTTATTGGAACATCTAAACCCAATGTGTGTAGATCTTTGGTGTATTACAGTATTACATAAAACTAAAATCATATATACAGCTGAAACCAGAAGTTTAAGTACACTGTATAAAAAGACACAAAACCTTTTTCTTTCTCACTATCTGACATTAAATCAGACTAAACTTTTCCTCTTTTAGGTCAGCTAGGATTACCACAATTATGTCTATTTGCTAAATGGCAAAATAACGAGAGAGAGAATTTTTTAGAGATTTTTTTTTACTACTTTCTTCAAGGTCAGAAGTTTACATACACTAAGATGCCTTTAAACCATTTGGGAAAGCCCAGATGATGATGTCATGACTTTGGAAGCTTTTGATTGGTTAATTGACAACATTTGAGTTAATTGGAGGCACCTGTGGATGTATTTTAAGGTACAACTTTTGGCAGATTTCCTTAGCAGTGTGTTTGAGGTGTGCCTTAAAATACATTCACAGGTGTGCCTCCAATTACATGTTGTCAATTAACCAATCAAAAGCTTCCAAAGTCATGACATCATCATCTGGGCTTCCCCAAATAGTTTGAAGGCATCTTAGTGGATGTAAACTTCTGACTCTGAAGAAAGTAGTAAAAAAAAAAAAATATCTTCCTCATTATTCTGGCGTTCAGCAAATATACATAATTTTGGTGATCCTAACTGACCTAAAACAGGAAAAGATTAGTCTGATTTAACACCAGATAGTGAGAAAAAAAAAGTTATGGGTCTTTTTATACAGTGTATTTAAACTTCTGTATATACTGAATGCTGCGATTTTTTTTTTTTTTTTGCATTTATGTCAAGTTAAGTATTACAGTTTGTTGAATCTAAAAGACATAGTTCAATATATACTTCAAGAGTCACATCATCAGTAAGAAAAACAAAGCTTAAAAAAAAAAAAAAGAACGGTTGCGATGACGGACGTCTCCAAAATGTATCTTAGATCACGGAGCTGATTTACTGGCTGTAGCCGAGTCTTCAGCGCGGGGCAGACAGACAGTCTTTACCACACAGGAGATGAGAAGGAAGACAGAAGTGAAACCAGACTGCTGAGTGATTTCAGGAAAGCCACTGAGCCCACACACACCCACACCCACTTAAATGCATGCTCCCCCTCTTATTTCCAAGCTCATACGTACACACACAGAAAACGCTCCCCTCACCCGAAGGCAGGCATGTTGCTCTCTGGTGCACCGGGTCAGACAGGGATTGGTTACATGAGGAATTCCCTCCTTAGTCTTGACGTGACAGCTGGATTAGCCACATGTTCAGCCTGCAGGGAACAACACATGTTAATAATGTGTGTTGCTGCTGGACATGTCTTCTTCCACTGATTGTCCATGTGTGGATGCTATAATGTTACAGGAAAGAAATAAATTGAACTTCTCTCTCTCTCTTTGTGTACCTTTCTTTTTTTGTTCCTGATCTGTAGGGTGTGGTGGTCCGGGAGCCGTTCCCGTTGCCTGTAGTTCCACCTCTGGCCTGTTTAGACGCTTCAGAGAGCTACTATGAGGAGGCTCAGCCCTATGAGGAAACAGTCAACGGTAAGACAGCTTCAGTGTCACATTTCCACAAATAAAGAATTGTCAGATTGAACACTAAAAATTCAAGTGGTATTACTAAAACATTGCCGTGAAGAGTGGTTCCTCGTGTTCTGGTGAGTGTTTGGGGTTGTTTCATCCCCAGGTGAACTTCACCGTTGTTCTCATGTATTCCAGCTGTTTATTCCAATCCAACGAGCTGTGTGCATTCCAAACCTTTCGTTGGACAGTTATCTGCTCCGTTGTCCTTCAGAAGACCTTCACTTTTGAGCTGCAGCTGGTTAAACAGACTGACGCAACTGTGACGCTCGCCTAGGTGCTCTCAAACGGGAAAAAATGACTAAGTGCTACTGTGCGCTATAATTATCAAGCACTGAGAGACCACGACTAAAACCTATTACAAGCTTAGCTCTACTGTAATGGTGCAGTAGGGTTGTTTACGTGTTGGGTTTTTTTGGTCAGATAGGTTGCTTTAATTGCTGACATGCAGCTGTTCTGTTTGGTGGTAAAAACTAAAAGGTATCTCTTCAAAGTCGGTGCTCTTAAATTAATATCAATACAGTACAGAGTATTCTGTTCTGAGTAGCTCACAGTTGCAAGTCACTTTATACTTAATTGGCTAAAATAATTCATTAAAAAATATCATGAGTATGTGGTTTTATACAGTCGCCATCACATTTATTCATACCCTCCCATTAAAGACGGAAAAAACAGGATTAGTCACTGAAATAAGTTGAAATTGACAAAAGTAATAATAAATAAAAATTTAATGAAATTCATGACGTTGCTTTTGAACTGCGGTTCAACAGAAATATTAAAAAAAAAAAAAAAAAAAGCAAACAATTTTGACCGACTGCTCATCAGCAAAGTGCTCTAATTTGTCCAGGACAGTTTTGTTTTTTATTTTTTTAATTATTCTTTTCAGCCACAATTCAAAAACAACATCTTATTTCACTAAATTATAATTTAGCAAATTTTTATTTATTATTACTTTTTTCAGTTTCTAGTTATTTGTATGACTATTGTGAATTTTGCCTTTTCTTTAATGGAAGGGTATGAACACATCTGAGGATGACTGTATATTATGGTGTGAAAGGTAACACAGGTGATCAGGCCAAATGAAGACCTGCCACAGATTTTCCTTTATGAAAATTTTGCTCCTGAGAATGTTATCTGCATAGCTGCAATTTCCGTTCATCTTTTCTACAAGTATTTGTTAAAGGCATTTTTTCCACTTTCCAATGTTGCCACTTTGTTCTTCTTCCTTTCCTTCCTGTTTCCTTGGATGTTGTGTAGATCTGGACTGTTTTGATCTCCTCTCACGGCCCTGGATGCGAGAGCTCAGCTCTGACAGTGTGGTCTATGCCGTTATCACCAGGGGTAGCTAGGATTTCTGTGTTTGCGTGTGGCATGTTTGTTGTCGTTCGAGGCGATAAGCCAAAATGTGCATGGGCAAACCGGCATGTCCCAAAGCGCTCACTGTCCAGCATGAACAGACAGCCGTCACTAATCAGCCTCATCTTATCAAGTTTCCTGAATTTATTGTTTTCACTTTCATCCTAACTTGTGGCGTCTTTTCCCTGGCCACCATCCATCAGTGCTGGAAGTGTGTATTCTCCTAATTGCTTGATTGTTGTGAGGAAATTCTCCTCCGTTCAAGAAAATCAAGAAACCGGACATTAACCTCATTTGCTTCTTCGAGCTCATCCAACAGACTCATCTTCATTCTTTTCTCATCCCTCGCAGTCGCGGCCATGTTGTAATTGTTGTCGCTGGTTTTAGATGACGGAGAGGCGGTCAGCAGTTCGTACGAGTCCTACGACGAGGAGGAGGTGACCAGAGGGAAGTCTCCGTCAGCTCAGCACCAGTGGCCGTCGGCGGAGGCGTCCATCGAGCTGATGAAGGACGCTCGCATCTGCGCCTTCCTGTGGAGGAAGAAGTGGCTCGGCCAGTGGGCCAAACAGCTGTGTGTCATCAAAGAGCATCGCCTGCTGGTGGGTAGAAATGAGCTTTTACCATGTTGGGGGGTGTTTTTTATATGCTGGATACATCACGAGCGAAATAAACAGTCAAACTTCTGGGGTTTCATATGTAACAAACCAAAGGAACCAACAGCAACGTCTTGGACTTTCTGTATCGTTATTCTTCATCAGAACCGGCTAAATGATTACAGTGGGGGGTGTAGATAGAGGCAGGGACTTCATAGACACAGATATGAGTTTTTAAAGGTCAAATCATCGACCAGAGAGAGACAGTTAGTGTCTAAAGCCCTATTCGCACAGGATTACTATGACCTCGGGACCAATGGTGATTCGTTATAATTGCGGAGGATGTCTGTGATCTCAAGCTGTCGCGGTATCTTATTTTTTAGGTAGTCCAACCTTTCTTTAATTGTCACCCACTCTCTGAAGTCCTTTACATCTGCAGTGAAAGTGGATTATTCTGGATCCAGACCAGGAAGATGAAGGATTAGTTTTCATTTTATTCCTGCCTGACTGTGTTTGAATAGGTTTGCATCTCCATCATCAAAAGCCTTCCATTCATCAATGAACCAGTAACTGGAAACCCACTGGTTTCAGAATTGGAAGCATTTAGCAACATCTCTGATTACAAAAACGATGTGTAAACACCGTACAATTAGTCTTCTCATCTGTTTCTTGAATAAATCACTGTAGAAAGCCGCATGAGGATCAGGTTGACAACATTTACCCGTGTGATAAACGAGACTATTGTCTTCTATGTGCTGAATAATGAATGGATTATGAGGCATTTTTAAAAACACCGTGGATAGTACAAAGACAAAAGGCTCCATTGTGACAGAACAGCATGAGTTTTCGAATAAATATGATTATACAAAGTACAGCTCATGTTAAACTGTCGTTAACGCATTGGTTTTGCCTCTCTCAGTGCTATAAGAGCTCCAAGGAGCAGACGCCTCTGCTGGATGTGAGTCTGCTGGGCTGCAGTGTCGTCTACAAAGAAAAGCAGCTCAAGAGGAAAGAGCACAAGCTGAAGATTATTCCAGTGGGAGGGGAGGCCATCGTGCTGGGCCTGCAGAGCAAAGAACAGACTGAGCAGTGGTTGAAGGTGACACATTCGCAGTGGTTTGCTTCACTGTTTCTGGTAAACAAATCCTGCAATAATCGGAAAATGACTCACGTCTCTTGTTGCTCTTTAGGTCATTCAAGAGATCAGTCCCAGGCCAGCTGAAAACTGTGACCCCCAACACTCCGCGTCCGACTCCCCGAGGCTTATTTGTACCAAGGTACGCTTCCTCCATACTTGTATCTGTAGTTTTGCCTCCAAGATGACGAGACATGCAGGTTTTGATAAGCCATTTGTTCCTCTAGAAGTTTTTCTTCTTTCAGATTTCATTGTCTTTTGCATTTCTGAGCGATAAAGTGACTAAAATGTAGACGTGAACACACAGGGGGAGCTGAGCGAGAGGTACTCGGTGGCTTCAGAGAGCGGCAGCAGCACAGACAGCCATGCTGAAACTCCAGAAAATAAAGATGGTGAGTCGCTCCCTGAAGGTTTTCTGTTTTAGTCTCTCTGATCAAGCTGGTCCGAGCACACGCGCTGGAATTTTGAAAGTTAAAAAAAATCATGTCACAATTTGTTCTCTTGCTCTTCTGATCTGCAGTGAAGAAAAAATACGGAGCAGGTTTGAAGTTCAGCAACCTCATGAACATTGGCAAGAAGAAACCCTCCTCACTAGAGAGCCCGGAAAAATGTGTCGACTTGTCAGGTGAGAACAAATCTACTTTACATGTCATCCTAAAGTCAGATGTCGTTTCTCTTTGTAGCCCCTGAAAGACTGTATTTGTATGCAAGACTATATTATTTTATGCAAGAGTAAAGATGCCAGTAATTGCCTAAATGTAGAATCATCACTCTGGATTCTTTACATTCAATCTAAGCCACACGTTTTAAATTTAAGTTGTTTCTTTTGATAGATGTGTTCATTTTCTACCACGAAGGAATTTGCAAAGATTTAGGCAGAATCATCCTCTGAACCCCAAACAGTATCTGGAAGATTTTTCACTGTCCATTGCTCAATGTGGGCTCATTTTTCACTGCAATATAAAGTCCAGCACCTAAATCAATAAAACAAACAACAAAAAACATAAATTTTCCTGAGAGGTCTTTTTCCTGGCAAATTCCCATAAATTGTCACAAAATTACTGCAGAATTCCCATAAGATTACCATAAAATTCCCATAGAATTCCCATGAAATTGCAGGAAAATTTCCATTAAATTTCCACAAAATGTTCAGAAAAGTCTTGGAAAACATCCACTATAGTTACAGAAAAGTTTCCAGACAATTCCCATACAATTATCAGAAACAGAATATCTTTTGTCATTTATTTTACAAAAATGAGGGGAAAAAAACCTGGAATCAACATGTACAATATTTTCCAAGTGCCCCCGGGTGCCAGGACAAAAGTGATGGCTCCACTATAGACAGCCTACTGCTTGCATGTTTGATTTGCTTCCATACTATCTGCCTCAGCCTGTAGTTCAGCCCAGTTCAACCACATAGTCCCTGAATTTTTGTCCTGTGACTTCTGGTTTCAGCGGAGTCATTAACTCTGACAAATGATGTCATTTTGGCTTTTTGTTTTTTAAAGATTGCTTCCATTGGCAAGGTCTGATTGCCACAGAACCATCTTATCCAGACCAGTGGGAGATGCTGAGATATAAATCTCTGACTTCTGAAACATTTTTGCACAGTCTGATTAAGCAGCAAGAGAAATGATGGACTTTTCTCCTCCACCTCCTGTCAGGCTACCTCAACGTGCTGGTGAACAGTCAGTGGCGGACCTGCTGGTGTCTTATAAAGAACGGTCAGCTGTGGTTTTACCAAGACAAGGGCAAGAACAAAGTGAGCCAGCCAGCTGTGACCCTGGAGGGCTGCAGCGTTTCGCCCGACCCCAGCCCCGAGCACCTCTACTCCTTCAGGATCGCCATGGATGGCACACAGCTGGCCACCTTGGAGGTACGTGATCAGTGTGTTTTCTGGACTTCTCCAAATGTGTTTAAGATGAAGAGAAATGCTTCAGGGTTTTTAAAAACACACACTGTATCAGCAGTTCTCTCAAAGAAAGATGTGCTGCTACCTCTTGGAATACTGAACGCTAACATGTCCTCATTCGAAACTGCTGACATCAGACTCGGCCTACGTAATATATGTATGCACACAAGGGTGGTCTGCGGGCTTGTGTGAGTGTGAGTGAGTGTGTGTGTGTGTGTGTGTGTGAAGGGTGTGGATGTACTGGGATTTCTTGGACTAATGCTACGCCCTTTTTCATTAGGCGCTCCAGTACCACCCTGCTGCAGTGCATATTTGGTCATAGGGAGTGGAATTTAATGTTGAGTCCTGAGGGCTCTCTCGGTCACACTAATATGTGGATTATTTTCCCGTCGTGAGGTTTTTTTTTTAGTGTTTGTTTTCTTGCTCGCTTTTCATTTTACAAACTGGAACTGGGGGCAGCACAAACCACGACAAGCAACAAATTCAGAAAGAGGGCCGCTTATTTGACCTCAGAGAAATACGTGTCAGACTATAAATACGTGTCAGTAGAGCACTTCCTTTAGTGAAAGTCTCAAAATAATAGAAAGCTGTGAACAAGAGGTGTCATATCAGGCTCGTTTCATGTGCATCAGTCACACATTCACATGTAGAGATGCTGAGCTGCAGTAGAGTGTCGCTTCTTTTACACTTTAAATGTGACAGAAAACAATACGTGACTACAGGCCACGAAGCAGCAGATGTTAAAAACAAGTTGTTGTCAGCACATGCAAACTGTTTCTTGCTTTTCTTTCACAGCTCATAAGAGTAGATATTCATTCTTTAGTACAGTGAAACACTTCTGGGAAATAAAGCAGCAGCAATCAGCAGTGGAAAGTAAATTCACTTTAGTACAATTTGGAGGTGCTTTTCTTGATTTGTTGTCCATTTAATGCAACTTTATGCCTCCACTGCTCTACGTTTGAACGAGAGCTGTGGTTTCATTTTAGGATTTTGCGTAATGATGTATTGACAAGGTTTGAAAAGGGATTAGGGATTAAATCAGTGGTTTTCAGCCATTTTTTTTTACCTCACACATCCTACAAATGCTGCAAGGTGGCGCAGTTGGTAGCACTGTTGCCTCACAGCAAGAAGGTCGCCGGGATCTTTCTGCATGGAGTTTGCATGCTATCCTCCAGGTTCTCCGGCTTCCTCCCACAGTCCAAAAACATGTTGAAGTTAATTGGTGATTCTAAATTGTCCGTAGGTGTGAATTTGAGTGTGCTTGATGTCTGTCTCTAAATGTTACCCTGTGATAGACTGGTTACCTGTCCAGGTGAACCTGCCTTCACCCTGAGTCAGCTGGGATAGACTCCAGCCCCCCCGCGACCCTAGTGAGGATTAAATAGTGCATAGATGATGGATGGATGGACGGCCTACAAACAGCAGCGTTTAATCATGGTCATGTCTATGAGTTAACAGCTCCATCACTTCTCGACTAACCCTCTAAACTTCTCTAATTTCAACAAATGTTTCAAACTCTCAGCAAAAAGAAAATCAAAGATTGGAGAAAAAGTCCAGAAGCTGGAAACTTCTGGCAAACTTTTTCACATCACTTTATCTTTATCTGGTGTTGCCGTATATCAAAATTTCTCAGAGTTATGACTCAAAGGTCCACGTCTAATTTAAAGTTTAAAGTCAGTCTGGAACAACTGGAACAACTGGCAATAACAAATCGTTTCCCTGCAATCGGTTGCGTCAGTGTAACCCCTGAACTTTATTGCTTGATTACGCCACAAACGTCACATCTTTTGTGATTTGGCAAGAGCTAAAAACCGAGGCGGACACGGCCGAGTTCGCCCCTTGTTTGTATTCTGACTCAGATGCGTTCTTACAAATTCATTTACGCTCGTTTTTGGATGTTGTGCACCAGAGAAAACAAGCCGCGTCTGTATCTGCGATTAAGGGGCCGATAGCGAATTCTCTGGTGTGACATTAATGTGTGAACTTGGCAGCAGTGAGACACTCTCTCCGGCAGTTAGCGTCGCTATGGCAACGGTGTCAACGATAAGGAAATAGGCCACATTAAAACCGCATTCGTCTGGGCGCGGGATTTCCAGCTACGCTCCGAACACACAGATGGTTTCTTATGAATAGAAAATGTATTTCGAATTAGAAGACATCAAACTTTTGCAGTTGGAAGCATATGGAAGTATATATAAGTACAGTAACATGCTGCTGACACGCTGATGCTTCAGTATTAATGATGTCATCTATAATAACATTAACATTTCGCTGCATTCAGATCAGAATTTTTATTGTATCTGAGTATTTTTACGCTTCTGTATCGTTGCTTTTCCTTTAGTAAAGGATCTGAATAGTTCCTCCACCACTGGTAGCAATCATGTTATTAATTCAGAGTGATGGATGGCACACAATGACAAACAATGAGGTTTTAAAACTCTTGATGTTGCAAGTGCCTGGTTTGTACTCAGCTCACATTCTTTCTTTTGCTTTCCTCCCCTCCCAGGCGAAGACATCAGCAGATATGGGTCACTGGCTGGGCCTCTTGCTGTCACAAACTGGGACCAAGACTGACCCAGAGGAGCTGACGTACGACTACGTCAACTCTGAGAGGATCTCCAGCATCGTGAACGCTGCAAAGACTTCCCTATAGTAGGTTTTTCACTTTTAGTTCACTTTAACTGTTCTCTGTACAAATGCGACCGAAACGTTTAAGTGAGACGTCTCTGTGTGTTTAATGTGTCTCTCCAGCTTGATGCAGAGGAGGTACTCGGAGCCCAACACCTATATAGACACCATACCTTCCATTTCTCACAACTCTGATGAACTGTACGACGATGTGGCATCTCTAGCTGATCCAGAGGTGAGCCGCTCTTATTGTTCTGCAACTTTCGTTTTCACTTTTACGTCCTCTGGCACGCTCTCCGACACAAACTTCCTCCTCCCAATGTTACACAGGATGCTGAAGAGAGCAGCCTGCCAAACTGTGAGGACAACAATGTCCAGGAACACAATGAAACATGCTCGCAAGATGCCAAGGACACAGCGGGAACAGAAGAGGACAATGACAATAGGATTTACCTGGACCTTGTGCCTGTGCGCTCCTTCCTCCATACGTCCTCTGGGGGTAAAGGCTCGCCAGGCAAAGAAACTTCCAGACTTTCTCCGGTCCCTGCAGAGGACCAGAAGGACTCCTCCTGTCCAAATAAAGAGGTAGGGAAGAAGGATTCAGTCAGAAATATGTTCTATATATGGATCAAATAGTTGTTAAGTCCAAAATACTCCTTTACGTTATATTTTGTGTTAATTCCAGGTCATTCCAACGAACCGTTCTGAGCCAACGCCTCCGTTAAATGAGATAAATTCAGCATCCAAACCAGCACAAGAGCCAGCCCAGACTCCAGCACAGCCACAAACTCAACCGGTCAAGACCTCAGCCCAAAGCCAGGAGACCCCTAAGAGGACCAGCCTGGGAGTCCCACAGGCCACCAACTCCCCCGGGGGGCACATCCACAAGGGCTTAACGGTGCAATCTTCTGCTGCTGCTGCTGCCCGGCCTCACAGCCCACAGCCCCTGCGGCCCAAAGCATTTACTATAGGTCAGGACAAAGAGAGACTGTAGGAGTGCAATATTGTCATTTGTTTTGCTATCACTACCACCATAGGCATCTTTTTTAAGATATAGAAAGTACTTTTTTTTTTAACATGAAGCAGGAATATCTTAAAATATCAATTTTATGCTACAATGGCTCCCTCTAGTGGAGAGTTGCGTCCTCTACAGGCAGCCTGCGCAGCTTCACAGTGGAATGGAGATGTAGGTTCCATTAAATATGCTTGTCTTTAATAGTATAAACCTTTCATTTCCAGGGTCTCCAGTTGAGGTCAAACTGGGTAAGAACCGCACAGAGGCAGACCTGCGGCGCTACATCGATGAGCGCGACCGCCTGGAGAAAGAGAGGGAGGAGGTGAGGAGCAGCCTGGCGAACCTGAAGAAGGAGAGGAGGGAAGCAAAGGAGGAGCTCGGTTCCTGCCAAGGTACGTCAGCGCTTTTCACGTCTCTGCTGCGATTCACACTGATCAGCGTGACTGACGGCTCTCTGCCATCCTCAGATCCCAAGCAGCAGGCCTCACTAGAGGCCCGTCTGAAGCAGAAGGAGGAGGCTTGTCGAGAGGCGGAGCGCCGCAGGGTGGAGGTGGAGCTGCGATTGGTAGAAGTGAAAGAAAGCCTGAAGAAAGTGGAGTCGGGGCCTTTCACGCTGGGAACCACACTGGACAGCAGCCTCCAGGACACGTCCACGGTCAGTGTGCTGTAAATGTAGAGAACGTGATGTGAGCAAGAACATGTTGCACTATTTCCTCTGAAAGCAGCCTTATCATTTTCCCCTCAGCCTAAACCAGCACCTGTGCCCACTCCCCAGCCATCATTACCTTCTTCATCATCATTATCATCATCATCATCATCCTCCTCTTCCCAACCCGCAAACAGCAGCGCCGGTGGTGCAGATCTGGCTTCTCCGGTCAACTCTGCCTCCGCTCTTAAAAACAGACCCGCCTCCATCATGGCCACGAAAGGCAAAGTTTTGCAGAAAGCCAAGGTGAGACTCTAGATTTTATCGTCACTTAAAGTCCGATTGTCAGTGGAATAAAGGATTACAGTAAATTATCCATTTGTTTTTGTGTTAACAGGAATGGGAGAAGAAGTCCACCACCTAGAAGGATGCTTGTTTTGACCTCTAAAATGGATAAGTTTCTGCTGGTCTGTCAGCCACATCACATCCACAGACCAGACCTTTCAACCGACATCCTCCCCTCCCTGGATCCCTTCATCGCCTCCTTGCCAAGACGACGAAAAGTCAAACCGAAAGAGGCACAAGCCGTCTTCTTGAATACCACTGGATCATCCTGAGTTCAATGACTTTTTTAAAAGTTATTTTTTTTTCTACATTTGAAAAGGGAGGAATTTGATGTTGTAGCATTTTTTTGGCCAGTGTAAGAAATGCACAAATGGGATGTTTCAACATTACAGTCAAACCATTTAAACCCACTGAAGACAGACCCCTCTGCTAAATTGGCCACTCTGTACACTTTAGATTGTAGCTTGGTTCATATATGCTGGTAGCCAAGATGTAAATATATTTACACCATTATCCAGCCTTGTGGCTTGTATTGCTAGCTAAAAATGCACTTTTTATTCAAATAAAAATGTACTGACAAAATTCTGGTTTGATTTTTCTTGACAAACATCTTCCTTCCCCTTAAACATTATATAACTAGTTTCTTGAAAACAGGCAGAAGGTTCGGTGTACCAGCTTTGAACATGGTGAAGGACACAGGAAACCTGCAGCATTAAACATTTACAGGGTAATTAGACTCACTGCTCACTAATGAAAATAAAACATTTATGAAAGAGGGTCATTTGACAAAAGGGTGCTTGTGTGGCAAATGTTTTGTGTGTGTCAGAATGTGCTCTGGTTATTAAATGAGAGGCCTTTTCATTTTGTAAAAAGCTTGTCAGCTGTTGTACAACTTTAAATGTAGACCGATACAAATCATATATCATCATGAAGTTTGTCCCATTGGAAGTTTTCTTTTTATCTTCTACCCCAAAAGTGATATTAGTCAAGTACAATTAAAAAACAGCCTCATATAACTAGTAATGAAATACATACATACATATATTTATAAAATTCTCAAAGAACTTTTGAACATCTAAACCCCTCAATTAGCCAATAATAATAAAACCATGAAAACAGCACATGAAGCATTTTTGGGAACAAAAATTAGAAGTTTTTTTTTTTTGATTGTACAAAGACAAAATTGTGGTGATTATACATTAAAAATAAAAACACAATCATGACACAGATATACACTGTAATATCGTATAAAAGTTTACATCCTTGAATAGAGAAAGAGAACCGTGTTGGTTGACAAATAAAACAAACGATGGACACAGCAGTAGAGACACGTACGAGGCACTTGTTGACATCGAGTGCAACTTTAAATACTGAAAGAATGAGAAAGTAGCAGTAACTTTAGGTTTCCCTTTACTCCATCGCGTACCCGCAAACATCCTTGGTTCTTAAGTGTTCGTGTGTGATTTGTTTGTCTGTATACTTCGCGTTTCAGACGGCATGTCTCCGACGGTGTAGTTTGTAGTGATGCAGGAGCTCCTGGTGGCTCTTCCTCTGTCTGCTCTTCTTCCTCAGACCAGCAGGTCTCGGAAGATCCCCTCGTGATGAAGACCTGCTGCTTCCTACGAACGAGAACAGAACAACATGTGATGATACAAACAGATTTTTTTTAACAACTCTCCTTACATTTTATTTACTATTTGAATCTGCCGAGTCCAGTGTAGCAAGTAAAAAGGGTGACAACAGGAATATGGGAAATATGCATCAAATGTTGTGTTAGGATTTCTGAAGATGTAGAGATATGGCTACACAAGATGAAGCTTTGAGTGACAAACGGAAAAGAAAAAAGGTTTAAATCAAAGGAGGAGATACTGACCTCTTAACGTTCACTCCTTTGTATGGAACTTAACAGGACAGCTTTATGCCAGAACTACACACCTTCGACATCTTCTACCACACCTCTGCTAAATTGCAGGCCTCCAGGCATAGCTAATTGGGAGCTGGGGACTTTGCCTAAAATTAATTAACTTTTTACAAATGAATTGTTGAGAATCTAAGTGATGTAACCACATGTCCACGTTAAAGTCTATGGTGCTACCTGGTGGCTTGAAAGAGTTAAAAGACAATGAGAGGGAGACTGATTTAGGGAAAAAACAAAAAGAAATACAGCGAGATAAATGCTCATCAGCACTACTGACTTGTTTCACAGTGTGGTCCTTCATAGCCTTGGCACTGGCAGCGGAAGCTCCCTCCTGACAGGATGCAGATGCCATCATTCATACATGGGTTGGGCTTGCACAGGTTTACCGGTTTCTTCACCTCTGATATAAAAAAAACACGAAACAGATTGTTTATGCTGCTGAAAAGAAGTCTGAGTGAAGACAGATGCAGAAAAACAGATGAAATCACAAACAACAGAGTGCAAGTAACACTTCTGATGACTCCAACCCATAGAAAAGGGGAGAAGGTTTAGTGACAGAGTTTGTTGTCATGCGTTTTTACCTGAACACAGCATCTGAACCAGTACATCCTCAAAGTACTTGAGATCCTCGTAAGACGGCACTGAGATCATTTGCTCCTCTGAACCAGCAATCTGCATCAGCCTGTCTCTCTGCACGTCTCCGATACCGACCACAAAAACTGAAACCCCATTGTCTCTTATCTTTTGAGCCGGTACGACGGCGTCGTCCCCGCCCGAACCATCCGTCACCACGACCACGGCCTTGTTGACTCCGGGTCGTGCGCCTTTGGCTACAGTCAGGACGTTGGAGTGGATGTGGAGTAAAGCTGCACCCGTCGAAGCCACTCCGCCCAGGAAGTTGGCCTCACCGACAGCCTTGAGGATGGCGGAACCGGTCTCATGCGTGTCCAGGTTGAAGACGGTGGTGGCTCTCCGACCGTAGGCCACGAGGCCCACCTGAGCCACATCGCGGTTGATGTCGAACTGGACGGTGATGCTGCGCACAAAGTCCCGCAGGGTGGCGAAGTTATCGCGGCCGACGCCGCCTGAGGCGTCCAGGGCAAACACCAGGTCTACTGCTTGACCCAGACAACCTGGAAAAGAGAAAAGAAACGTTGAATACAGCTAATACAGCCTGAAATACACTAAGATTTGAAGATAAGTGTGAGTGTTTCTGGGCTTTTTATTCACTCCTGTCATATTTTGATTCCCTGTTGGCTCATTTTTTTCCTTCAACCACAGCTAGAGGTAGAAGAAACAATGTTTTGGTGGAGCAGAACAAAGTTAGAATGGCATAAATCATCAAATCATCAGACTCTTGGTTACAGCTGAGTCACTAATGGGTTCATAACTGTTTCGTTTTAACGTAGAGTCTGGTTAGAGCAAACAATTAGAATTTCTAAACAGACATCTACAATAAAACAATTTTGATGAAATTGAACATTTTTAAGTTTATGATTTGGAGTTAATAAAGTTATAAATTAAGTCTTTTTTACATTATATTTCATGCATGTTTTGGCTGCGCGTGTGTTTCTCCAAAAACAGATGGACTGTAATGGCTGCAGTAAGAACTACTAGTAAACAAAAAGTATTTATTTATGATCAGGGAAAATATAAAGCCTGGGCAGAAAACTCCACATACACACCAACAAATTGAACTTTCTATGTGTAGTTTCAAACCACTAGTAATGGAGCAGTTTTTGATTTGCAGGTTTCTCTTTGTCACCCTCCTGCCATTGGTTTCCCATTGGCCAAAAGGTTTTGTCAAGGAAGAATACTGTCTGCACGCCAACACAGTGTGAAACATGGCACGTTTCAAATGGCTTTGCAAATGTTTAATTCCTCATGTTAGTTAAACACTATGAAGTTTGGAGAGTAAATGCCAACATGACTTTTGTTTGTTAACTAAAAACAGCCAAGTGAATTAGTCAGGAAGTACCTTGTGTATCCACACTGCAGATCTTGGCCTTGAGCTCAGGGATCTTGCCAGTGAGCCTATCAGGTGACGTGTAGGTGAGAGTCCTCTGGGGGTTTCCTGTGATGTTATTCAGCTGCCCCTTGAGCCTGTCCGGTCCCACCCCTATCAGGAAGATCTCTCTGTCGCGAGCATATTTCGAAGCTTCAACCACATCGTCAACGGCGGGAGTGGCTGTGAGCAGCGCCACCACACGGGGGAGGTCGTCTGTGACGTCAGCAAAGACCGGAGCGCTCACAAAGCCGTTGCGTGTGACATAGCGAAGAGCCTGGCCCGTCAGGGTCTCGCCGCCAATCGGCTGAAGCGCCTCCACAGCCTTAAGAAGACCCCTCAGGTCTCCTTTGAACTTGCCAACCGGGGCTTCGACTCGAGTCTCTCCACCAAACACCGCCAGTCCGACTCTACTGGGGCTGTCGGAACCAATGACGGTCTGCAGGAAGCGCTTTAAGAAGGACTTGAGGCGGAGGAAGCCTTCCAAGGTGAGCGTGGCGGAGCCCTCCAGCAGGAACAGCAGGTCCACAGAGCAGTCCAGGGATAACGCAGGAGCTGAGGAAGGATGGATTGTTTTAGTTAGTTGGTTTGCATCTTGTGTAAGATCAGACAACACCTTCACACACACGTGGTACAGACGGGGTACTGACCACAGTGTGGGTCTCCTCCATAGCCAGGTGGACACACACAGTGGTAGCCATCTGGACCTTCTGACACACAAGTTCCACCGTTCAGACATGGCTGAGAGTCACAGGGATCTACAATGAGGAGAGGAAGGGGAGTGAGCTACGCAAACAGCAGCACAGAGAGCAGCAAGAATCAAAAGAGATAATATGATCTGAAGAAAGTGTTGACTCTACAGACTATAAATGTTTTACTATTTAGAGTTATATGAAGCTACAACGCCATAAATCAATCAAAAATTAAGGTATGTTATAAAAACTGGTAAAAAAAAAAACCCTGTAATAAAGACGTATAGCGTGTATTTCCAAGTGTCTGTATGTGTTACAAATACTGGGGGGAAAAAATAGTGACTCAACATACTATACATATTTTGCTACTCAGGTTTTTAATGTGTTTCTTTACTTGTCCTCTACATGTTCAGTGTAAATACAGTCTGCAATTCAACCCAAAAAAAACCCAACTGGATTTTTTGTGATTGGACTATTTGTCACTGATGAGTCACTCGTACCTTCGTAGCTACTCCAAGGAGAACAGAATCTTTCATTTTTTATTATTATTATTTTCATAGAATGCAGTTAATGCAAGTTATATATGTTTGGGGAGCTTTTTTAATAGACATGTTGGATAACAAATTGATTTTGATGTATTTGCACAATTTGAAGCTTAGATTTGGTTCAGTTTTCAGACAGAACAACACATCACAGATTCTTTCTGTTGTGATAAATGATTATGATGTTTTAAAGATAAAATGGATTTCAGAGGGCTATAAAGTAAACACATTTCATATTAAATCTCATGCATTAGTGGCTGCATTTCTCCCAAAACAAAAGACTGAATTTTAGTGTTTACAGCAAGAATCAGAATTAAACAACAAATAATTGATGTTACCTGGACAGATGGTCCTGTGGCAGACTGTCTGGTGTCTCCTGTAAACTTTGTTGTACCTGCAAAAAAAACAGAAATTAGTTAGAGAATGAAGGCACCAAACTTATTAAATGTTTCCATTTTACAGCATTTGGTCTATTATGTGATGTAATTACAGCCACTGAGCCTTACCTATCAATGAATTAACTACTTAATACGATAAGACAAAAGGCAGTTTATTCCTCACTTAGGTCACAGTTTAACAGCTGGTTATAAGTAATCCACAGACAACAATCCCATTACTGCCTTTTTGTGCTCTAATCAAAAAAAGCAAACACTACTGTCAGCATGATGGTTCTCCAAACTGCCTCGAGCCATTTTACCGTGGTAAAAATGCAGCGTAGTGTGAAATTAATTTTGTCAAAGGCCATTTTAATTTGCCCTGGGAGGGTCTGACAGAATTACACGAGCTTGTTTTTATTAAACACCCTCACACTGACACAGAACATTAACACATGGGAGTTGCCCCGATCCACCACTGTCTTGTGGCTCTCATTGAGCAACGAGGGAAAAGTGTTGCATAGTCGGTTCCAATGCACAGTTCATAGTATATGATGTTATGGAAAGTAATATGAAGACATATGTTGTAACCACAGTTGGGTAGTTATGGGTTACATGTAATCAGACACAAACAAGTTACACAATCAAAGACTGTTTGATTAAATTTTGATTGTGTCTTTAAAATATGGCAACTTTCAGATCCTGAAAGTTTCTTTTTACTATTACCAACGCAATTAACTCATGAAAAGTGCATCTGACAGGCAGAGTTTCTCAGATTCTCTCGGTGCAGGGGGAAAAAGGTGCAGGAATATTGCAGCAGCAGTCCCTCCAAGAATGTTTCATTCTTTAAAAATGGACAATACAAACATGAATGTCTGTGTCCATTGCAGTTTCCATCCATCCATCCATCCATTATCTATACACCGCTTAATCCTCACAAGGGTCATGGGGGGCTGGAGTCTATCCCAGCTGACTCAGGGTGAAGGCAGGGGACCCTGGACAGGTCACCAGTCTATCACAGGGCTACACTTAGAGACAGACAATTTAGAATCACCAATTAACCTCAACATGTTTTTGGACTGTGGGAGGAAGCCGGAGAACCCGGAGAGAACCCACGCTGCACGGGGAGAACATGGAGACTCCACACAGAAAGATCTCGTGTCCTCATCAGGACGCGAATCGGTGACCTTCTAGCCGCGTGGCAACGGTGCTAACCATCGATCCACCTTGCAGTCCACCATTGCAGTTTGTAAAAGTTAAAAATGAATTTATAAATAAATATAAAATAAATAAATTTGCTGTCAAGTCCTTTCACACTGAAAATCAAAGTTAATATTTTGATTTTACAAGAGCAGAGCCCTTTGTGTGATTGTTGATTAACTAAACAGCATCTAATACAAAAGAAACAACATGTTGTAGAATTCACACAATCCACCTGCTGTTTGTGCCAGAGCTGCTGCAATATATTCATTTTGGTTGATTGAATATATTTAAAGATGTTCAAAGGAGACAAAAAGAATATTTGTAGGTCAAAATTTGTGGGTGCAATCCTTTTTTTTTAAGCATAATGTGCAATGTTTTCAACGTTATATTCCATTTCAAAGTAACCTGATCCTGTTTGTAACGCTGCATAGTAAACTATTTACAACTAGAACCTTTTCCCCATTAAAGCTTTTTAGTCTTCTGAAGCTTTAACTCAAACTTTCACACAGTTTCAATTCTTGTAAACAGAAAATAGTGCCACTAAAATGACAGTTTTATGTTAGAATAAATCTTCTAGTAGATTCATCGTTCCTGCTGCAGGCTGCACAGTCAACACAGCAGAGACTGACAGATATTTGTCAAAATCATGATGCTAACTTATGGGAACAATGCACCTGAGAGAAGAAGCGTTTCCTCTTGTAAAGATGTGGGAATTCCACAAGTATCTTCTCAAAAATGACGTGCATGTATGTACACTTGCCTGTAGTAGGGACAGAGGGATGTGTACGGGGAATACCCTTTGGAGCCTTTCCAGCACATGAAATTCCCCTGCAGCTCTTTCACTGTCTCTAGTGTCTTCCTCTCACAGGGAAATGACTCCACCTGACAGCCTGGAGAGCAGGACCAGAGGGTTGGTGAGTCAAAAAAGAGCAACACAAAGAATTTTACAGATGGGGCAGCGAAAGAGGTCTAAAATGATGTCCTTATTTGCAGCAGTCATAATTCCCTCTTAAAGTCCAACCTGCTGGTGTGGCACTGCACACAGAGAAGGTGCTCAGTGTGGTGTACAGGCCGTTGACAGCATCATAGAAATGCTCAGCAAAGAAGACATGGCTCTCCATTGGCTCGCTGGCGAGAGCATGCAGCTCTTCCCACCTGGAAAACAAACAGAGAGAGTTTTTTTTTTCTCTTGAGCCTGCTTTGCAAACAACAGGTAGTTTAATGTATTATTACTGGCAATGATTATTTTCCAACCATTCAAACGTACTTAGGGTAGCGCAGGCCCACAGCGAACAAGACCACGCCTATCTCTTTGAGCTGTGCAGCTGCCTGTGCCACGTTGCCCTGAGACCTCCCATCCGACAGCAGGATGGCGATGCGGGCCACACTGGAGGAGTTACGACCACCTGGAAAACCCTTCCTCAGGATGTATTTAAGAGCCAGACCTGTCTGGGTGCTGCCTCCCCTGTGAGCAGAGGGTTTAGAAAGGCAGGATTTTTTCATGTTATTATTAGAAACATCCTAAAACTGAGCAATTACGGAATATATATACTGTGTCAGAGAACTGCTGTATTATTATTATTACTACCAAAACAAACTAAAGCTTTCTTCTGGCGGGGCTCCTCTTTTAGTTCTTGGACTGGAAATGTATACTGGCTAAGTTTCCTCACCCCAGGGCTCACAAAACCCATTTTAAATCCTTTAATAGTTTTTCAAAAAGACATAAATGTCAGTCAGAGCAGGAGCCACTTTCAGTCATGTTTTACAACGATTGGAGGACGGACCTGCCGAGACAAAGGCTGTGATGTGTTCGGGTGCTGTACTATCACATTTCCAATTTTGGCCACATTTTTCTGACAAGAAAACAATGCTACAGTATGTCTACTTGCAGCACTGAAACTACGAGACAATACAGTGAAACGCTCTGAAGCCTGGAGGCAAAATGTAGCTCCCTTGTCCAGATTTATGTCAACACGATACCGTAGGCACATCTGAGACACGTCGAAACTCAGACATTTCTTCTTTGAAGTGTGGATAAAGAAACATCGACCTCTATCTCCATCTAGTCTTTTTTTTTTTGCCTTTTTGCCTTTATTGGATAGGACAGTCGAAGGAGAGACAGGAGAATGAGGGATTGGGTTGCAGCAAAGGGCCATGAGCAGGACTTGAACCCACGGCCGCTGCATCGGAGACTACAGCCCCTGTACATGGGTCAACAGCTCAACCAGGTGAGCCAAAGCAGCGGCCCGATCTCGTCTTATTTTGATTGTAAACTGAATTTCATTAAAACAATGCTGGGCTTCATATTACTGCACTAATCATTTGAGGCAAAGTAAGTGGAAATTAAAGTTTAAAATGTGTGTAGCCTCTCCAAAGCAGTTGGGAAGTCAGAATGTTACTTCCAAGCAGTGAACAACACACACACACACAGATTTGGTCAAATTACCTTCCTCTTCCTCATCTTATGCGCTTATCCAATATCCAGTGACCACCTGTGGTTCGCCTCTAATCTGAAATTAATTTGTTTTCCTTCCAGGGAGCATTTGGTGTGACTTAGCCGCCGCCTGTGTGCACGCACGGGTGTTTTGCTGTCGGCAGAAGTTTTAACTAAATCCACGACAATAAACAGAGATTTGTTACAAACATACCGAAGCAGACGAGAACACAAGACAGCGCTGTTCTTCTGGCTACGCTGAACCCAGTTTGCACTCGTGTTTTTTTTACGTTGTTCCCTGATTCCTTGATTATGTTCCTTGTAAAAGGATTCCTGGAAATCATTTTTGCAGCACATGACCCTGGGAGTGTACTGAAAGTGCTTCTGATAATAATAATACAGAATAACTCTCACAAATAAGTCTTTACACATTCATTTAAATGTCTACGCATATATGTTCCTATTTCCTAATTAGTAGTTTCATTCGTGTCAAAAATAACCCGTTTAGACCCGTTTGATTAAACCTAGAAACTCATCTGTCTGTAACCATTTAGATACCTGGAAGTTTTATTCCAGAGAAAATAATCTGCTGTAACTGTGCACCGCTGCTACTTTTAAAGTGATCTATCAAGTCCATGCTTCTATCTGCACCTACCCCTCTTGTGCAGCTCAAGCACTTCAGCTCACACGGCTCAAAAAGCTGTTCACAGAAATGGCTCTTTAAAAGGGTTCCTCGAACACATTTCTCAGCAGATGACCCTGGGAACGCTCTGATCATAAATAAATCTCGAGAACTTTTGTTTTGCAGTTGCAGTTCTGTTCAGGTTTGATCGATGAATATATATTATTCTACCAGTTGTGATTTTTTTCCATAATCAGCGTATGAATTCTTGAGTTATGTTCATGTGAAGTCACAGTGATCTTTGACCACCAAAATCTAATCTAAGTGGATGTTTGTACCAGATGTAATGAAGATCCCCGCAGGCGTGACTGATGTATCACCATCACAAGAATGGGACAAGAGGTCTCGACCTTTAACCGCCACAATTTAATTAGTTCTTCCTTGAGTTTAAGTGAATGTTTACGACGGATATGAAGAAATTCCCTCGAGGCGTTCTTGATTTATCGCATACATGAGAACGGGTCAGACAACCTGTCGTTGCCGTGGAGATATGTAAATGCACATGCTGTTGTCCTGACCGATATGTTTCTACTATAGAAACAAAAGCGACCTAATCAAACATCAGGAGCTCCATTAATCCACTACCGAGCATCAGTTTTAATTCTGGTAACTCACACATGCAGGTAAAATGGTCTGCTGAGGTTTAGCTACCAGATATTTTTCTCAAGCTTTCAGCCATATTTAACATCCGTCTTGAACAAACAGAGCTCAGTCAGGGGTCATCAATAAACTATTAATCTCAATTTAGTTTGTTAAAGTGCTAAATTTGACTCTGTGAACTACAAATGTGCATGTATTGGACTTTAAGTATTCATATTTCTTTCAAACCTGACTGGTAATAACTAGCGTCACCCTACCACCCACCCACCCCAAATTACACTATAATAGGCTTTTGTAACCCAAAACATTACTTGGCTGAGAGCGAGATGAAAGGAGACGCACACCTGTAAGAAATCTTCTTCATGTGCTTCTTCAGCGTTTGCTTGGTGGCGTAGGAATCCAGGGAAAACTCCAGCCGAGGGGTGGAGCCGAACTGAATCACACCGACTCGCACCTGCACAAGGGTGGAATTACAAGAACACTGATTGACATGATACGAAGAGGGAGGGAGGGAGGGAAGGAGCCGAAAGAAAACACACCTTGTCTGCTCCGACGTCTAGTGCTTGACAGAGTTTGATCGCGTAGTGTTTGGACCTCTCAAAGCTGCCCTTCCCCACGCTGTAGGACCCGTCCATGAGAAAGAGGATATCCATGGCTGCTGAGCACTGCATCACTTCCCATGGAAACACACGCAGAATAAAAAAGCTAAACACACCAAGATGTGGGTCCAAATTCAATTAATTTCTTCTCTGCATTCCTGCAATATATCAGCAGTGAGGGGATTATCCTGGTTGGTTATCAAAAGGAGGAATAATACCTTCAGATAATAGCTTAGCATGCCAGAGCTCAATTTTCTTCTCTCAGAAACCATTAGCAAGCGAAAACTTTCTGTCTCACTCATACATGCTTGAACTTGCCAGAGGCGTAAATAACCTGTGGTGTTGCTGTCATGTTAGAATGTGCAGCTGATCATGAAGAAGGCCATTAGAGACACGGAGAACGTGCCGTCTGTCATCCGTGTGGTCCGATTATGCCTAAGTCACTTTGGCACACTGTCCTCTGTGACATTAGACCACCCCACTAGCTCAGAGGAATTATTCCAAAGTCTCGTCACATTACCTCGCAATTTATCATCTATTTGCGATAACATTCGAGCCAGCATGTGGCCGTCGGCTGTCCAGACATGCAGGTTTATAGCGTGGTCACTATGTCGCCGCTGTTTGCTGCCAGCTCTTTCCTCAATCTTCCTCTAAGTTTATGTACTTTGGCATTTGGATTTATCTGTTACTGACTGAACTGTGGGTTATTTGTTTTAGTATAATGCCCCATTTGTTAACCATTTTGTAAGGACGGGGTTGGGAAGGTGCTCACTTTCTCCTGCTGAGTTGATCTTGACGATGTTCTCATGGCTGGTTTGGATCTCCTGCACCGAGGAACCCTGCTGAACTAGGAGGGACAAACAGCATTACAGTAATTTGTATATGCACAACACAAACCTAGGACATTTGGATTAACCAACACCCTTAAAAGGGGTTAGTGGCATCTAATGGTGCAATTGATTATTACAACCAAATAAATGACCCATCCAGGAAGGAGGAAGAGAACCTGCAAACATAAAGGCTAAGTCCATAACCAGTTTGGTTTGTCCATTCTATGCTACTACAGAACATAACCATGGTGAACCTGCGCCCAATGAAGATATGAACGTCTTATTCTAAGCTAAGGAAAACAAAGACTGTGTATAAAAGATTGATGGAGTCACGTCAGCTATTGACTTGTGGTTTACTGTTTTGAAGTCTTGAGTTTGGAATGTTGATCTGATTGATATTGGCTCTAAAACTAAACGTGGCAAGCAAGAGGTGGATCTGACCGAGAGCTCAAGCATCATAATGTCGCCACGGCCTAATGTTTACTTTATCATCCATTTTACTCTAAGTGGGACCATAACTTACTACATGTACATCATGTTGCATTGAAGGAGGCTTGAAACTAGCAACCATGACAATAAACACATTTGGAGAATGTTTAGAAGTAGGATGATTTTCTGATAAACTTTTATACAATTAAACATCTTTCTGTAACCAGAGGAGTCGTCCCCTGCTGGCCGTTAGACAGAATACAGGTTGAAGGCTCTTGTGCATTGACTACTTTAAGACCCAGAGGCCACATCCATCTTACAGCCTGGAGCAGTGGTTCTCAAACTGGGGGTTTTATTTCAGGGGGTCGCCCTGCTTCCCACTCCTTTTTTGAACTTGTTAACATAAAGAAATTAATCTGTGGAATTTACTCATTAATTTTTAACACAATAATGCATGAACAACAAAGTTATTACTCATGATATAATAAAAATTCAAATGGGGGGGTCACAAACACAAACTTATGTTATCTTGGGGGTCGTGGCTCAAAAAGTTTGAGAACCACTGATCTAGAGGAAAACATAACGATTCATAGTTACAGGTGATAATACACTAATGCAATTGTAATTATGAACACTACATTCTGTTTCTGCTAAACGCCTAAACCCGACACACTGGCCCTTTAACGATCAAATCCCACAAATGTCAAAGAGTTTAAAAGAAACATCATTTCACACAAAAGTGGTTTTATAAATGTGTCCATGTAGTCGAGCTGTAGTGGGCAACTTGGAGGACAGAAGATAGTCTCAAGATAAATGAGGGAGATGATTAACGTCGGAAAAATCTACTACAAAAAGAGTAATTTTCAGATGTTTTATCATTACACATTTATGGCTTATTTTACCTCTGAAAACAGGAAAAAGCAATGAAAAAAAAACCCCACTTCACATCGAGCAGACCAAGTTAACCAAGCAAACACAATATGGTCACAAGCATATAACATGTAATCAGCCGTCCACCAAACAAGCCTCTAACATACACTAAGTAGAGTGAGTGAACACAAATGCATGAACTTTGACTCCAAATTCACATTTACAGCACATATTTATCTGTTATTAGAGCAAAAGTGAAATAAGACCATAAATTGGATGTTTTCTCTGAAGCCAACCCAGACTCCCACTTGACCCCTTCAGCAATGGATAATTGAGTATTCAAAGCTAATGTGAGTGGACAAGTGAAGAACACCATTCTTTTGCTCCATTCATTGAAAGGACGTTGCCCTATTCAGGCACACGTACGGCTCGGAGAGGAGGGAGGGACATGTGATTTCCTGTGAACATGCCTTGTTGTCCCTGGTAACCCCGACAGGTCACACAGGCATTTGTCCAACACAGAGACGAAGCACTTGAGTGATTTTATAAACGTGCAGATTCCACCCTCTGAAAGGCAACAGTGCGTCTCTTCAATCAGAGCGCTGAAAGAAATTGCCAGTTTGTTCCCATCAGCTTCAGCTGTCCGCCTCGTGTTGATTTAGTGGCGGCTGAAATAGGTGCCAGGAAGTCAAAAGAACAGGAAAAACAAAGAACATCAAAAAAAGGCTACATGTGGGTTAACTGAAATAAAGGCATATCTGTGGTGAGAACACCGACTTTATCCTCCTCTGCTCGTTTTTGTGCAGAAAAACCATGGCACAGACTGACAACCCCACGTTCAACAAAATCCTTTTTATCAGCGACAAAAATGTCAGGAATGACAAAAGATTAATTATGAGAAACTACTTCTGACAGCTACTTGACAGATGCTATTTTACTCCTCCGAACTCGGAGCAGTTTCTGGGCGGTTTTGCTTCTTGTCAGATTTTTACTCACTGTGGGCAAATGTTTTACTGCTGTATAAAAGGTTGCCCCTCACAACCATGACTGCAGGTAACAAGAAAGCAGAAGTGTCTTTTGTGTCTATTAACAGTTATCTTGCCATAACTCATAAAAAAAAACAAAAAAACAACTCAGTTATTTTTTTTTTTAGAAAAATTGCAAAAAAGCAAGAATGAGCATATACAGTCGTGACTCGATAATTCAACCCTTAACAAACTGAACCCATGAAAAACAGCCTTAACATACCGACAGCCTTGGATTCTGAATCCGACATGACATTTTATGTCACAAATCAGGATAACGGCGTATTATCTGACTGAACAATCAATTCAGATTTTTTTGTGAAATCCAATTTTTTTGAGTTCCTTCACGTTTCCAATTAAATACGACTTGTATGTGATCTGCTGTGTGAACTTCATACGACCCAAAAGTGTCCCGCATGCACAGAAGAGGACACGACGACGTCACACGCAGCGAGCGTGCTCAGTGTTTACGGAAGTAAACATTGATGGTGGCGGCGGGAGGGGAGTGGTGGCAGTGGAAACTGACTGCCTGTGCGTTCTGGCAACTTCCACCCCGTCGGAGCGCTCCCCTGGAGTGAAAGTGTACCCCCAACCGCTTCGAATATTCGGATGTTCATCATTAATTGGGCCTGAATATCCAGAGACCAGAAAGTGCTATTGGGACCAGCCCTACTAGTTATTATAACAACTATGAACAATAAATAGAAACAAATGTCTTGTTTAAAAAAATTAGCGGTTAGTTGATGAAAATAGTTGTTGATTAGCTCATTAGCTCTAGAGAAGTCAATTTTTCACATTCAAGAACTTAAAATAAGACCTGCTGATTTATTATTCTAAAAATATGAGCAAAGCCTCAAATCCTGAGCTGCTTTAACATCATTTGCATTAACAGACATTTCATTTCACAGAAACTACAACCACTAACTTCACTGTCTTTTTTTTTTTTTTTTTTAAACATCTGACATTTCAGTCTTTCCAGAAAGTCTTTAATCATAAATCCACAAAAGGAAAGGAGGAGCACGAGGTCAGGAAAACTGGAAAAAAAATTGACAGAACACTAATCATTATAGTAAAGTACCACCTGCAAACCAGAGGCCTGCGCTCCAACCTCCTCACAGTCCTGACACTTTCATCTGCCCCTGATTCCAACATCATTCCAGCCCCTCGGTTCCTCCTGACAGTGAAAGTTTAGGGTCTTGGCAAGCAGCTTTGTCATGGTCAGTGGGGCCCCGGTGCTCTGAACAAAAAGTCTGTCTGTTCGGCCAAGTGCCTTGAGCAAAACGACTGTATCTTTAATGTCTGTGGATGAAATAGTAGCGGGAAAATCAGAAGCAAGATAATAGGCATAAATCCTCAGTGTGAGGAGCTGATGTCCAATTGGCAGCAATCCACGCCACGGTCTGGGAGATATACGTAATACTCCCTTAAATTCAGCGATAAAAACTCGGCTTGTTCCTCTCTGGGAAATTCAATTTGACAGGCTGGATTACACGGACATCCAGCGCTGCAACATGTTATCTGTGTTGTCAGCACAGGACGCGAGGAGGGGCCGACTTGACGAGGTGAAACAGTCTGGTTTGCTCAAGTTCAAAGTCTTAAAATGGCCAGTAATAAATACTTAAGACGGTGCTAAAGCTGTCATTTTTGAAAACAACTCAGAGATTATATTGCCCCACGACTCCTGCCTACTCCCTCGGGCGAATACCGATACTCCCGGGTCCAGGAGAACAAGCGACGATACGCTATAAAAAGCTATGCACAATTTGCCATGACTGGAAACAAGGATAGGAGGCAGGAAATCACTTTGAAGAGGAGATAATGGGAATTCTTCAGGAGTGAAGACTTGACAGCTTGAAGCGATAAAATATCTTGTAAAAGAATGTCACGTTTTGTAGCGGTGCATCGCTCTGTTTCCCAGCATGCTGTGCACAAACCTCAATTGTGTCCACAAACGGCAACACAATGAACACTTATATCGATCAATAAAGGCCTCATATAAAAACGGATTTTGATCTAGCAAGCATTCATAGTGATGTGGGAGGATGAAAACATTCCAAAATATAGTACTCAAAATGCTCCTTTTCTCTAATGGCTCCGAATACCAGAGACGCACAGAAGGCAAAACAGTAATAAAATCAATCAACCGACCTTGAAGAAGCAGCAGAGTCGAGAGGAGGGAGAGGCAGATATCAGGGTGCATGTCGGGACACCTGGAATGAGAAACAAATGAAAAAGCTCAGCAAGAACACAAATCAAAGAAATGCATCTGAATATGGGAAAGATAATAGAAATAAAAAGTGTGAAAATGGACTTTATAAAGGACTGATTTCCTGCCTGCGTGTCCCCTTGGAATGGAGCTAGATGTGCTAAATAAGAATATTCACGTGTTGTATCATCTGAGGGACTTTTACATGTGAAAGCATTCAGTTCTTTCCAAGGGAGGGAAAAACAGTGTAATGTTCAATCACAAGGACAACATGTCAAGCATTGAGCAGTAGCCAGAAGGTGTAAGAAACTACTTTTGTTTTGAGCTTGTCTTGGTGCCGTTTCTACAGGTAGCCTTTAAATTCATCAAAATATATGATAGAGGCTCAGCTAAAGAACAAGGGAAGAAGTCAGTGGCACTCTGCTGGACACTAACTATAATTATATTTACTATCTGTTAAGTGAGGTGGTAAAGTAGTGACCCTGACCGTGTTTTCACAGCTAAGTGGAGGTGAGCCCTGACCTTTCAAAGGGAACTAGATGAAGGGACACTTGATGAGTGACTGCGTCGACAGAGAAACATCAGGAGTGACTGCTTTTGAATACAAAACACACCTTTAAGCCTAAATCTGCACATCTCACAAGAACCCTGAACTTCAGAATTTTTTAGTTAGGGGAGAAATATGTGAGCATTAACGTGTTTTTTTTTAAACAATGTTATATGCAAAAAAAAATTAAAAATAACCACCATCGACTCAGCCCACATACCAAAACACAGTTCACGAGACACAGATGTGTACGCACAGCACTTGACTGATGTGACACCAGCATGTGCATGTGTCAGTGTTTTGTCTGGGTCAAAAAGATTACAATAAGCTCTACAGAAGCTCTTAAAGCAAGATGTAAACTGCTTTTCAAGTGTGGGGTGAAGAACTGTCAAGTTACGGAACGGAACAGAACGGAAAGGAAGGGGATGCAATGGAATAGAATAGAATAGAATAGAATAGAATAAATTGGATAAAATAGAATAGAATAAATAGGATGGAATGCAATAGAATAGAATAGAATAGAAATACTTTATTAATCCCCAAGGGGTTACAGCACAAAGATTAATTTACCACCACCATAAATACAGATAAATAAGCAAAAACAAACAATAAGAAATATAAAATGCAAAATGTACAATAAGTGTAATATGTCAAGTAGAAGTAGAAATGTCCTGTGTGGACCGTAGTGCAAATAGTAATGATCAACAGCTTCACCTGGGAAGTGGGTTGTCAAGATGTGAGTTACCCATAAATGTCTTTCACATCCACTGTGCTCGAGATTACAAGCAAGTCTGGAGGCAAGTCTGCAAGAGATGGATTTCTCCCTATAATAACGAGCTTTATAATCTAATGCAGTCCTGCAATTATGTTTAACTCACAATGTTCAGATTTTATTGACAGAACTAGGTCAACTTGGTAACTTCAGATGCCAGAATTAGCAGTGATGGTGTTCTAGAGCTGGGGACATCAACAGGTGTTTCAAATATTACATCACTAATGTTAGAAGTCAATACTTGAAGCACAGAGCCCCCAGAAAACGACCACCACAGTGTTATCAAACGTATACCTGAATGCAATAATGCTGTCTTTGACTGCATTTGATTACACAGGTGTATATAACAAACTTAACTACAATCTGACCTCATGGTAAACATTCCACGAGCCTGACAATCCCACCTGTCATCCGTCAGCTCTGCCTGTATTCTGTATGGTCATTGTTATGTACACACAGTGTGCAGATAAAGTCTGATTAACTCTGGCTGCTGATAAGTTTTCCCATAATATCCTGCCTGCAGCTCAAGTGTGTGTGTGTGTGGCTATAGGTAAAAGAGGACGGATGTGCCAGATGAGCCTTCTGCATAGGCAAAGCTGTGTGTGTTTCTGAGACAGAGATAGAATTGTGTGCAGGACGGAGGCTCTGTTTAAGAGGAGTCAGTGTGTCTGTGATACAGATCTGCAGAGCTGACATGCAGCGGCTGTCTGAGAAGCCCTGGACTGATAAACATCACCAGGGGCTATTGATGCTCTTATTTGTGCACTCGCCGGTACGTCCTGCCGACAAGAGATTTCATTACTGCCGGGGGGGTGCAGCTTAGACCGTGCATGCTTGGAGAGAGAAGCAGCCAGGCGTGTCGACGTATAAAACACACACATATACGCACGCATGTGTCGTGCACACACCTGTCTCAAAATTGGCTGCCTCTTCACAAGCATTCTTCTGGATCCCTCCACCCTCCATCAGTCTGTCTTTCTACTTTCTGTCTGCCCAGTGAACACCTTTTCTGCTCTTTCTGCACTCTAATTGTGGCTTCAGCTAAATGGAAATAGCTGCACAGATCAACCTGTATAGACTTGGAGAGGGAAAATACTCATCAAAGTGCTTCATGCTCCTCTCTCACACTTCTGAGTTGAATTAGATGGTTAACCTTTAAGATATCAATTCTCATTTTCAGCAATCAAATTAAAAAATACATCCACAGATTGGGACATTCCCAAAAATACGCCCTCCTCAGTAAATAAAAGGAAGGCCTAAGCCACGGATGTGCCGTCTGTTTTGAATTGGTTCTCGGGTTGGAAAGTGTCTCCACTCTGCAGTCTATAATTAGAAAGGAGTGCTACTTCTTGGACCGACTTCATACAAACTCCAGAGCTCCTAACCTGTACTTGGAGGGACTGTGTCACTTTGAGAAACATCCGAACAGTTTAAAATATTTTCGGGTGACTCACCTGGAACAGCTACCTTTAGAACAACACAAGGATAAATGTGGAAACTTTTTTTTTCCCCTCCCCAGTGTGACAACTGCCTTATTAAAAGCCACAACCAACAATAATTCAAAAGGAACTGGCATGCACTGAAGCATTGGAATGTGTCGCAAGAGCAAGCTGGAAACCACACACACACACACACAGAGGATGTATGGCCTCAGCCCCCAGTGGATAATTACTTTTCACTCACTCCTACTGAATTAAAACTCCACTCTAATGTCATCCAACTTCTGTAAGTTTGGAGGGCTCATCTTCACTTAATCAATTGTCTGAATTAAATAGCCCAGTCTAAGCTTGAGTGCAGATATTAAAAAGAAATATCAGAAGTCAGTGATTCTCCTGAAGCAGGTAAACCTGGCTGTGGTAAAATGTTTGTTTTTTTCCTTGTAGCTTACCTTCTAGTTAGTTGTCAACATCTGGTCACTCTTAGGTGTGTCAAGGGTCAGGGCAGGTTTAAAACGTGGTCAAAGGTTATGACCCTGACATGCAACAGTAGCTGAAGTTTACTTAAGAAGCCAAACAAATTGGTGTGTCAGCTTGTACTTAAGTACTAAAGCACAGGATGGAATAATAAAAATATAAATTGCTATAATACCAATCTGATTACTTTGTGCACTATTAATTAACAAACAACCAAAGCTATAAGATGCTGTCAACAATTCCCTCAATTTCTAAAATGATAAAAACACGCATGTCTCCTTATACGAACTTGTGCTCAAGACAGATAATTAGTAAAACATCGCCTCTTACATCCACAGCCTCCGCCTGCAGCGCTGCACGCACGAGCCGCCACAACCAGGTGATCAAAACAAGCGCACTCCAGCTCTTTGCCTCGTTAGCGATAAAATCTCTTCTTACCATGCGCTGATCGCTATCCACGAATTTCAGGTGCGTCTTCCTCAAAGCTCCGTCTCTCAGCGGCGCGTCGTCTCGGCGCAGGTCGGATGTAATGAGGCTGCTCGCTGCGGGCGGACGGAGAGCAGCGACCCCACCTACTCGCCATGCCCACCTCTGATGTACCTGCACCGGTGGGGTCTAATTTGTCCTCCTCTCATCTCGCACAGGTCAAGCACCGAGCCAGGGAGGGGCCCCGAGAGCCATCATCGTCTCTCATTGGTGCTCCTAAAATCCTTCAACAGGAGCTAATCCACATCGTAGAAAACTACAGGTATCAGATTATAAAAGCTTACTTTGGATTCATCCGCTTTGAAGGTAAAAGACACTAAAAGTCTGATTAAATAAACAACACCATCATAACTTTGTGTTTTTTCTGCACACAACTTTTTATGTAAAAACTGAAACACATGTCCAACATAACTTTGAACATCCTACTGGAACAGGTGATGAGGACTGAACAGAAGAACAGGTGACAGCACTGCATGTGCTCCCACACACTTAAAGGAAACAGTTAAACACACTTAAGATAATCGAGACTTAACCTTTCTGTGGACTTCAACAGACAAACCTATTAAGAATCAATATTTAGAGTTAAACATTTTCAGAGGAACAGTCCAGAAGAAACAACTTTGATTTAAACAAGACGTCAAACAACGAGATCGAGCCGTGCACCGTAGGCTGAGTCCTAATTCATCTGTCCAAAAAGCTGCTTGATCAGAGAAAGCTGCATTTCCATCATCTGTTCAAGATGATCGATCTGTGGAAGACAAGACAGAGTGGTCATAATTAACTGAAAATTAAAAATAAAAAATGCACTGAACCTGATCAAAAATGTAATAACAGCCAATAACGCAAGAACCTGACGAAAAATGTAAAAAAAAAAAAAAAATGTCATGATATCACATTATTGTCCAAACATGTCCGTTTGCACCTAATTTCAGAAGATGGCAAGAAACACTAGCATCACATACGGTACATAGAAAGATAAAAAGCACTTTTTTTAAATTTGCAAAACAAGACAACAAATTAAACCTTGACAAAAATTTAGAAAATGCTTTCCAAGACTGTGAAATGAGCTCTGACCTTCATCTTCAGGCTCAGACAGCAGCAGCCAGAGGTCTGAGGATCTACGATTAAGACAGAGAGCCACGTGAACATAAAGCCACCAACTTATCCTAATTCACTGAATAAGGCCAGTTCTTAGTTTATTTTATAAGCCATCCAAATACTTGCATCTTTTCTTTCAAGTAACTTAATTTAACTTATTAAACTTACATAAACATGCAGGACTCATACCATGAAAATATCACTTCTTTTTTTTTAACCTACTTTAATGCTAAAAAGTATGATTTAGTATAGTGGTCAAAACTGGCAAACAAACTGTTAAATCACAGCAAAATTCTGACTTGACCAACCATTGACTGCCAGTGCTGAAGCACTTTTCTGTTGAAGGTTCTGGGCTGCTGGTTCTGAGGTCTGATTCGGCCCAGTGGTATTAACCGGCCCAGCATTACTCTCCTGCTCATCCTGTGTTTCAGGTGCTGCCTTGAGCTCGGGGCGGTCAGGTGCGACTGTGTTGCTGACAGATGTGCTGCTGGCAGTTTTGTCGGCCTTCTGGGAGGTGGCTGGACACGGGTTACTGTTGGCGTGGGCGTGTAATGCATCTGACATCATGGTGGTGAGGGGTCCCCCGTCTATGCCAGTAGTTGTGAGGGAGAGCATGTTGGCATAGCCATCGAAGGAGTGAACAGTGGCGAGGCTGCTGCCGCACAACAGCGTCTTTCGAAACATCTGCAGCACTTGCTCTGGCCACTCGGCCGGAAAGTGCTCCTTACCTATTGACAGAAGAGATGGAGCAGGCGTTTGTATGAGGGAGTAAACTGCTACAGGCCAGAGAAATGACGAAGAACACTTTGCATTCACTTTGCATGATAAAAATCCCTTTTGCTTTACCAATGAGGGTGCAGCGAGCGATCTGAAAGGGGAGCTGCAGCAGGTGCGTGGGGATCGGCAGGATTCGGGAGAACGGCACTCTCTCACTGTTGCCGTAGTCTGCGTAGAGGACACTCATCTCATCCTCACCAACTTCCAGGACCACTGCACGGTACCAGTTATTGTCTGCTGGGAGGAAAAAAAAAAAAGGTCAGACTACAGTGTTAAACTCAACTCTGTAATTGTGTATTGCTGTCAAGCCAAGCATTTCAACAATAAAGGAATTTTCATGACGTCGTGGAGGAAATGTCTCAGGCCAAAAATATGCACAAATAAATTCTGTATTTTATGAACTTCAAAACAAACAAAAAAAAACCCCCATAAACCCACATTTTAAAGGGTAACAAAGACAATTCTACCAATACAGCTGCTCTACAGACAGCACTGAAAACTCCATTAAAACAGACCCTGTTGTTAGCCGGACCGTGGAATGTATGCCAGGCTATAGTCACCTACCTCCATACTGTGTTTAAAGAAGCTCCTACGCTCGGCTACGCACACACACTGTGTAATTATATCTACTAGCAGACGTGGAATTACCAGCTTAGGTCTGCAGGGGCAAGAACTGCAGGTGGGGTCTCGAGAACAGTCAGAGAGCAAACATAAAACTGGGAGAGTGAGAAGAAGATATGCTGACAGATTGTGTTAGTGGTCACGCTCGGTGATGGATCAGCTGGTCCGTCTCCTACGTTTAATCATTGCACAGTGTGAGGGAACGACACTGCATGAGTGATGGGGTTTTCTCCTGCTGACATTATCTATTAACTCTGATGTAATTTTCACATGACCCCTGATGTGATGTGAAAACTTTTCCACCTCATGACACATTTTTATGCCAAATAAAATTTCTCAGAAGAGACTCACAGTTTGAGGATACTGTCAGCTGTAATGCATGACCACCTTCAATGCTGCATTAATTACTTTTTTCCAAGTGTTTTTTATCTCATGAGAGCTCACCTGTTTGCTCCTTTGGGCTGCAAGGAGTTATGACAATGCCTGCAAACACTTAACTTGTATTACTGACTTTGTGGCTATAGTATTAAGAGTAACATACAATCAAATGTTAAGGGGGAACTTGACCAACAAAGTGGGAAGAATGCACTTTGCTGCCTCAAGTCTATCGGTGCATTTCTTCAACAATGTGATAGTAAGACGCAGGCATTTAAGTCGATGTATTTATTAAAAATTCTGTGTTCCTCACCAGAGAACTGGGTACAACAAGCAGCCCCTGGAGCTGGTCTGCTCTTTACAACCGAGTACAAATCGGTCTGGTTGTTTCTGCAGTAGGTCGCCACTTCCATCATCACCTCTTGAAGTTTTTGCTGGTCCGCTTAAAAAAAAAAAAACACACACACATGCAGCAATTACAACAGCTGACAACTTCTTGTCATATATGTATATTTCATAAAGACACAGAGGAATGAGCTCACCCTGTGTCGGCCTGAGCAAGTAAAAGAGAGAAGGACTAATGATGGCGGCAATGTAAGGCTGAAACGGCTCATTGAGAGGCAGCTCCACTGTCTTCCAGTCCACTGGGAAAGACGGGACTGAAACCACAGAACAAGATGTTAAATCCGGCTCTTAGGATCACTAAACACAGCATTTCATCTTGAAGACATCAACACTAGCTGACCTTCTGTTGGGATTGCAGTCTGCCCCTCCATTGTTATCTCTCTGGAACTGGCTTCCGTCTGATTGGAGGCTTGAACAAGTAATTGCTGGTGCTCATTTTCCTTCACACTCTCTTGTTGTTTGCTTCCAGAGAGTGTCTCTGTTTGTGTCTGTTTGGCAGCCTCTCCAGGAACTTTGGCAAGATGCTCAGAAATTAGGACAGCCGCCACATTCTGCCCTCTGCTCTCCAGCTCCACACCGTAGCCCCGCTCGGTGACGGAAAGGACACGTGTAGAGAGGTGCTCGGCCTCCACCTGAGTCTGGAACCACAGCAGGGCTTCGCTGCTCCACTCTGATCCCAGGGGCTCCACACCTGAATTCAAACATACGCATCTCAACAGTAACCTAATACACCCTTTTAATCCAATGATCAGAAAAAAAAAAACACTTTCATTACACAAATCTGTGGAGAATTCCAGCCTATTTTTCACCAGTACAAGAGAACAAATTATCTCAGAGTGCTATTACTTTGATTAATATGCTGAAATATACAGTATTCCCACGTGACCTTACACCATGCAAACTATTAATAACTGGCCCGTATTTCAAGGTGACAAGAAACCCCAACAACAACAACAACAAAACGACAAGTTGTGAGATAAACTTTTGGTTGTAAAACTAACAGTTGTTTTTCACTCACACTACCTGCAAGCCAGCAGCGAACTGCCTGGAAGGGTAGTGTCAGGAGTCGGGGTGTGATGCAGCGAAGGTTGCCCTTTTCAACTTTCATGCTGTAGCCATAGTCCACAAAGTTCACTGCTACCTTGTCTTCATACACTTCCTTTACCATAGCCCGATACCAAGCTCCATCACCTGGGGAGCAAACAGCAAATTAGGCACAACCAAACATCCCAAGACATAAACGAGGATAAATCTAACTGGCATCAGGAAGTAGGTCAACTATGTCTGGAAACAGGGTTAAACAGCAGTGTACTTAGCTTACAGATGAGATTCCCAAATGTGGCATTCTGGAGTTTTATAAAATCAATAACTCTGATAGCATTATCAATGAATATTAAACTTGGACAGAATATGGTCTCACCAGGAAATATGGCACAACAGGGCTCTCCCACTTTGGGCACGAAAGGCGAGGTATCAGCCTCACAGTGCTGCTTTAACTCAGCCTCCAGCTTTACCAGCTGCTGATGGTCTGACAAATACACAGAGAAAATAAACAGCTCAAGTGGCACAAAAACCATCACAGTGCTGCATCACAGTGTAAAAGCTTTGTCTGACTTCTAAAATTAAAGGTGTTATTTCCATGACAGAATCTGGTATAGAAATCTGTTTGCAACAATCTCAGGCAGTGTTTGAGCCACAAATCTGTAAAAAAAAAAAAAAAAATTACACTATCACCAATGATCAACAGCAACACAGCAATTTAAACAAGGTGATCATCCTTTAAAGAAAAAAAAACAGACAGAAACACTAAGCCAAATCAGCATATTTATCCCTCCAACTTGCACTCTTTATCAGTTAATACTGAGATCGATCTGTGTTTACAAATCATTAATGGTGGCCCTTCAGTCTGAGGAAACAACACCTGTGGGGTTGTCGATTCGGCAGTAAAACTCTCCAGGGTCTTCCACAACACTGGCTAGTAGCGCCATCGTCTGGCCATCACAGGGAAGCTCAGACCGAGACCAAACCAGCGGCTCAGGCACTGGGGAAGAAACTGAAGAGCACATTCCAACACAAATATAAATCATACAGGTATTCTCTGCTCAATCCGATTTTGTGGTTGATAGTCAAGTTAGGAAACTCTTAAAGGAAAGCAGTAGCTGAAACACATAGGCATCTATGAATAAACCGTGACTATGGCAGGTACATTGATGCAATGGCAGTCACAATAATCCACATTGGCCTAGTAATTGATGTTCTGTAAAATCCTGAGGAATTAGAGACAGTCATTGTCAATATTATAAATCTCTCTCTCTCAAAAAAAAGGGCATAACTCTTGCTCCTATCTGATCATTATTTCTTAGACTTTGATAATGTTTTCACCTTTATTTTACTATAAATAAAATAAACAAATACTGAAATACTACATTTGTACAGGATGAGACTGGGACGACATTTGACATCTGAAGTTCAAACTATAAAAACATCCACTTTCGTGAGATGAATTTCAGACAATTCCCACCGTGTGGTTCTGCAGAAGCAGGTGTCTCGTCGGCCTGCTGGTCACTGCGGGGAGTAACAGGAGCAGGTGCAGCGTAACCTGCACAGATCAGCAGCTCAGCTATGTTGGCCTGAGGATCACTGGCCTCATCAATCATGGCTACCAAGGCCTTGCCCTCATGTTCTCCCTGGATCTCAATGCGCAGTATTCTGTTTGATACTCTTCGCTGCAGGGCTACAAGGCAGTCCTCCGACCATCTCTCCCCAACAGGCTGCACCCCTGAGAAGGAGCCCAAAGAGATATGTTTGAGTGGATGAAAGAGACAATTAGTTTGAGCCAGATTTAAAAATATTCATTTGGATTTCAAAATGGCACTCAAAGTAATTAAGACCAAAGATTCTCCGCAGTTTATCATTACACTATTACTCAATTCAGTCATTAAAGTACACAAGTAGATTTCTTTTAAAAATCTAAACGACACTACAGATAAAGAAAAGGCAATAAAACATTTAAAGATTTGAAAATGAGTCATTATACATAATGCGCACCGCTCAAAATGGTGACGTTATTACCTGCTAGACGACATGGCATAACCTGCATTGGAAGGGCCAGGAGTGAAGTGTCGATACGTCGCAGATGGCTCAAATCTACCTCCTCAGAGTTGCCAAAATCAAGGTAGCCGACACAAACGCGCTCCTCTGATGAATAACCCATAACTTTGGCCCTGTACCACTGTTTGTCCTCTGGAAGAAGCGTGATATACACAAAGCATGTCTCACACTGGAAATTACAAACCTGATATTACACTATATGAAGAAATGCTGTTAAATCTTATTGGATGTGGTAAATTTTGGAATTTTTTGAAACAGTCTGAAACCCCTTTGAGGATTAGGGCATTTTGAAATTACATCAATAATCAACATAATTTTTTGTTCAACTGAAACTTGAATGAACCAATCATGCATATTGTCATTCAATCAGCTGCCTCCAACTCCACTGTCTTTAAGAGGAATATATTATCAACATGTGCATAGGTGTACCTGAGAATTGGGCACAACAAACTGTGCCAGGAGCTGGTCTGAAGTTCTGCTGGGCTTCAGTCTGACAGCAGTGTTCCCTCAGCTTTAACTGCAGATCCTGAATCACTCCTTTGAACCACAGTGTCAACCACGGTAAAGATGCGCAATGCAGGTGGGACAATTATGTTGCATTAACCAGAACAAATAATACTCTACTTACCAGCGTTCTCCATCTTCTGCACAATAAACTCATCGGGTGACTTGAGGTGGGTGATGAAAACAGACAATTTGTCACCCACTGCCTGTGTCAGCGGCTCCGGTGGTTGAGCCCAGGTATTGTCATCTTTTCCAAGAGATCGGCGTCGAAAGTTTTCAAAGGATGCACTCACTAGGGCATTTGACAAAAACCAGACAGATAATAAAACTCTTCTTATACAACGGGCAACACTACGGTAGGTGAGCGGTTGTTATCTATTAGACGATGTGGTTTGAGGTCAGTGATTCAGTTTTTATATATTCTTTAAATTGGCAACACATTAAGATGGTTCAACTACATTATTTCTTACATCCTGTCTAAAGTTAAAAGGCCAAGGTAGCTGGAATTATGAAGGGAATAAATACAATGACCTAACTGACTTTTAAGGCCTCCAAACTATATTTTAGAGAAACTTTGCAGCATAACGGTGATGTCGTGCGATTCATCCCAGTGTTGTCTTATAGTCACAACCCTGATGTGCACACTGATTTGAGATGGGTTTGAGCATATATGGAGCTAACTTACTTATGTCTTGGTCAGTCAGTGTTGAGTTGACAGTTTCTTCTTGTGCGTAGCCATGCTCGAGGAGGAATGCGCTCAGCTGCTTTCCTACAAGACGAAGGAGGGAATTTCAGTTTAACTTCTGTCAGTCCTTTACATGTGCATCCTTGGGTTTTTCAGCCCACCCAACTTTACAAAACACACCCATGGACAGAAGGATATCCACCACATGGACGCGACTATCCACTTGTGTTTCCACCAGCCTAACAGTCACAGTTTTGCCGGTAATCAGCTGACTCGCTGCGAGACAGCACTCGCCGGACCATTTGTCAACCACTGGCACTATCCCAGCGATACGGCACTCCATTGCCTGAAAGTAATAGAGACAAGTAATAATGTCATAATACCAGCTGTGAGACGAGACAAATGTTATGGGTGAATGCTACCTAATGCACGACTATGGAAAGTTGTGACATCGATGACTGTGTGTGCATGATTGATATTCATGCAGTACAAACATATTTTGACATCCATCGCAGTCACATGAGATACTGAAAAAAATACCATTATCAGTGCAAACCTGCACTTACACAAGGTCGAAATGGTTGAATATCAGCAGCCAGAGGTCTGATCCTGTCCACTGGGACATTCTCTTCATTTCCAAAGTCAATGTAAAGGATATTTGCCATTTTCTGGTCCTCAGTCAAAGTCTGCACAAGGCCACGGTACCACTTCTAGAAAGAAGATACACAAGTGACAAAAAAGTCAAACAACTGAGCCAACACGTATACAAAAATGCGTTCTTGTTAAATTGCTTGAGGGGGCCTCTGCTCACCAGATCGCAGGAAAACTGAACCGCGCAAACCTCTCCAACACAGGGTACATGCGTTGTCACTGAGGGGAGGCTGTACGTTTTCTGAAGCTCTTTTGTGATGCTTTGTAAAGTTTCCAGCAGTTCAGGGCTTTGAGCAATGATGAAAAATCTGCTAGGGCTGGAGAACTCTACAACATGTGCCTAAAAAGAAAAAACACAGGTACAAACAAACAAATTGCATTCTATAGATAAGAGAAGCCTTTATTAGTCCCACAGTGGGGTAATTTGCAGTGAGACAACAGCACAGGAGATTGTGAAAACGTGTAGGGAACATCAGTCGTAAATCAAAATAAACAACACACACATATACTTACCGTTGATATTGTGCAGATTCTTCCATGTGTGGGAAATACAGATATTGCATAGTATACCGGATTTTTGTAATTAACAAGGCGGACTAGATGATAACATGAAAACTGAGTATATTGTACCTGGATTTCTTCTCCCAAATTCATTTTAGTTGTATTCAAGTCCTTCAAATAGACCCTCTGGAGGACCGATGACTCACAGTCCTTCAATAAAGAGAGGCAAAAGAAGATAAACATCACAATTCCTCTACACAGTGTTGTTTCATATCATGACCATTTCGAGCTTTAAACTTTAACTTGAATTCGACAACATCACGTTACAGTATCGCATTTACCTTCAACTCCACCCGGCTGGTTCCATCTCTGGTAACTGGTGAAGCTGTAGTTTCCTTTGGTTGCTCTCTTTAGATTAAGAGAAATCAACGGAACTTTTTGAGCGCAAATAACAAAATGTCTGTTTTTTTGTTCGTATGAAACAATCAGAACATCTGACACTTGAGATTGAGCCGGCTTACTTTGGAGACTCTGGATCGACAGACTTGCACATGTGTCTGTGTGCCTTCCAGTCCTCGGTCTGACACACCACAGAGCAGTAATTCGCCTTCTTGCAGCGCGTGCACCGAAAACGCCCTGTGAATGAACACCAGTAAATTAATCTTCACTACACAACGACAATAGTGTTGGAATGTGCTGGATACCACCGTTCTCATTCTACAGCACATCCTCAAATACACCAGCTCTTAAACAACTTGGGACCAAGTCTATTGAACATTGAATTAAACTTGTAAAAAGTCTGAAACATAGCCTTTATAGATATGATGACAATTACAACAGCTAACAAATTGAAAGCATAGTAAACAACAAGTCAAAAGGGTAATAAGAGACTTTGTAAGGATATGGTATGAAGGATATTTGTTCTCAAATTGTAGTACGCACACACACCTTGCCGACCACAGAAGTTGCAGTAGTAGATGTTGAGCGATGGTGACACAGATCCTATCAACTGTGAAGGAAGGAATGAAAACTGGTGCTGAGAAAGGACTTGCATTTCATACACAGATTTACCCAAAGACAAAAAAAAATGCAAATCTGTTACATACTGCAGATGCATTCTTGCTCAAAGGTGAATTCGCGAGACCTGCAGAAAAGAAAACGAGGAATGACCTCACAGCAACACAGGTAACGCCGTGTCTCCTCGTTTGTAATATTGCCACGTTGAAGTATTAACATATTTATTGGGTCGCTGAGTAAAACTGACCACATTGGAAAAACAAAGGTGGTAGCTATGTGTCCGATAATGGACACCAGTGTAGTTTAAAATGTTTTCTTTTACCGTCTCCAATGGCGCCCGACACGGGGCTAACAGGTGCTCCACCCGACATGTTGAGCTGTCTGAGAGGCGATGCGGTGAAAGGAGCCACGGGGCTGGTGGACGGTTTTCTCAGGGGCAGGTTAGGTCGAACCAGGTTGGGAGTGAATGACCGGTCCATGTCGGTAACTGTCACAAGCATAGAAAATACATAGGATCATTATTTATGATACGAGCTGGAAAAGTAGAGAATATTTTCGTTTTAGCTTTAGCATTGCTAGCTAGCTAATTATCTGTAAAACATTAGGTTCCGTTACACTTCACGGTTTATGACAAGTTAGCTCGCTAATATACGCTTAGAAAAACAATGTAAATGGCGATAAGTGAGCAAAGTTTTCGACAGCAAACTCAACGAACGGTACATTACAACGAATAACTATATAAACATATTCATAAAATAGATTAAAATTGCATCGTCAGTACCTGAACGCGCCTGCGACTATTGTTGAGAAAAAGTGTCGCACATGCGCAGTAGCCTGAACTGCAAATGGGTCAAAAGGTCAGAATAAAAAAGTTCAGATACGTTCATCTGAAGGAGAAACACAAATCCTTCAACAACATCTCTGTTCATATTGTGCTGTGACATCGACCTCTGGAAATAATTAACTTTTAGGTTGGTTTTTAATTATTTATTTATTTATTTTTAAATAAAGGAATGCCTGATTTTTATGTCCAGTTATGAAAGAGAGAGAAAACCAAAAGCAATGCAATGGGCTAACAGTAGATATCTCAATAAAGATGAGAGGTGTTAGGGCCTGAGTGTTTTAAAAGTATTGTCCATATGTATGTCTATCATGCACTTTGAGGAATGGCTCACTGTTTTCCACTGAACATATCAGGCCTTTATAAACATTAAAATAATGTCAACTATTATTCAACATTATTTCTTAAGAGATTAAATGTTGAGCTTTTTGGTTTGTAAATTGAGGTGTGGAGACACCTTGTGGCCAAGTGTGGTACAACAGTCCTCTGCCACTTTAAACTTTGGCTTTACTACATTTCAGAGGGAATATTTTTTTATTTTTTTATTTTTTAGAATACTTTTTACTCAGCTGTACTTATCTTACGGCTGTTTTTATTTGTGACTATGCAAATTAAACTTTTACATACACATACAAAACATAGTGACATGAAGAGTCTTTGAATTAGTTGGAACAAAAAAAAAACATTTTTTGTAAAATGTGAAAATGTCAAAATATGACTTTTCCTTGCAACTGTGAGCTGAGCTTCTCTGAAGCTTGGATAATATGTTTTGTGTCAGGAATTTTAAATAGCTAGCTTAATAAGGTTATAAGGCATTCTCTTGCAGTGAAAATTCCTTGTTAATATACAGAAGTAAATTAGTCTTTACTAAGCTTTTAAGAATTTCCTTCAGGATGAATAAAGTTCCATCTTCTCTTATATATACTAAATGATTCAAAAATCCTCAACTAAAGTTTTAAGGCTTTTCAAAGGACTGAAATCATCTTTCTGTAATTAACATGCATATTGCAAAAATGTTTTATCATAATGAGTCAAAGGCGTGGTTGGGATCTCCACACACTGGGTGCTTAGCCCATCCAGCAGTCTTTTAAAGTTTTTAAGGAGTAATAATATTGTAAAATGATGATCTGCTGTCTGAAAAGTAAAATCATTCCTCTTCTTTTTCTTTCTGTGAGTAGCCCAGGTTAATGTCACAGTGAGTGCAGACTAGCTGGTTCTCAAACTGTGTGCTTTGAAATTACTCTGTGCTTTGGACCTGTTTTCATTCATTTAATTTAACTGATTGCTCTTCAAACAGTGCAGGGGAAGAGGTGCAGGTGCTGGCGAGAGGAAAAGTTCACTCATAAAGTCATAAAAGACAATTCCCCAGATAAATAACTCATAATAATCTTTATCAAGATGGCGCCAAGGATGGCTGTCATAGTGTGTTGGTGCGCACTGTTTTGTCTTGTTTTCTTAGTTAACTTGGTTTTTAGTCAGTGTTGTGGGAGCTCTTACACCAGAGAGGAGCTCATGAACATCAGGGCCACAACCCCTGAGGATTTAGTCCCTGCACGATTACAGTTATTTTTATTTTTAGTTACTTTACTGTATATTTATTGTATGCTCTATTTATTGTGTTTGTTTTGCACCAACCCACCAGAACAAATTCCTCGTATTGTGTGAACTGTACCTGACAATAAACCTGTTTCTGATTCTGATAATCAGAACAAATCTGCTGACAGGTATTGGCATCACTGAAAATTCTGTGCATAGCCTAATGACAACTTATCAAACTACAATAAAATATATTGTCATTGCTATTCGGATATCTGTTGGCATATTTTGTGACTTTAATGATTAGTGGTCACATTTTTTATGCTTTGGGAAACATCCATACATTTGCTGAGATCAATTCTGCAAATATCCTCCTCTGAGACTGTGAAGAAGGAAAAAAATCTGTAATAAAGCACTTTGCATGACAGAAACATATTTTTGACTCTGCTAATCATATTATTTCTGCGAGATTTAACACATGATCAGAATGATCAGATAAATATGACCAGGACTATCATCCTTACTTTTACAAAACCTAAACAAACTAAAATTTAGATTCAGGAATGTTCATTGAACATTTGGAGGTATAGTCTTGGGCCTCCAGGCTTAACAGTTCCACGATGATGGTTTTAAATAACGAGTTGTAGTATGATTTGTCTTTGTTTAGTGTCTCTTTATATTCTAAGAGGGAATTTGGGTCATTTATATGATGCAGGGTGGAAAGTTGCCTGTTCTGGACAAGCTAAGGTGGGGTTGGAGCACAGACAGTATGGGTTGGAGGTGTACCTGCCGTTTGCTGACGTCACATGAACGTCATTTGTCACCGGGCTGCCATTGGTCTACATCGCCTCATCGGTTCCCCCGCAGTGGCCATATTTGTTGATGTGTCATATCAAAGTGACTTGTTGGGCGATCAGCTGTTAAAACAGGAGCTGTAAGTTCACTCTTATCCCGGCTGTCTCCGCATCGAACTACAACATGGGTTACTGGCATTCGGTGGGTGAAAATATATCCATCTTTATTCAGCTTTGCTTGGCATTCACGTTAGCTGCTAGCGTTAGCTGCGGTGGCTAAAGTGTGAGCGGATTGCACAGTACGAGCTAACGCCTCCCTTATCAACGTTAGCATGGCTAGCTGAAGTAAGCACCATTGTGTTCCAATATGTCACTCTGCTGCTGAGCGCTGAATCCATTTAAAATAACCGTCGTTAGCTTGCTGTTGTCAGTCCTCAACGTGTGTTGCATTTTAAGCTAGGTTTTGCGTTTTCCTAACGTTATAGCATTATCCCGGCTACCTGAACAGCTAGCGAGCTAAAGACAGCATATACAGTGCTAACGAGCCGAAATGTAATAAATCGGCAATAAAAACATATGGCACACCGGCCTGCTGCTTGCAGTCACCAACCACAGACATTTTAAAGGTGTGTTTCCATGCAAACCGGTTACACACATGACGTTAAGCCCGGTGTGATGGTATGACACCTGTCAGAAAAGCATCTGCAGCACTGCATGTGTTTTGCTGCTCAACAGAAGCTCAGTGAAGCTGTTGTATTTGACACAATAGTCTGACGGAAATCACTATAATTCCAGGTTTTGCTGCAAGACTTAACATTGCAATCCCTATTTATGTAGCTGGACAGAAGGGTGAGCAAGGACAGATGATGCTGAAGTGGTCTTGAGGGGATTCTGCATCAGGAAACATCAGGAAGGGGCCTCAGACACTGCATGTCTTTTTAACTTCCAGAGCTGTGTTTAAGTTTAAATGGATTCCAGCTGATCTCAGTCATCACAGCAAAAACAAAAAAAAAAATATGGCACTGAATGCTGACAAAGGCATTTTTAGTCCAAGGGAACAAAGGTGAATGCTGGATGTTAAATGTAGACAGGCCGACTGTGTTTATTAACCTGTTCTGTTGCTTCAGCAGAGACCTGGTGGCTGGTCTCTTTAACTTACCATTACCTCTAAGTTAATTAGTTAACTAGAGGTGGTGTTAAAGAAGGCAGATTTTCAACCACAGAAATGGAAGTAAAGAATCCAGGTCCAGGCACTCGAGGTGGATTTGACAAGTAAAACATGTTTGTTTAGAGAAATTAAAAAACACACTTGTCCACCTTTTTCAGAGGGTAGAGACATCAAGAAACTAAGTGTTTTCAGGGGAATCCAATCAAGGTTATGTTTTTTTCTTCTCTAAAGAAAGTTGAGAATGACCCAACCCTATGTATGTTGTCATGTACCAAGCCCTGTGGAGATGCCCTTTGATTCAAGGGCTTCATATTACATCTATTGTATTCAAGCTGTTAGACACGATTAGAAAAGCTGCATGTGTCAAGAAAAATGTACTGGTTATTTTTTTAACTTTTCACTGACGTAATTGGCAAATCCTTCCCAAAGCATTTTTTTCGTCATGACTCCTGAATGCTTTGTGACACATTTTGAATATTACTGAGCTTTCAGGGTGTGTAATAATCATGAATACCTATCTCAGTGGTATGACAAGACCTCCCAGTTGTATCTCGTCACAGGTATTGACAGGACCACACCTCTTAGTGTGTGTGTCACTGAGTTTCTCTTTTGGTAGCAGGCAAACTAACTTGAGGAAATACAACGCTTACTGTTGGAATTGTCAGGGGCTTTCCAGGCTCAACAACGCTTCCTGATGACCAGGAAGGCACAACATTCAAATAGCACAGGGTTGTTGTGTTGGTGATGTCCAGCTGTTCACAGAAGAACTGTGGTTACACTATAGATGAAAACAGTTTATCAGTGTGCTCCCACTCAGTCTTCTGTGTCTGCTTCCTCCTCTCTGTGCCAGATTTGAACCAGAGAAGGACCATGGAACAGCCTGGTCCTGCTGCAGATATGATGGAAGGATCAGAAGGCAAATCTGCGTCAGAGGGATCATGCCAAGTGAATCAGCTTCACAACAGCACGCCCAACATAGAAGAGGAGGAACGAGTCTCTCACAACAGTGAACATGAGGCAGGAATCTGCAGTCAAGCAAATGATGAATTACAGCTTGACAGTGAATTAATCAAGAGTATAACTGATGATGAGATGGACGTAAAGCAGGAAACATGCAGTCAGGAGCATCTAGACGAGGAGGAGGAGGCTGCTGATGCCTCTACAGAAAGTGAGAGACCTCTACTTAGTCTTTCAAATGAGACTGATGGTGCTTTGGAAACCCCAGTAAACACCCTGGATGTAGTAGAAAGCTCTCCTTCTGTTCTTGAAGGGACAACAGACGCCATATTGACTTTTGATGCCACCCTTGCAAACAATACGGAGCAGCCATCACTCTTAGTCACTAATTGTTCCACAGAGCCATCACCTGTTGACGAGAGCGGTTCAGCCGAGAGCCCGTCATCCTCTTCTGGCCTGAGCACTTCGAAAAACTCACCCACTGAATCAACGACCACCTCCGGGATCTTTAATGGCCCCTCTACCCCGAGCTCTGACACTGTCAGCTCCTCCCTTGCTTCCAGCCCGCAAACCAGTGCCAACAACTCAGTCCCTTTGCACTCCTCGTCAAGTCCTTATGACACTGATTGCAGCCGAAAGCTTATTTCCCAGATTCAGCGCTCACTGTCACAGGAGTCGCTGCTGGATGAGCTTGAGTCAGAGCTATTGTCCTGTCAGCTGCCTGAGGGAGAAAGCGGAGGTGAGAGAAAAGGGAGCCCACCTGTCAACGGACTCCCCACAGACCAGGAGGGCTGCATGGTGGTTTTTGAGAAATGTGTGCAGTACAAGTACGCACAACAGGAGAAAGCGATTCAGAGGTAAGCAGTGACTTTATCTGAACAACTATGATGCGCATCCATGTCCTGGATGTTATCGACTATAATGTACTGAGACACCATTCATTTTAAAATGATATTTGTGCATGGAAACTAGTTTATTTATCAAGACGCCAAACAATATGAAGTTTTTGTTTCTTTTCCTTTCACCCTTTGTAAAGTCGCCTCCATAAAACAGCAATATTAAACAAACTTAGCAACGTTGTTAGGAGTGAAGCTAGACTTTTTCTGTAAATAACAAGATAATCTGGTTTTTTTTTTTTTTTTGCCCAGCCCTGTTTTTGGCCCTAAAAGTTTAAATTCTTTAATACTCTGCATGGACTTGACCTGAATTGGGATTGTGTGTGTGTGTGTGTGTGTGTGTGTGTGTGTTCGTTCATTCATCTTTGTGTGCAGGTTGCTTGAGGAGAACAAGAGACATCAGGAGCTGATCCTGGGTATCTGTTCAGAGAAAGACAACATGAAGGTAGAGCTGAAAAAGAGGGCAGAAACAGAAAAGCAGCACATGGCCACCATTAAAAAGGTTGGTTTCCTTCTCTGTGGTATTCTCATGTTGTTGTTCCTGGTTATATGGCGTTGCCTGTTTAGGAGACAATCTCAGCTGACGTACATAAATCTTGGTCCAGAGCAGGCGTACAGTGAAACAATGCGCTATGTTTGTCAGGCATGTCTGTTTGGCCTATTTTTGATAGATTTTTGAAAACAATGAAAGCCTGTTTAGCATCTGTTTTTGTCATCAACAAGGAAACGCTCTGCTGCAGTGTTTTGTCTGATGTCCTGCCTGTGGACATTGAATTTGGCTGATCAGGATCACGTTGCACCTGTAGTTTGGCAAATACTGTTTCGGGCTTTTATACCTGGAAAAGTTTGCCACAGAGAGTTCTGCAAACACTGGCTGTGTATTATATCATTTCGCTTTTCAAATCATAGCTTACATTTATTGTTGAGTATTGGCAATTAGAACGTTTGTTGTTATCGTATTTTTTATGCAATACACAGAAATTGCACACTTGGTCATTTGGTTTTTAATTTGATAGAAAAAACTTCTACACTGGTTGACACGTTGTCCCTTAGTGTTGGTATAATTTGAAATTAGATTACATTCTGGGAAAATTTTAGAATCAAATATCTCCTCTAAAATATGAGCATTCAGCTTTCACTGACCGTTGTACAGTTAAAGAGACAAACCTGTGACACTCTGATTCAATTAAACCTGGATTCTAGTCCTGATCCTAATTAAGGATGTCAAACAAAGCCGCCCATTGGGGAGAGGACAATGATACTTAATCCTTATGACGAGCATTCAACATGCTACATGTGCATCATGTGTTGTGTCTCCTGCTCTGCAATCGACAAAGATATCCAGCCAGTGCTCCTGAACACAATTGCTTCCCTATTCTCTGGCTCTGGTTTTGCATTTCTGTTGCCATGGAAGGAACAATAATTGATTCATGCTTTCTAGGTTACACAGTTTGTTTAGTCGTTGTGTAAGCAAAAGGGTATAGGATGGGTTTTTATGACCTGCGTCCAATGTATGCTTACCGTTCTCTTTTTTCCAAACCCAGATTTTGCCTCAATAGATCAAATGTCTGACGGACGTTTTGCAGCAATCACCTGGTAGTAAAGGCTTCACCAAAGTCAGACTGATTATATTTCAGATGAAACAGTCAAAGAAACTCTCTGTCAGATGTAATTATTGGATTCTTATCTCATCTTATTTTAGAGTAAAATAATCTGTTTTCAAGGAATTGATCAGTGTCAGACTGATATCCTCTGCTGTCGGAGTTTAGTTTACCTTCAACGCTTTGTGTCATGTTTAATCCTGTGTAGCACTTCAGCCGCAGGTGTGGCCCAGGTTTACAAATTTGCCTAACAAGTTGCTTATACTCCCTGTTTCCGCAGTTGGAGGGCAGGGTGGAGGAGCTGCTGAAAGAAGTGAAGGAGTCGCGGGATAAACTCATTCACCAGGATCAGGCAGCTAAGGCTGCCCTGCAGCACATGCAGAAGGAAACGACTTACCGACTAGAACAGGTAAAACTGTAAATACTTTGAGACTTCTCGATAAGCCGGTCACACAACTTAGTTTTCCCGGAGTTTGACCCTTATTTACATGTCTAGCCATGTTGCCTGTAAACTGCTACAGTAGGTTTGTCACCTGAATTACTGTGTTTTTACCTTAAGAAATAATTAGCTTTTTTTTTTTTGTATTGTGGATCATTTTTGCAAGAATTCAGTATTTATTTATTTATTCATTCATTCAGTCATTCATTCTTAATCTATGGAGTCATGAGAGTGCCAAATTATAAAATAAATCAATAAAAGAATAAAAAAAATAAAAGTGGAAATGAAAAGAATAATAAATACAACAATAATTAATTTAATATTATTTTTATTTTTAAAATTTATTTTTACTTTTTTAATCATTTTTATTTTTTAAATTTATTTTTATTATTATTATTTTTTAAAGTTATTTTTGTATTATTTATTTCTTTTTTTGCTTTTAAAGTGACATTTAATTTAAAGTGACTTTTTCTTTTCTTTTCTTTTGCCTTTAAAGCAACAGATAATTTAACAATAGCAATTACCTCCAGTTCGGGGGTACATAATAGATGCATAGGGATATACGTTTACTCATTGTTATTGTTATTGATAGATTGAGTTCACGCTGCAGCTTTTGGGGTCAGATCCCAGAGAGAACAGTAGCAATCTCTGATGACTCATGTAGATTTTTCAAATCACAATAAAGCAATATATACTCTTAGTCATCCACAGCACTTACAAAGTCTGCATGTATATACTGTTTGAATACATGAAAAGTGGATTATCAGTGCTTAATTCAGTGAGTTCTGAGTAACTGACTGATTTGCTGCACCAATATATGAATTCTAGGTACCTGTAGTGTTTATGTCCACAAGCTTAGTTCGTGCCTCTGCATCAGTGTGACTTCCAGTAAGTAATATACACCAGCTTATGTAACAATGTTCTATTCATCCTGAGATTAAAATAGTTGCTAAAGCTAATAAAGCCGAGTCACAACTGACCAAAAATAAAAAGCCTGGTTTCTGTCACACATTCTTCATATCTTCGAAGTCGGTTTCCACAAAACCGGCAGCTAAGCGTTCAGGGTCTTTGCACACCAAACTCTCGTTATTGCAGATTTAATCACTTGTTAAATGAATTGTGCAGGAAAGAGCATTTTTCATCCAACAGTTTTGTGCACCTGGTTGAAACCACGTTCAGGCATTCCCTCGACAGTTTTGACACACTTGACAATTTTTAATTTCACTGTTCAGTGAACAATACGAGTCAGATTTTGCCCTCGGTGTCTCTTTGAAGCCCTTCTCTTGTATCAGTCTTCCCTTTAGGTAACCTGTTGATCTAATCATCTGTTACCCCTGAGGTTTGAAACAGTTGGACATTTTAATTTGTAGAAGTTTTTGCCCCAACTAACTGACAATATCTTTCTTTTTTAAAGTTATTTAAATATAAAAATCATTGTGAAGCCTGAATCACGATTTATCTAGTTTCATGGTCTAATATTATTTGAGACTGACACACACACGCACACACGCACACACGCACACACGCACACACACACACACACACACACACACACACACACACACACACAGCGTCTCTTGTACCGTACAGTTTGTACAGTTTCTCCCTCGTTTCTCCCGTTCTCCCAAAACACCACCTTGTTACAGCAAATAGTGCAGGTTGGGCGTAGAAACACAAAACTGTCTGTCAAACTGACAAACTGCACACGCGTCTATCGTTGCCGTGAGAAATGAACACACAGGTGTGAGACCAGAGAGGACAGCAATAAAAGAACCACCAGGTTGAGAGTGAAGTGTCCGTACTGCAGGTGTACCAGGGTTGCGCTCGATCTTTGAAAAAACTTGTCCAGGGTGTCCACTGCCTTCACCTGAGTCAGCCGGGATAGACTCCAGCCCCCCACGACCCTAGTGAGGATTAGGTGGTGTAAGGATGGATGGATGGATGGATGGATGAATGGATGGGCTGATGAAGGGCTTTGGGGTTTAGGCCAGTTGGTAGTCACACAGTGAATATCATATGAAAGAGAATTTTGGAAACACATGAAATTTCTACAAACCGTAAATTGTGTGTTTAGTTGTGTTAGCAAATCTGTGTTCAAATACGACGATTACCCTCCTCTGTCTTACTGACATAAGAATGCGTCTTATATTTGAACCAAGTTAGACAAAACAAACAATTTGAAAATGCTTCCTTCTGCTTTTTAAGGCTTTTTTAAAAATTTATTTATTTATTTTTTTACTGTTTTCTGTCACTTTGTTGAAAACGTTTAATCAAGAAAATCATTTGAATGATAATTAAATATAATAATAATAATAATAATAATTCAAGGATTCAAGGAACTTTATTTGTCATGCCAGCTCACATTCACATGTTAGTGGGAGGAAATTTGTACTCAGGTTTTTTTTTTTTTTTAGGAAAGAAAAGCCTAATAAACAATAACTACAGTAAATTGAGAGCAAAATATAAAAACAAGAGCAGCAGCGAGGTAGATTGTGATATTGGATATAATTGCACATATATGGATAAAGTGCAGTTGGTGCAGTCTGTGCGTGATGGTGGTGTGAGTCTACAGAGCACGGCTCGAGTTCAGCAGTCTGACAGCTTCAGGGAAGAAGCTCTTTCTGAGCCTGGTGGTTTTGCTCCGGTTGCTCCTGAGCAAAACCACCAGGCTCAGAAACAGCTTCTTCCCTGAATAATAACTGATTTGACGTCTAGTCAGTGCAAAAGGTCAAAATATGGGAATAAGAAAGTCTGTGAGCGTTTGTGCAAAATTGCTGTTTGGTACAAACATTAAGGCAATAAAAGATTGTCTGTGTAATATTGCTGCCAAGTGGAAGCTTGTTGATAAGTCAGCAGTTTCTTCTTCTGTACAAACTGCAGCAAGGATCATCTGACTGTCCATCTTGTGCCAGTCCAGCTTGAAGCTGAAGCAAGCTGAGTAATGTAGCTCATGCATCTTGTCCCCTGCCATCTCCTCTTAATGGTTTCCCAGGAGACGCATCACTTTGTTATGATCTCTCCAAAGCTCCGGCAATTCCAGCAATGAAGTGACTGAAGTGTGGAAAATGACATGAAACCCATCTCATGATATAATAATAAAAAAAAAACCCAATCCTCCCAGGTGAACAAGAAGTGTGATGAGGCACGCCAAGAGAAGGAGGCCATGGTGATGAAATACGTGCGGGGGGAGAAAGAGGCGCTCGACCTGAGGCGGGACAAAGAGAGTTTGGAAAAGAGGCTGAGGGAGGCGAGCAAGGAGGTGGATCGGCAGGCCCTCCGAGGAAACCAGCTGGCTCAGGAAAAGGGCCGGCTGCAGCAGCTGTATGATGCCAAGGTAAATGCTGGGTCAGAGTATTCAAGAAACTGTTTACATCAGGACATGACGACTCAATATCAGCTGGATGTTTATTTGCGCTTGGGTCTAAAGTTATTACAGTAAAATATTACCTGCATGATGTATAGACGTCCCACAATGTTTTGATCTCTCCATTTCAACACATGCCAGTGTGGTTTAAGTGATAAGTCATGAATTCAGCTGTTTTTGTCCCCAATATGCAAAGAAGTCCCCCTCTATAGTTAATGTGTTATAGTGACAATTACTTTACTTCAGTGTTTCTACTTCATATCAGTTTCTCACGTTACCAGATCGCACACACACTTGGAGTTGCGTGAAGTGATTTAAGGAAGGTTTTTTTTTCGCATTTCAGAGCCAATATTTCTCAAAAAAATACACAGTTTGCAAAAATCAACATCTTCCTCATTCACTTTTCCCTCCAATTTTAAAAACTGAAATGTCCACGACAATAAAACTACTACGATGAAGATGGAACAGGTCAGCTTAATGAGGCTCACCAAGAATAAATGTAATTCAAGTTTTGACATGTTCACAGGAGCTGAAGTTCAGTTTGTTGTTTCCAGCTGTTTGTAGAAACTTTCCTCTGAGCTTTTTACAAATGAATTGAGTTCTGCAAATTTCTGCAGATTTAGAGACATGGCATAAGAGCAGTACCCTCATCAGTTACTTTTACATTTTCCTGAGGCTCTCTCCATCACTGTCACTGGTTTGAATGAAGCCGTAAAGAACATTAACATAAAGGTGATGACAAAAGGCCATCAGCTCAACAGATCTGTGAAGCCAGCCAGCGATGGCCTGCATCCAATGCCTGACAAGCACTTTTATTACACCTGCTTTAGCAGTAGGGTCATTCTGCCTCAGTTCTTGGAATGCCCCACACCTAACCATCTTCAGTTTGACAGATTTACAGACATACAAAATGTTCAGGCGTGAAATTCTTTTAATGTTTTGTGAATTGAGGTAGAACGACCCAGTATATACGACGTCCCACTGCTTTGGAATTAGCAGTGAAAAAGCAAACACAGTAAGTAAATCAGCTCCTCCTGTCCTGTCCTTTTGATAATGTTCTTGCTTTACTCCTGTGTTCTCAGGAAGGAGAGGTTGGCAGGTTCACTCGGGAGGTGGAGAAGCTGAAGGAGGAGATCAACTCGCATCTTATCAAGGTCAAATGGGCCCAGAACAAACTGAAGAGTGAGGCAGATGCACACAAGGTAATCAAAGTGCTTTTTATTTTGTCAGTTCACAAGCCAGTTGTAGCACTGAAGTTCATAGTTTCTCATTTAACTTCTGTAAACTAATCAGAAGACCTGTATAGAGAAATAGATTTGTCTTAACTGCTCATACACAGGTACCAGCCTGAGCATTCAAATTTTATTCAAATCAAATTTATTTATTCAAATGAGTCAAAATAAAGCTGCCTACCTACCTAAAGTGGTTGCAGCTCCTATTGACAGTGTATATACCCCCCAACATGTTTCTTCTGGTTGATTTTCCTCAGTCTACGCTTGTCGTTTGTCAAAGACGTACGCCGGCACACAAATAGCACCTCCTTCGGTCATTTTATCTGCTTCACAAAAACAACATGATTAGATGTGTCTTGTGATTCACAAGCGAAAGGAAATGGGCTGAGAATGGTTACAGTAATGAACCTGCAAGAAAATCATCATTAACGTTGTGGCTATTTTTGAAAATGCCCATTACAAACTAATGAGTTTTATTTTTAACTGCCTCCAAGCAAGTACACAACAATAAACAGAGAAGGAAACAGCAAAAACTCACTGAAGGCCACAGGAGTTGAGCCTCGAATGTTTTTATTTTTTTGTGGCAATTTGTACAGCTGATGTGTGTGTAAATCACTTTGTGCATTTATAGATTCAAAGAAAACTGTTTATACTTGACATTGTATTTGGTTTGACGTGAAATTCTCTCATTATTTTAGCATCACGATTACAAAAGTGTGTTTATCTCGCAGGAAACGAAAGACAAACTGAGGGAGACCACATCCAAGTTGGCCCAGGCCAAAGAAGAAACCGAACAGATCCGGAAAAACTGCCAGGACATGATCAGAACATACCAGGTTTGTGATATTTATCACATGGAAGTATTAGTTTGCTCATGGCCGTGTCAGGGTCTGTGTCTGCGGAACGGATGTCGATGTGGATCCCTGTGCTTTTGGGCAACGTAAGGAATTGTGTGCTGATCAAAATCTTTTATTAAGGAATTTTGCCAATTTACAAAATTCCAGGTCAAAGGAGGTCATTTCTAGCTGTATTGCATGCTGTACTCGCATACAAAGACTACATGATGCTGATTGTACATCTATATTTTCGTAGAGGACTATGAAAAGATGCTGTTGAGTAAGTGAAACTGCACTTAGAGGATGATTAATTCTGCTTTAGGAGAATGGCAGTTTCCATTTGTACCTTATGATGGTGGTAAAGAGCTGCGTTAGCTTCATCTCAATGGTAGAAAGATTAGTTTGAGCTCCTGTATGACAACATCCACAGTCAGCAGTGCCAGTGGATAATGAAGCAAGACATCAAAATACAAAAAAACAAAACCGCCATCATTCATCTTCATCGTCAGTTGGTTCTCTTCACTTGTGTCCACAAGTCTTCCTCCTTTTCTGCTGCTCTCTGACTGTTGTTTCAGCCGGTGCATCTCCTTCTGCTGCATCCTCTTGTTTTTGAACCTTTCGCTCCTCTCTCCCTCAGGAATCGGAGGAGCTCAAATCAAACGAGCTGGATGCTAAACTGAGAGAGACCAAAGGAGAGCTGGAGAAGAACAGGCAGGAGCAAACGGACCAATTAGAGGTGACAACCATCATGCACACATACAAACACTTCTCCACAAAAACAAAGCCCAAATCCAGAAGCTACACGTTTGGTCCAAACTGAGTTACAACCTGAGTCTGGACACCTTGCTGTATAAATATGATGTTAAAGAAGTGTGTCATTTTGGGGGTAAAAAACAGAAAGAATAAAACGACATGTAAAAACAAAACTGCACAGACTGTGAGATGGTGTTAGTTAGAGCAAATGTACCCTCTTTTTATTTATTTCTTACATTTGAAAAATCAATTTTGATCCTGTTGCATCTTGATAATTGAGTTTGTTTTATAAGACAAATAATGCAGCAGCTGTCTCTAATCATTATGGAAACAAAACACCACCAGTAGCTGTAACCGCCACCTCCGCAGCATCCGACTACAGACAAAAATAATGTGATCTGAAATTGAAAAGATTAAAGAGCCCACATTATACTTTCTGAGTCTGTTTTTTTTTTTTTTTTACAATGACATAACGCTTTTTTTGTGCCTGCAAAAGATCTGCAAACTTTCCCAGCTCGAAGTCCACACCGAAGGCAGTTATCCTTTTCCATCTGCTCTTTCAGTGCCTGAATGGCCTCATTTGAAATCGAGGCTTTTCGTCCTTTACATACTTATGTCACCATATAGCAAATTTGCAGAACGCCTCCCTAGTGGCAGAGAATGGGCAGACTCCTCACAGTTTGTCATTATTTCCTCGTTATGCTCTAGATCTGGAGTTACAGTATGTTACCAACATTGCCCTGCTTTCATCAGGCCAGTTGACCAATCACAACTTTGCTTTCTGAGAAGAGACTTTAAAGAGACGGGAGTGAAAATCAAATGTTTCAGACAGAGGGTGACAAGAGATGCTGCACCAATACACAGTATGCAATAAATAATGTGTATTTTTTTGAACACCTGAGCATTTGAACACAATAGACCCCAAAATAGAATTGTAAACCTGTTAATAATATGGACTCTTTAACTCAATAAACTAGCTTGTTTGTTTGCATATCAGCAAAAAAGCAGCAAAAAGATCGTATTTTGTTTGTAAATGCTGTTTAAAAGAAAAAGAAAAAAAACAGAGTGCCATATCTGCCGAATGTTTCCTGACAATAATTAATAATGAGCCTTATACTTTGACAAGGAGCCTTTAAACTTCAAATCCTTATTTCTTAGTTTTTCAACACCGTCTTTGGAGTTGATCTTTTCTTATAAAAGAGCTTTCGAGCTCTCTGAACTTTAAATCCTGCACGAATATTGTTAGTGTTCATGCTTGCTCATGTCTGCAGACATACTTTTCTGTCTCTTTAGTTTCTATTTGTATCTGTGTAATAATCCACCAGAAGACAAAATAGATGAAAATGCAAGTTACATGTGCTTTCTGTTAGCCAGGCCATTATTCAGCCTTTTATTGATGGCCGTGATGCCAGCTCTTCTAGTAAAACGGCTTATTTTCAGCTGTTTACCTCAGTTTGAGAGGTGTGTTTGCCTTAACTTGGAATGAGTAACAAACTGGCACACGAGCTCCACAGGCAGACATGCGTGCACACAGGCAGGCAAAGACATGGACTCAATCCAAACACAATGGCCTGTTTTTCCCCACTCTGAAGGGAATCACACTTTAAAAATAAATGGCCTAGAAATAATCAATACGAAGCTGTGCGTTTCAACAACAACCCAGAAGGCATCACCCATTTCTTGCCGTCATTTCACAGTCTGGTTGATTTTTGTCCAGGGTGTCAACAAGTCCATGAAATGTCTTGAAGTATAAACACAATTTCCTTCAATTTGATGTTTTCATTTTATCTAAAAAGTTGTTTTTTTTTGTTTTTTTTTTTTTTTTTTTTTTCATTTTAGGAAATTCATTCATAAAAGGATCAATATAATTCACTTCAGCAGTCATGTCAAACATTCTGTTATCCAAGAAACTTTCTCCAGACATACAGCACATTGCCAGCCCATTGCTAAGACTGTGTGCAGATTGTTTTTAGCGTGGACATTGATTCTGGCAGATTTCTTCGCACTGCTAATGAATAAAGCCGATGATTATTTTTAGCATACGTGTTTATCCTGAAGCGATGTTGCAGCTCGGTCATAAATAATGCAAGCAAAACCGTTTGCATTACTGTTTGGGAGTTAACATTAAAATTAAATGGGAAGGCATGAATGGACGAAACGGACAGTGAATTTTCCGGCATTTCCGATAATGGCGTGTTGTCTTGGATACCGCGGGCTCTTAATAGCATCTTTGAAAAAGTTGACTAGCAGCAGCAGCAGCAGTAATGGCTTTGCTAAAAAGATGACACAAAACATTATAGAAACATCATCGCTTTCACTCGCTTAATGAGCGCAAAAGCAAAGTAACTTTAATGAACACAACACTTGTCTTTCCCAGAAATGCATCTGCAATGAAATTATGCAAAGATCTTTTTTTTTTAGTTTGTTTGTTTCAAAAAGATGTCGTTAAGTGTGACTGGGAGTTAAATTGATGTGTAAAACCACTGAATTTAAATCTGAGTAATCACAGCTGGCAGCGGCAAAGAAAAATGCTTTTCAAATTTGTGTTTTTCTCTTTAGTACAGCCTATTATGTGTGTGTGTGTGTAGACTCTTTGTAAAACACATAACAGTGGATAAATACCTAAATGACAATCTGATGCAGGTGCACCGAGTGAAAGCCAAAGAATTGGAAGACCTGAAGAGGAGCTACAAAGAAAGCATGGACGAGCTCGAGACTCTACGCACCAAGGTTTGTTACACAGATAAACGCTTCAAACATTTGGGCGCATGATTTTAGCAGGTCTTTAGCATAATAAAGTGCGATATTCTTTAGTTAAAGTGTCTGGAGGACGAGCGGCCGCGATGGGAGGACGAGCTGAGCAAATACAGAGAGATCATCAACCGGCAGAAAGCAGAGATCGGGCGGCAGAGAGAGAAGCTGGAGGAGGTTACTGCACTCCAGGAGCAGCATCAACGGTACAAGCACATACGCTGTCATTGATCACGTAGGAACAGTACTTAATATAAAAGCTCGAGCGCGGACACACTGCTGCACTAAGTGTCATGGTACACGCTGAAGAGAGAGATCAATAATGGCCACCACAGGCCAGAACTGCATGTCCAGAATCTGACAGAAATGACTAAAGGACAACAAATCTGCTCGATAACGTGTGCCAACAGGCCACAGAAACAGTGTACAGCAATAAAACAGATAAGATGCCGTCTGATTTTTGGAGCATGTTTATTGCACAAACACGTGACGTTTATAATTTCCTTCGAAGTCACTTTGCTGTCACTGAACGCAGCCTTCGTTTGCTGTAAGTGGCATTGAGTCAGGTTAAAAAATGTACGTGTATTTCCAGCCGACGGACTGCATTTGTCGATGTAAGCATACATACATCCTGATTAAAGTGTGCTTTTGAGAATGAGATCCTGGGAATAAATACTTTGTAGAGCAGACAGTGATACATTCAAGGTTTATAGACTGTTCTAAGAAAACCTAATGAGTTCATTACTGTCACTTTACTACTAAGTGGAGGTGTGAATGCATGACATGAGCTCATTTTTAGCAGCATTTAGGTCTTTACAAGCTAGTCTTGCCAACAAAATAAAATCTTTGTCAACTGGAATCACACCGATTGCTCGCACAGAAAAAATAATCTGCAGCTTATTGATTAACTAAATCAGCCCCAGTGCATTGAGTGCACTCTAGCTGCTAGCTTTATTAGCCAAAATGAGTTATAAATTATTGTAAAAAGCTAGCAAATATTGAATCATTTTAGCCTTGATAGTTTACACTTATTGATAACAACAGACTCGAAGCTAATAAGTTTTGTACTGAGATCCAAAAATACAACTATATCAGCTCCTGATCCCAGCACAAGAACTTTTGAGGAGTACACAGCAGACAAAGTTGGCTTATTATTTGTAGATGATATGCCATGTTGGGGGCTGCATCAAGAAGGTCGCCGGTTCGCGACACCCGGGATCTCTCTGCGTGGAGTCTCCATGTTGTCCCCGTGCAGCGTGGGTTCTCTCTGGGTTTTCTGGCTTCCTTCCACAGTCCAAAAACATGTTGAGGTTAATTAGTGATTCTAAATTGTCCGTAGGTGTGAATGTGAGTGTGCTTGGTTGTCTGTCTCTAAGTGTAGCCCTGTGATAGACTGGTGACCTGTCCAGGGTGTCTCCTGCCTTCATACTGAGTCAGCTGGGATAGACTCCAGCCCCCCATGACCCTAGTGATTATTTAGCGGTGTATAGATAATGGATGGATGGATGCCATGTTGGTTGCAGAGCTGCGATGTGCAAACTGCTCCACTTCTTGGCCGTCCAGTTACCAAAATGCAGCTACACCAATCTTAAGCCGACTTCAAGTAAACGTTCAGTACAAAGTCAGACTGAGCAGTGTCCGATAGGTTGGACAAGTTCAAAGTCGTGTTTTTCTCAGGTAGTCTGTTCCTCCTGCAGTCAAATATAATGGATTAACCCTGGAAGGCTATTAACAGAAGAGAATTGAAAAATGGTCGGAAGAGAGCATGTCGACCAGATTAACTGGAACCTACATCCATAAATCCAGCCATGCATTGTGCTGCCTGCAGGCCAGTTTAAATTCTTGACTTGTCCACCTGTATCAATAGTCTGACATGGCTGGTTTTAATAGAACTGAGCGGGTTAAAATATAATTCTTGCTCCTTTTTTTTTTTTCTTTTTTTCTCGACTTTCTTATCGGAGCATTTAAAGGTAGGTCAGTGACGGATATAGAACTCAGGGCAGAAAGGGACCCAGGTCCCTCTGTGGGAGTGTGACTCTTCTGGTCATGAGAAGAGGACTTGATAGATCGAGGGGACGTTCATGGTACAGAAACTTCTCCTTTTCCTCTTATTGACATGCTTTTTTTTAAAAAAAAAATTCATGCCAGAATGCTGTAAGTGTGCTGCAGCAACCCACTGATTGAGGCAAAAAATACTGGCAGCATGTTTTTCCATCACGTGGACAAACATTTTAGATTGTTGGCAAGAAAAACATTTTTTTTTTGGTTCAGATGCAACGTCAATGAAGATGGTGACATTCATCTTAGTAATTTTTAGGTGCGAATCACACTGTTACGGGCATTTCAGCTTTCAGGGCCCATATGTCTATGCAAAAGTCATGACTTATCTAAAAAAATCTATTGCATACAAACCAGTTAAATATAATATCTGACTACATTTTTGTTGTGTTTGCCCTTTTAAGTAAATTGTTTGCTTCTTGCTTACTCTTAGCAACAACTGTCTCGTGTTCTTCCCCAGTGACGAACAGGAGCTCACATCTCTTCGTGAAGAAGTGGATGGCCTGACCAATCAGATGGCTGACCTGCATCGCGACGTACAAGGCAGCAGGGAGCGTGAAGCCGAGTTACTGGGCTTCACCGAGAAGCTGAGCAGCAAGAACGCCCAGCTCCAGTCAGAGAGCAACGCGCTCCAATCTCAGCTGGATCAGCTCACCAGCAGATTCACGGAGCACCAGGCAAAGCTGGAGGAGACCAACAGGCAACTAGAAGACAAGGTCAGGGTTCAGTGTGGTCTTGATCGTGGCTAAACACAACTGACAGAAAAAAAAAAGTTTATCCATCATGATCACAATGTTTGATTCTAGTGTTTGCAGCCTTTCCCTATTTATAGATCGTTTATTAATCAAACATGGTCACAAACCCTCTATAGAGTGATTCTTTTCTGCTTCTGACATTATCAAAAGAGCTGAATTGTCTGACCTAGAACATACAGTGTCCTTTCATAGCGATATAATCAGACATGACATTCAGAATAAAATAAAATAACAGCTGCTCTACTTTTTTTTCAGTTTCAGTCAAGCGTTTGTAGAGAAGCAGCCATAGCCGCATTACCCAACCGCTCTATAATGACTGTTATCGCATCGTTACCCTATTATTTTCCTAACCCTGTTTTCACCTGCAGTCACGACAACTGAAACAGGAAGAGGTGCTGAGGCAGCAGGAGGTGCAGGGTCTGCAGGAGGAGCGAGCAGCACTGCAGGCAGAGGTGGCCCAGCTAAAAACCAGAGTAGACGAGCTGAGGGATGAGCTGGTGACACAGAAAAGGAAACAGGCTGCAAACATCAAGGATCTCACGAAACAACTCACACAAGGTTAGACACCACATTGGACTCTAGAACTCTTGTTTATTTATTTTTTATGTAGCTGCACATTGATGTGATGTTACATCCACATATTTTAAGCCAAGGACCTCAGGAACATTTAGCAAAACCTACCATTTTTTTTTACCTTCATTCAAAACTGTACCAGCTTGCATTTAATGCACAATTCTGTATCTTGCAATGCAGGAAGAATCAAGCCCCCCGATGCATTTTCAAAACTGAAATCGATCATTTCTTCGGGAAAGTGCAGGAGTTTGAGAGAGCAAAAGTCTTGTAGTCTGGTCACATCCGACAAACACAAGCACATCCCTCCTTTAGAGATGCTGCTGTGTATAAAGTAAACAAAGTGATGATCTCAATTTAAACCCTAATAGAGAATCTACTTAAGTCCCATTTTTTGCGACATCTGAATCACTTCAGCTATCTTTCTATTTTTAAGAAAAGCAGATATTTCAAAATTTTAAAAAAGAACATGCCATGTCACAGAATCACTATCAGTTAGATTTTCAAAAAGCTGTGTATTTCTATCGTTTCTCCTCCTGCACATTAAGAGGAGAATGTACAGGGTGATTAAAAACAAGATGAAAGTGCACAGATGGGTGCAGTGTAGAGAGCTAACTTTCCTATCATGGCAGGATTACACTTAATCGAGTGAGCCAGCTTCCCCCTGTTTGGTTCTCTGGGCACACAGACTAACCTTAATGCTTGAAGTTCAGCACTTTTATCTTATATGCACACGGTTTTCGTTTTCACTCGCCTCCTGGGACCGAGATGACATTTTCTTTTAGGCGATTCTTCATCAGTGTCGCAGTTGTACTTTATCAGCATAGTCATTTTGAGCCTTTGTTTATGCATGGAGGGTTTGCTGAGCAGGCGCTCTTCTTCAAAAGCTACTTGTGTCATATTTGTTCAGGTAGACTCCTTCGCAGAATCTGTCAGTTCAGTTAAGCAATGACGTATTGCTGAACTCAGTAATATGAGACGAGTGCCGTGTATGACATTGACAACCATGGGATGTCGCACGAAAGCACCAGACCGAAACATACAGGCACGTCGGGCACACCGTCGTCCTTCTTCCAGTTTAATTTAAAACCAGAATGGTTGTGTTCATGAAAGCAAACTGAAAATAATGCAGCTATTAGCCTCTTAGCATCTTTGTAACTATGGGAAGAGATGAAGTTTCAACGGCTACGCAAACACACGTGAACAAAAGCTGTATTAGTGTCGGTTTTTGATGGTTAACGTTCTGTTTTTCTTTACAGCACGTAAGAGACTGGAGCAGGTTGAAAATGGAGGATGTGATCGGGATGCCAGCAGCATGGGCAGTCGCTCCAGTTCCTCAGGTACTACTGCAGGATTTGGTTAGTATTTAACACATACAGTAGTAACATCATTAAAAAGAAATTCAAGTTTTACAAGGAGATATATTTTGATCTGCTGGGATAAAAGTCTCTCCTAAAACTAACAAAACAGTGAAAATGAAGTAAAAAAAGCAAAGTCACAGGAATAAACAGCTTTCTAAGTTAATCTCTTTGCGTCCCCTCCAATTCCCAGGCTCTTTGAACGCACGCCACGGTGGGAGCGGCAGCGTTGAAGAGAGGTCGCCAGAGAGCCAATCGGGTCCTTCGGTGGTGGTTGTGGACAGCTTCCCAGAGGTCGACAAGGCTGTGCTCGTGGAGCGAATTGTCCGTCTGCAGAAGGCCCTGGCTCGGAAGCAGGAAAAAATCGAGTTCATGGAAGACCATATCAAGCAGCTGGTGGAAGAGATCCGAAAAAAGACCAAGTGAGTGGCACGGACCGAAGTGTAGGGAGCAGAGAAAGAGAGATGTTGAGAACAGGGTATAAGATGCTCAACCAATGGACAGATTTGAAATGACCGCACTCCCAATACGGATACTATAAAGTCTCTGATGCAGTGTTTCAGACCTGACAGTTAGGACTAATAAAAATAATGCGATCTGAACCTGCAGTACAACGAGACGTGCTGTGGAAACAATGACTGCGATCTGGCTTTAAGAAAACTAGTAACACCTCACGTCAGTCGTCACTGCAGTGTAGCAGCGAAGTGGCAACAGTTTCTTACAGCTGTGTGTAAAAAAATGGGATAAAAAAAAAAAAAGGTGACTTAACGCAAAGTGTATTGTTTTCAGTTTCAAACACAACTCCTGGAATTTGATTTTAGCATTGTGGTAACAGGGAACCAGCAGTGGCTGATATGACAACTGAATTTATTGCATCTTAATTTCCATACATATATACATGAACACAATATTTTATGCACAGCGTTCCTCGTTTGTCGACGGCTCTTCACCTGACCTTGATAGGTTATATATGCTTACACACACGGTTTATGGCCCCCTGTATCCTCCGTTGTCTCTCCCACTCATCTTTAGATACTAATTCATGCAAACGCCGCAATTATCATTCGTGACAAACTTCCGTCAGAGCTATTTATAGTCTCGGGAATTAGCAGGGGGTGCGCCTTAGTATGGATCATCAGTGATGTTCCTTCCATATTCATAGCCATCACCTGAAATAAAAGAGACGGCGTACAGTCTTAATCACACACTCGTTTAATATACATTTTGTGAATTGTGGATTTATGTCTGGATAGAACGGGGTGGGGCTGTGAGTTTCCCATATAATATAATCTGAAATAGCCAAAGGGACTTGGGGCATAGAAAGATTTCTCCCTAAGTGAAATGAGTTGATAGACTGTTGATTGATTAGTACAGCTCTCAGCATTTACAGTCCTCCAAGGTACCCAGCCTTCCGATTTGATTCTACTTGGATCATCTCTTCTTTCCCACTTCTAATTTGTTTCCCAGCTATGCACATGGATTGAATCTATTAGCCTCAACCTACATTTAAGAGTTAAAATTGAGGACGAATCCCACGGTTGCAGGGCTAATTTTAGCTCTGTAAAAATCTCAGCTAAGCACGGGGGTGTTACACTACCCAGAGTATGGATGTGAATTTGTCCTTTTTGCCTTTCTGTCCCTATCCCTCCAGGGCAGCCTGGTGAACACTGACAAGCCAACTGTAGGCCTGAAGCAGGTGATGAATAAAGAGACAGAGGTGTGGAGGCAGACGTTTAGAGGGTCTAAGATGAGGGACAGTTAGAGGAAGAAAGTCAAGATTTTGGATTTGCTTCACCACGTCCACGTCACTCTGTTTGTATGACTGTAGCCCTGATTTTATATCTTTGATCCCATCCACTGCTCATGCATGTCGACCATTTTCTAAAGAATGTAGAGTTGCAAAGAGGGAGCGTCTATCAGAGCTGCCACTGGTTTCAAAAATAAAAGTTTCAAGGTTCTTTAACAAACTTCACACGCTTAAACTCTGTTCCATGCAGCACTAACTGTGAGTGACTGACAAGTATTTATTCAATACTGCAGCGTGGTTCAATTAATATTTGGATTTTGGGTCAATTTTGGATTGATCCTAACGGCAACACTGAAGTATTTAGACTTTGCTCTACTTACTTTTATCCATAGCAGAGGTGGCTGAGGCTCACATTTAGTATTTAGAACCACCTGCCGTCCCTAATTGACAAAATAAAACACTGATGTGGGGAAGTGCTTGAAATGATTGAAACCAGTGGCCACAGCTCAAACCTATAGGGAGGTTACATTATTCATGAATATCTCCTGAGAATAGGGGAGAAAAACACATCTGCAACCAGAACCAGTCTCCTCCACTTTGCAATTCTATTGCTACATGATTCTCTTCAGACGTTTTTTTTTTTTTTTTCACCCATCACGCAACCATTTTCCAAAGGGGATTTTCATGTGCTGCTATGAAGTCGAACACGGGCCATTGGCTGCAATATGTAGAGTACAGTATATGCAAATTGTAAGAAATGGGCTAAAACATGCAGAAACCGCAGTATCATCCTTCAAGGGCAATGATGTCTGTCCTTCAGGCACCACACCTGGTTATTATGACCATTACGTCTAAATGGTCTGCTCATGTGAGCTGAATTGAAATGATCCTGGTGGAGACCAGAACAAAGCAGGAGGAGGCCTTCTGTTCAGGAGATGATGTAGATGCCTATTTATCTGGAGAGCATCCTTTTCACCCCGCTGAGGTTGTACTCAATGGTAATTGCAAATCAGCGCAATATGAGCTCGGATGCAGGTTTTTTTGTGGATCCACACCTGCCGAATGCTTTAAATACAGTGTAAAGGATCATTTCAAGGGTATGTGGGATTTCTTCCCCTTTGCCAGTCAGGCTTGAAGCTACTTAATGCTTTTTGATTGTAGCCAGCATGTGAGCTCCTACCTCTGGTGTTTTGTAAATAACACAGAAGATGTATATTTAGATTGATTGTGATCACAAGTTATAGCCTCTGTAGTTCTGTAAGATTAAACACAGCTTTCTTCCTCTGTACCTTTATCTTCCTGTCTTGCCACTTTCGGGGTCCAAAGTTCTATCACCTTAAGCGGCTCTATTAAGAGAACTGTCACTGATAATTCCCCCTCATTACTTTCTGCATGCTTGACTTGCTGCCCTCATTTGCCAGAAACAAAAGGACATGTTACTCACAAATTCCAAAAGTATAAGTCACTGTCTTGCTTGTTTCTGCTGACTTGTTGCTTACACCTCTCCCTCCCGCCGACCTGTGCATGCCATTCAGCATCCGCACCATGTGGCCACATCTTTAATTTCTGTCACTTTTTTTTGTTTTTACTAAACACTATCGTGATGGAATGGGGGTCCAAATATGGACCCTTGCAAGCCTAGTAAGAGGTAAGTTTCATTGAATGTCTGCGATAGCCCAGGTGGTGTGTGTGTGTCTGTGTGTGTATGTGTGTGTGGATGGGGGTAATTTATGGTGGTGGTTTCTTTGTAGTGCTTACATAGCTATTGTATCTTCTTTTGTCCCACAGACTTATTTGCTTTGTTAGTTCATCCTGGGATACACTGCAGCCTAGTTTTAGGTTTTAGGTATTTTAGATATAAAGTAAACTTTCATGGAAGTGAACAAAACACAAAATAGAAAACATATTTTTACTCACATCGATTGCAAGTGCAGGCCAGAGCCAATACTGAGTATGAGTGCTTAAAATAAAGGTTATCAATCATCCTCCAGACCCTTCAGAAAAAAGCTTATAGGTGGCACATTGGACGTCTTCGTTCCAGGTAAAACGCTGATAAGTGCAGTTTGAGGCTGCTGCTGCATGACCAGTAGTCAACACAGCGGTTCTACCTCCATAACGGCCGCTGCTGTTATTGCACGGAAGACTGATGTTTTCGACCTTTCTGATATCTCTTCCACAACATATTCATTTAGATAAAGTGCGTTCTTAAACAGCAGAATAGCTTCGTCTCCAAAGAAGGACAAGCCCGTGGAAAGTGCTTAAAGCTGGAGTAGGCAGTAATCTGGAAAAGGCAAAAACAAACAACAAAAATACTTTAGCTCTCCTCTTTCTGTCCTAAGTCCTTCCCACCAGACAAACAAAGGCGTGTCCTGGCGCTTGATAAACAATCGCAAGCTTGATCCAAACATGACATTTAATTGCCGACAACCGTCTGTCGGCCAACCATCAACACTGCCGCTCATTGCCAGCTCGCATAGAAAATCCACCCACACAACCTAACCTACGACGCATATAGATATTACAGGACAATGAATGAGCAGCCTTCTTGTCCAGGAGGAGAACGGAAAGCTCAATACTCAATGAGTATATTCTGCTGATATGGATCCTTGATTCATCATCAGCCTCTCTTTTTAAAAAAAAAAATGTCCATCCGCCATTGTTGCCAATGGTGGAATAGCAATCTTTGAATTCCAGATCTGTGTTGTAGTGCATCTGCATTTGTAAAACATCCTGTAATGACAGGAACGACCCCCTCTTCTCTCTAAGAAGACTTGGAATTAAACTAAGTCAGCCTTGATTTTTCTAAAGATAGATTGAATCACATGACTTTAATACCAATATGCTGAAAAGTTAAGGATTTTTTTTTAACCTCATGACGCCAAACAAATACTGCTTACCTCAGCTTTACTACTGAAAGGCAACACTTGAAGTCAATGTCATTGTCTCGATTGGATCTATCAAGTTATTGACTTGCTATAGTCTGAAATATTGGGAATCTGCATACAGTAGTTCTATTCACCACAGGATATGGTAACCTTAAGAACATGGAACACATACTGTTTTAGTTTAACTTCCGTTTGTGCTGTATTGTTCTAATGCCTGTGTTGTCGTAGGTCGATATCGAGCTGTGTTGGTGCAACAGTAGAAGTAGCTGCAGTTGTAATCGCTGTAGAGGAGCATTCCCCCTATAATGAATCCAGTTATCTTCTTAAGAATCCTCATCCTCTCCCTGACTTTGAACTACACAATGCCGGTGGGAGGCTGGATCTTTTCTTCAGGTTAATGCTTTAGCTTATGGGTTGAGAGCAGGTTTAAAATATTGATCACTGACCCGTCTTCCAGAACAGGAGGCCGTTGACCTTTTGTGTAGGACGGCACGCAGCCGTCTTCACCTGTCCTCGCTCGTTTTTGAAGGAAAATCAAGTGAGAGCTTTGCCTTCATCCTTGAAGTGTAGCCCACATATCCTCAGCACAAGACGTGCACAGTTTGACAGTGCTTCTTAATCTCACTAATTAAATAAATAAGAGCGTCTTTGGCTTGATTAGTGCTTTGCGTTATTTATTTATTTATTTCTGTTTGGTCGCACGTTAGGAAAGAATATGATAATGTAGGAGGCAGTAATGAATTTGAATCACAATGACTGCTCTCTCTCTGTCTCTGGGGCCGGTTTCCCTCTAAATAGAAACACTTGCTTGTCAGTGTTCTCCGGACTGCGATGGGGAAAATTGAACAACAGGAAGTTTAGAGCTGTTAATGATTTTCCTTCTCTCCCTCGCGCTGACACAAACGTAGCTTAACCTCGACACTGTATTGTTTCTGCGATGAACATAAATTCTGAACGTGATTTATCTCGCTGTCTCACACACACACACACACACACACACACAGTTGATTCATTGAATCCCGGCAGCCCATTTTAGAGCCTTTGCCTTTTATTCTCCGACTAACACAATAATATTCTTCCCAACTATGACTGAATGCATCCCATATACACGAGTCCCAACAAGACATCCCACTGGAATTACTATTCTTGTAACGTCTGCTGCTTTCGCTGCTGGAAATGGTTTGTTGCTCTGTAGGAGCTCTCCATGCTCCCTAACTATGAAATCTCACTTCCTCGATTTTCTCTGCTCGACAGTCTCCAAGCCGATGCCACGCGCTCGCTTCGCTTTCACTCCTTTTTGAAGCGTGCAAGTTTGACTCATCGTCTCCTCTTTTCTTCCCCTCAGAATTATCCAGAGCTATGTGCTAAGAGAGGAGTCAGGGGCCCTCTCGTCAGAGGCGTCAGACATTAACAAGGCCCACCTCAGCCGGCGGGGAGGCATCATGGCTTCGCTGTACACCTCCCACCCGGCGGACAGCGGGCTGACCCTGGACCTGTCGCTGGAGATCAACCGGAAGCTGCAGGCTGTGCTGGAGGACACGCTGCTGAAAAACATCACTCTGAAGGTAACTCCTCTCCCAGCAGGCGTCCTTTCACCGACGCATTCAGCTATAAATGCAGGAAACACTCATTGAAATTCACTGGAAACATTGATGATGTGAGCAGTTTCTTTCACGGGCTTTTAATTTGCCGTGACTGTGTGATTGCTGAGGCTTACATGACCTGAGTGGATAATTAATTGGCTGTGTCAGTGTCATGCTCCACCTCTGGAGCCACACCGCCTGATGTGACTTTGTTATTAGGGTGTGCAGATGCTGCCGTCACAAAAAGTGTTCAGCCAGATCTAAAAACAGGAATGGATTCACAGTTTGATGAATTACAAAAAACAACCATGAATTAAAAACCCCAAGAGCTTCCATAAAAAAAGAAATTTGACTGCTCCTTTTGGCTCCTAAAGACTCTCATCAGGAGGCGTTTTTACTCCTGAATGAAGTTTGTACAGAAGCTCTCAGGATTAAAGTTTACTGTATAATCTACTCAGACAGACATGAATCAGAAACACAACAGTAGCTTTAATTCATGGCGGCGTTCCTCTGTGTTAGCAAAGCAGCTTATTTGCTGTTGTTGCACAGATCATGTTTGTGTTTTTAAAGGAGCATTTTACTGTTTTTAAGTGTTTTTGAGTTCTGACACCTCCACCAGCCAGAGAGACTGTCGGATCTTTACACTATAACACGCCACTATATAGACTGAGACTTATCAATCCAGAGTATTCATAGTGAACCTCTTGTAGTTCTTTTGGCCGCCCAAAGAGATCTTGCTCAGGTGTCACAGCCAGCCTACCTTCGTGCAGAAGCAGCTGCTGATGTTAGAAAGCAAACTTTCATATTTCCCTGCAAAAAAGGGTAGCCCAACTATAAGATATAAACACTAAATGTGAGAAGAAAATTACTTAAAACCAGTGAAATTATCTGTCCGTGCAGCAAGTAAATTTTAATTGATGAGAAATCTTGAAATAAGATTTTTAACGCTCAATTTAAGATTGTACTGTAAAATCAAGGACTAAAAATGAGTCGATAACTTTTAAAACAAGCCAAATTATCTATCATGTCTAAAAAATAAGATTTTAAATCTTGGCAAGTACCAGATTATTTGCAGTGTTGGTGTAGAGACCGTCATGCTGAAGTACTTAGGATTAAATTTCACATGTAGAAAACGTATCTGCTGTTGTTCAGGCATCAGACACATTTCTTTATCGTTCGTTTTTTATTTTACATGCCTTTTCCAATATTATGTTTTCAGCCATTAAAACAAATCCTTTCACGGTTTCATAAATCAACCGCAACAAACAACCCCCTGTGTTTCATTACTTCTCTTAATTTTGTAAGACCTGACATCATTGCTTTAGTGTTTTTCATCCATTTCTCCATGTTCAAGTCATTGCTGTTGGTGTCTATATTTAAGACAAAATGTGTAATCGTCATGCTAATGTAGATATAAGGACAGTCTAATGTCGGTACAGCTGTGTGTCAGACCACCCTCTACCTTTGTCAGTTGTGATATTTAGGTCAGATCTTTGAAGCCTTCAAAGTCAACGGCAGCATGTGTCTCACTGTCTGCGTGTGATGTGACAAGCTGCCGGTGTCCTCATCAGGATGTCAGCCTGACCTGACATGTTGAAAATGCTCCAATTCATTCAGCTCTGCAACTGAGACATGTTTCCCTCCTCACTGAAATGGTGGATTGAGTTCTGCGCTCACTGCGTCCATCCTCATTTAATCTGTATTTACATGAGCTGTGTCCAGCATCTGCACCTGAGGGCCTTCCGATGCTTTAATTGAATTAAGATTTCGACTGAACCAATTTCCTCGTGTGCTGGCGTTAAACGAATGAATCCGTTGCGGCTCTCGGCTCTCGTCAGTTCACAACACCGGTCTGACTCAGGACGCGGTTCGACCAGCTGGTACGCTGTTACCCGTAAGAAAATGTGGCGCCTGGATGGCGGCCGCCGGTTACGACGAGTTTATTTCCACTCTGAAAAATGCGAAGACATTTCCCACATTAATCCTGTTAAAAGTTTACATTAGCCACCCGGCTGGCGTGTGGATACGTTTACAGTGGGCCATTTGTCCCATGATGTCCCTCATGTATGTGTGGAATTCATATTTGTACATGTGTATGTAACCGGTGGTTTCTGTTCTGCGTTGTGATGAGCTGAGACACAGATCTCTTTGGAGGCGATATCCGTTTATTGAAACTTGACAGACGATAAAAAAACGTACACAAAATCTGCTGTCAGTTGCCGACTTGCACAGCTACAGAAATTAAATGATAGAACAACATATTAGAACTGGGAAAATAAACTTATAAATGAAATTATGTACATTAGACAACACAGATAACAGCAGCACAGTCTGGCTTACCTCTCCCACAGAATACGTGAATAAAGGGGGAGAGGTAAGGTGGAAAAACCCATTTATAGGGCACAGTGGGTGACCAAAAATGAACGTGGGGTACTGGGACCCCCAAGTGAAGGTTCCACACCATAACCAAAGGGCAGACCAGATTCTAATAATGAAAGTAATAGCAGTAAACTAAAATATATATATGATACATTATGTATAACCAATAAAACAAGACATATATATTTAATTTAAAACCGCTGCTGCACCACTGGCCCTGTTACATGTATGTCGTCACTGTATGTCAGCTGAATATAAAGCATGTCTTAGCTTTATTTAATGGATCTCACCAGCGGTCCTAAAGATCACAAACACAAAGCAGCATTAGCATTGACTTTCTAGCCACCTGCTAAATGTACGTCTAATATTCACTCTCTGATTTGTTCTGATTTGCTTTCCACCAGCTCCTCGGGGAAATATCTCCCTTTAGCTGCTAAATTATATCAGCTGGTGCTGAGGTGGCCAGCAGTGAGTTATTTATTTAAAATGCTGCCCGCTGTGGATAAAATCAGCGCTGATGAGAATCACAACCAATTTACCACGGAGGCTTTTTCTACTGCAGTCGTGCGACACACGTGCTGTGATACAAATGCCCTATTTGTCACCATATTACATTTTAGAGAATGTCAAACGTAACCTTAATCCATGTCAAATAAAGCGGCGAAACACAAAAAATTAATTTCTTTAAGCTCGCACGGCACCCACAGTCTCCCAACGTGCTACCAAACCGTCGACATGTGTTGTTACCGCCTCTTTTTTTTGCTCCGTTTGCCCTTTTGTTTATGTGGGCACACGCTTTGATAAATATTTTCATATTTTGCAACCCATCAGCTTCCTATTGTCTTTACAAACTGTCAAATTTATATGAAAAAGTTCCTCATGTGACAAAAAAAACAAACTGAATGGGACAATAAAGTGTGTTAAAATGTGGGAGTATTTACTGGCAGAGAGTGTTCTTTCTGCAGATGAACGATGATTGGCAGGAAGCAGGAAGTAATGATATAAAAACACGCACCATGGGCACAATAAAATGACAGTAAAACAAAAATATTCTGACAAAGGCAGATCGAGGCTTCCAACTTACTGTGATGGTTCATGTGGCTTTGTTCTGATTGTTCTTTATGCCGAATAAGAACTGGTGGCAGCAATTGCTGCGGAAGAAATGACAAAGTTCTCTTCTGTGTTCAACTATACGGTGCAGAAGGCAGGGTGGAACCGGATCAGTAGTTAATACCTGCATCAGAATCCTTTGTTTTTACACTTTATATAAGATTGATGAATGATAAACAGCATCGCAGGCCCTCATTTCCTGTCTCTCTGATCCCTCTGAGCCCTAAGGCATGTTATATTTTAAAAACAAGTCAAGGTGCCACCATTTATCAGACAGAAACTGTAAAAATACAAAGAATCAGCAGGTTTATGTTAAAAAAACGTCACCAATTCTCAGCTTTAAATCATATTTCATCAAAATCGCTTCGTCTCTTGTAAAAAGTCGCCCAAAACAAGCCTTTCGCAGCGACCAGTTTTTACACAAACAAAACATTCTGTGCTCCTCCGTGCCTCAGTGCCATCAGTGCCTCAGTGGCAACAGTCATGTGATAAATATTTAGGGACTTTTTTTGCCTGAACCGCAGGCTAAGTTCACACAGGGCAGATAGAAAGTAGGCAGTAAAACATCTGTACTGTGTAGAGCCACCATCACTGGGAAAATGTTCCAGATTTTTTCCCCAATTTTTGAAAATCAAAGAAATGCAACCTGTGTCATAAAAAGGTGGTAAATGACGCCTTGTTTGGAGTTCAGAGGGTTAAAATGTGGTGTTTTCTCTGTCCCTCAGGAGAACCTGCAGACGCTGGGGGCTGAGATCGAACGGCTCATCAAGCAGCAGAGGGATCCCGAGGACGGGGTGAGGAGAAAGTGACCAGCAAAGAGAGAACAAAGGACCAACTCCATGTGTCTCCGTTTGACATCAACTCATGTGAAGGAGCAAAACTGAATGTTGTAAGTGCCAGCAGGGATCTCAGGCTCACCGTGATCTCTGGTTGTGTCCATGTGGAGAAGACTTGAACTGTTCCGTCCACCTCCGTTTTTTTTTTTGTTTCGCCTCTAAAACAACAAATCTTCCTCTGGATCACTCCTCGTCTCCCCCCACCCCCCCCAGAGCACTTTGCCAAGAGAACTCCTCGGGCGGGCCAGTGGCTTCAAGCTTCAAACTCTGATCTGCCTTGTAAAAAAAAAAAAAAGAATCGACTGAGGATGCCATCGTTATGAATGTATAGCAAATTCTACCTGGAAAATAGTTGAAAAATGACTAATTCTGAGTTGCCAGTGAATTCATCCTATTAAAAAAAAGACGTCTTCTGGAGGCCTCGTCGCAGCAGCAGCGCTGTCCACCGTAGCGGAAGATGATCATCGCCAGCATGCTCGCTCCACTCTGCCAATACGCCAAATGTACTTTTGGGAAAACACTGCTTCTTCTTCTGCTTGACTATTTCAAGCAAAAGCGAAAAACAAACAGATCGGCTTGTGGGGGACCTTGAGTGCCACCTGTGCTATTTTTCATTATTTTTTTTGCTCTTGTCCGAGCTGCTGAAGCAAGGTGCCTCACATCAGCACCCATCTGTGTGACACCGGTGCCAGACTTACGCAAGCAGGCTGCGACCTTTTGGCGGCGTTGTTCTGAAGCCAGAGGCACCGCGGAAGCATCCCGAGCTGAATAAATCTATGACATCACACGAAGGTTGAAATGTAGAGCTGGTCTTTAGTTTGGCTGAATGTTTTTTTTAACTTATTTTCTAAGTTGGCGTAATATAGAGTTTCTATTTTAGTATGTGATTGGTTATCCTTTTTTTTATTATTATTATCATGTATTTCACAGAAGAAAGCTTTCTCGTAGAAGATTTTCTGTTAATTTAAAATAATGAATACCGCAAACATTTGAGCCTTTTCCTTCCTTTTACTCCGTTGCAGCCACTTCATTAGACGACTTATCTTCATCTTCCTCAAAGTGGTTCGTTTGCATCATTAGCATTAGTTTCTGCACCGTGTCCGTGTGATTTAGTGGAGAGAAGGCTGAAATGTTCAGGTATTCACTCTTCTTTATTTTATCATTATTTTTTTGTATCACTTAGTCCATTGAAAATGGAAATCAAGTGTAGAAGAATCAAAGGGAGAACAGCAGATGTGTAGCTGTAGCTCAGGAAAGCCAGTGGAACCTACAGAGAACTATCCAGGGACAAAGTGCAATGTTGTTCCTTTCCTTTTTATTTGCTCGGTCTTCGGTCTGAACGTGTTTGTGTGCCAGTGTACTGTCCGTATGTCTGCTGTTTTTTTTTTTAATGCCTGTGTCCGTGCAACATGCATCTGTGTTTGAATCTGTAAAACTGTGGCTGCATGTGTGCCTTTTAAACCTATCGAGCTTCATGTTTACACCTCGTATACCTGCTTCAGCTGTCAGGGCTTCTAGTTTTTTTTTTATTTACCAGATTGACCATAGAGTTTGTTCCATCCAGAGGGGTAAACACAGATTTGCATTTAGACCTGTCAGACACACACACACACACACTCTGTCCTGCAGCAGCTCTCAGCTATACACTCTTACTGACAGCTGTTTAGTTTATCACACACGCTCACCAACACTCCAGGATGAGGGACGGAGAGCAGGCAACCGGCTCCATTTCCACAATACCCACGTCTCCTTTCACTTGATTTGATCTGATTGCAGGAGCTGTCACAAAAGATAAGCGTCCATCTCTCGTTTTTTTTTTTTTTTTTCCCCCTCAGTCAGGCTTTTATGGGTCATGAATGGTTACAGGCCGATCCCTTCCCCGTACACCCCGAGGCTGTGTTGAAAACGGACCGCTACGTGAATAAAGATGAAAGTTTCCAGGATGGAGGTCACAGAGTCCTTAAAGCCTCCCTGTTGCTGCAGCGAACGCTCTTGTCTTTGACGTAGCTCTACTTCAGTGTCATCCAAACTGATTTCCTTTGGATCAGTAATGTAAACAGGCAGCAAACCTGTAGATCACCTCTGGTTTCTCTTTGTCGTTGCTAACCTTTCAGCAAAGGCAGCAACTCTATGGCATCACAGTAAGTTTTCTTTAGCCTGTAGATTATTACGACATGATTTAATCTGGTTTGTTCTCGTGCATTCTCAATGAAAAAAAAAAATCAGGTGCTTGCTGCTAAATACGTGTTTTTGTTTGTTTCTGGTGCAGAAGTAAAACAACCTATGCAATAGCCTCGCATGGGATTTTCTGATTACGCCCTCATAATTCTCTGAGGCACGCTAATGCCTTCCTTCTGATTTGGTCAACCCAAGAGGGACGAAGTACTCGCAAGATTTTTTATTTTTTTTCCCACAGACGAAGCCATGCCGCAGCATTGTGTGGACGAATGAATCGGACCTCGTGTCTCTCTATATGAATATGAAGAAGTGGTGTTCAGTACGTGCGAGTGTCGATCTGTAAAAATGAAACGAGAAGTTATTTGTCTGTTGTTTTCCTGCTGTGCAATGATTCCCTTTGTCCTGTTTTTTTTTTTTGTGGAATATTCAAACTGTGATTATAATATACATTTGTAGATATGCCGCCATTCTGTAAAGTTATGATGAGATGTTTTTAAAAAAAACAAACAAAACAAATACTGATTCTGGATGATGTTTGTACATATGTATGGTGTTTCCGAGGAATAAAATGAGATGAGTCTTAACTTGATCTTGAATGTTCAGTCTTGCTTCCTGGTTTTTTGTTTGTTTGTTTTTTTGCTGTAGGGACTCTAGCGTCTGTTTTTCAGGTGGAATTCTCGTTTCACACATAACCTCTCACACATCGACTTGTGTTGGGTGCAGCTTGAAGGCCCGCTTTTAAACCAGCAGCATCAGCAGTGCCGGAGGTCATAACATCGCTGCGCCTCTGTCAGTCAAACCAAGCAGCTTTTCGGATGATTTAAAACCCCAGGCAGCTCCAAACGCTCAGGGGTCAGCCATCCTCTACAACCATTCATTCATTCATTTTGCTGTAACTGACAGCAGCGTTCTCGTATGAGCCAGTTGGTGTGTAAAGAACTGTGGAACTACAAAAATGTATATTCACAAACAAATATGACAGCTTACAATTATTATTACTGTTGATTAATTGAAAAATTAATCCTCCTTTTATCTTCAAATTTACTGACATCTTTTATCCTTGGGGTCAGTTTGACTCCAGTGATTTAAACCTCCAGAAAATTCTTATAATTAGAATTGTTATCCAAGTTTAAGTGTAAATAGTCCTTTAAATAAAACTGAACAAATGATGTCAGTCACTTTTTTAGAGACGTTAAACCAGGGGTCTCGAACTCCGGTCCTCGAGGGCCGCAATCCTGCAAGTTTTAGATGTTTCCTTCTTCCAACACACCAGATTCAAATGATCAGCTCATCATCAAGCTCTGCAGAAG